ATTCACTAATTCCATGGGCTGCGCCGCTGGGATGCCGTCTAAATCAGACGACGGGAAAAAGCGGCGAAACGTCTAAAGCTAGGTGCGTCAACGCGATCTAGCGGACAGGGGCGTCGCGACGCCGCGAGGTAAGGCGCGCGGGTCCCGGGGGAGCGTGGGTCGTGGGGAAGAGAGCGACCGAGGCGGTGACATCGGCGCGGCGTTGGCCGGACCCATGTTCACGGCGTGAACAGACGGGAAGGGAGGGGGAGGGGTTCAAGCTAAGTATGACTTAAGCCTTTCAGAAGGCATAAAGGCTGGAAACCTGTCCTAATTTTATCAATTTTCTGCATTTTCCCCCAAAAAGGGCGGGTAGAACACAATATAGGTATATTTAATGCTCAATAAAAGGAATTAATCATGTTCTTATTGCTGCTGACCGTATGTATGATTTTTATTGATTTTCTGCGTTTGCCCCCCCCCCCCCAAAAAAAAAAAACGGTCGGGTATACGCTAAGGATGATGTCATTTTTAGAGAGGGGTCTAGCAGAGGATGACAGTTGGATACGGTGAGGAGGGGGGGAGGGGGGCTCGAAAACTTGAAAAAAATTGGTGATGTAATTCATGAACGGCCCCTAAGTAGCCACGCTGTGTAGGGTATTTTGTCTCATCTTACAGATTCTTGTCTTGCTTGTAATGTATCATTCTGAAACTGTGTTTTTAAAGGGTCTCTTTTTCTCCTCAGGTGCATCACTAGAAATTAAACAGAATGGACAACATCCAGCGATTCTTTTATCCCAAATGAACTCCTCCTAGCGATTTAATTATCTCCTTTTTTCCTGTATCCTCTTTTTTAAATGATGTTACTGCTGAAGTAAATGAGTGTTTTCCTAGGCCAATTGGACTTATGCTACTTTCTTTGATCTAGTTTAAGTCAGTTTTGAGAGCCCATCCAGCAGGCTTAGTCAGATTTTAGTTTGAAATGAACGAAAGTGTATTATGAATCTAAAGCAATGGATTTGAGCTTCCATCAGTCAAGCTGACTGTGGTTGAAAGAGGCCTCATCGCTTGTTTTTAAACGTTTTCAAAAGCATAGAAGTAGAGCTGCTATTTTCAATCTAACTGATCTTGTACTTAGCTCAAAATTAGTCACCTAACATATGGAGGTCTATTTTTGTCCAATCATCTTTGCTAATTTCAGATCTCTGCCAGAATTCAAACTTAAGGGGCATATTTTGTAAAATTCCAGGTGACAATTTGTCACTGAATTTCCCAATGCCATTTAGCTTTTTCACTACCCTTTCATAAAGACACGAATATCAAAATTGCAAACATTCCTGTGTTCTTTCTGTAATCAGTTGTATCTTACAACCAGAGTTGTGGCTATGATCAGTTTTGCCAAGAAACTACTTTTGGAACCATTCTTTTTTCGCCAGTAGATTTTGAGTCAGATTTCCGATTTTCCTTTCATTTCAATCCCATTTTCTAAAATTCCCAGGAAAGTGGCACTCTTTGTACTGAATAGATTTTAATCAACTCAATGTAAAATTCCTAGAAAAAGCCATTGGAACTTTGAACCATTTAAAAAGCTTGAAAAGGAAACTTCAAATGTCAAACAATTTTTCTCTTTTAATTAAGGTTATAAAACTCTTACTGTTAAATTGTTAGTTGCTGAGCTTGATTCTTTTTTTTTTTTTTTAAATAAAGAAAAGAAACAAACGAATAGAGCTAAAAATGAATAAAAGGTAGGAACACTGCCAAAGTTTGCAAAGAAAAACAAATTTTGAGGTAACCTTGACTCTCTCTCTCACTTTGAAATGATTTCATACTACCCTAAAAAACTCCAGTTTTCAGCAAAAATGATTCTGTATTTTTACATTTATTAGAAACCTTTGGGAATTATTTCGAATTAAAGGCTCAGTAAAAAAAGGAAGACTCCATAGTAAAATGTATTTTGATAAATTATGATGAAATTTTGAGAAATCCTTAGGAATCTCATCATAGATCCAAAGCCAAAAAAATCATGTAGTTCAAAAGATTGAAAGCCGAAATAATTTTGTGTGAATCATGCCTTATTAACCATACGTCACTTAACGGCAAGAGAATTTGGTGCATTTATGCAAAAGAAGTCTATCTACATAGAAAATCTATTGGAGATACATCGCTCATGTATGAGTGCGTCCAATTTTGAACCTTTCTTTGTATGTACTGTCATGCTCAAGAAGAACACTGTATACGAACATATTTGCCAAATTCCATTTAATGAAGTAATATTTTTGTAGAAAATGTATGTACCTTATTCTTGAAATGTTCAAAAATCTTTTACATATTAAATTCTGAGTCAAATGTTCTGTAGAATTTGAGGGAAAAAATTATTTAGTGTTCCAGTAAATGTTAACTTTATCAAAAACAAAGTACCTTTGCCCAAAAGTTCACAAGACGTTCTTTTTTAGCCAGGCAGTTCGAATGGTATGCTACCTCACTAGGATCTCAAGTGAGAGTGCAATAGTTCATGCATGACTGAGCCCAAGTCACAATAGAGATAGTGCTTTTGGCTTTTTAATGTCTAATGGAGAATAAGAGGAATAACTGAAGAGAATTTTATCATTACCCAGTTCTCACTTGTTTTGGCATTACCTTCATTTCTGCTCTCAAGAACTTGTAAACACTTTTACAGTAACTGAAAGTTAAGAAAGCTCAGAGTAGAGGCTAAGCATGTGTTAAAATACTAGGATTTCAATCACAAGCGTTTTTCAATTTGGGTGGTATTATCAAGGTTTCAAAGCTGTACAACATTGGTTTCTTTTTACAGTGCCAAGCATTTAAAGATGACTTTTTTAAAATTTACTCCGGATTGTATCATCAGTAAACTGATTCATAATCTCAGTTTTTAAAAAGGAATTCGCTAAAGATTTTTGCAAAAATCAGAAAAACTCATATCATGATAATTGTTCGATTTATCAAGCTCAGTGAGCAACAGCTTCATTCATTCCATTAAAACACTGCTGATTCTGAAGTATCAATTTATCAAAACCCTCTGCCTTCATTGCTAATTGTGCAAATTTTGGCCACATGAGTATTCAATACTTGGCCTGATTTGGAGATAATTAACAATTACTGAAGCCTGTGTCATTGCTTATTATTAAGCTTCTTTCTGCCTTGAATCCTGTTAACAAGGTTTGAAAGTTGTGTTTTCAACGGTGATGTTCTTTGTGGCCACCTTTGTCAGCAGTGGTGGATTCAAAGGAGGAGGGGTCACATAAACTCCCTTTCCCATCAGATAAATGAAAAAGAGAAAGAAAGGGAGAAAAAGAGAAAAAAAATAAAAAAGTTACTTTGAGCTTCACTAAAATTCTTTCAAAATCCAACCCTGATTTTTACTTTATTGGAGGGGAAATGCCCTCGTATTTTTTTTTATTTTTTCCTATGATTTTCATCTCAGGAACACGATGTGTGAACCCTGCGGAAAAATTTCAGTAAAATTAGCCAAGTTTTTCAATTTTTTTGCACCCAAATATTTTAGAAATCTTAAGCGAAAATTGGTTAAAATTTTATCTGCGATGTGCTCTTATCACCAGTTTTTTCAGAGGAGCCCCCTCCCTGCAGACCCTCTTCTACTCTGGGGCGTTCCCTCCAGACCCCCCTCTCAGAATCACCAAATAGCCTCCTCTCAAGCTGTCAGTGGATCCACCACTGTTCGTAGTTATGTCCTTAAGTAAGCATCTAAACAGAGCCTTTCAAGCATTTTAGATGTCACAAAAGAGGTAGCCCTCATTTATGTTATTTTGTTTTTCTTTTATGTATTTTTAACCAAATGAATTAAGTTCTACCCTCGATGCACCAAATATTTTAATGTGGAGATTCCAGAACAATAATATTGGTGCTTTCTCTCTGTAAAAATTTGGAGTTCTATTGAAAAAACAAGGAGCTGGGAGGGAAATGGACTACTCATACATACCTAATTATATTGCTGTGTGTCGTCAGTTTTTTTCCTCTTTTAGATGAGATACTTCTTTGATCCGAACGATTTTATAACTTTAACCTATTTTAAGAACACAGGATTATACTACCTCTTTTTCTTTTTTAATACAAATTCTCAAAATAGAGAAAATTCAAAGTAGAAACCTATTAAGAGCTAAAACTGAACTGTAACTAAAACTAAAGATAATAGAAACAAAGAAAAAAATCCAGTTAATTGAACTGGATGCCTATTAAGTGACTAGTCCTTGTCAATATGCATCTGCCCATTTCTTTAATATTCAAATGGCCCTTTCACATTGGCTATTACTATGACTATCAACGTGCAAACCAATCTGTTACATTGCTATCAAGCATTGAAGTATGTGTTGCCTAGTAATACCCAATGGAACTCCTCTGAAAAAATCTCCGGCAGAAAATGCTAAGTAGAAATTTTAAACAATGGAATGGGGGAAAAAACTGGCAATGCAGTCAAACTTAGTTCATAATTGTCTCTTCATATGTTCAACGAGTTTGATAGTACTTTCCATCGGGATATTATATTAGTGTATTTTTTTCTTTATGAAACTCTTTTTCTCCGCTTATCTTAACATTTTCTACCAGAGAGTGTTTGCTAGCATTCTAGGTGATCCCTCAAGGATCACTAACTTTAAAAATTCGAAGGTCTTATTCACCGTGCATTTACTCACAGCAAAGAAAGAGATGTTTTATAAACTACATTGTGGACAAATGGGTCTGTCATGAACTTATGCCGTGAAGAAAAGAAGAGTTGTACCGTTTGAAAAATGTCTTAAAAACAACAAAAGAATGGAGCTCTTGAATGTGTGAGGGATTTTCGATTTAAGCACTATTTCCTACGTAAAACTTTGCCAGAAATATGGTAGTGCAAATGGTTTTCTCTGAAACGAACTTCAAAGCTTAAGTAAGGTCTCAAAGTTAAGGCTGTAATGGAGGGGATATCTCACGCTACCCTGAGAGTCCATCTCTATATCAAGACAATCTCTCCATACAAAGATAGGAAGCAAATACACTAGCAGGGTTGCCATGTTTTCAGTCTTGGAGTCCCCTAACAAAGTTAAAACCCTGTTAATGTATTTGCTCCCTATCTTTGCGTGGAGGGTTTGAATTGATTTAGAGGTGGATTTTCAGGGTAACGTGAGATATCCCCTCCATTCCAACCTCAACTTTAAGAGCTTTTTTTGAGTTTTAGGGTCAATATCAAAGAAAACCAGTGGCACCATCGTATTTCTCATGAAATGTTACATAGGAAATGGTAATTAAATTGCAAATTTCTGACACATGCAAGAACCCCATCGGGGAGGTATAAAATTCATTCCTAACCCCATAATTTGCGTCAGAATTCTGTACATTTTGAGCTTCCCAATTCGAAGCAGATACCGCAGCAACAACATAAGTCATCAAAATGTTAACTTAAGATGGCTGTTATCATGGGACACAGTTCCTCAAATTAAAAATAAACCACAAACTTCTACTTAATAAACCTTAACTTGGGAAGCAGGAAAGTAAAAATAATGGGTATGTGACAAGTTTTGTGCTGCCTGTTTTTGAATGAGTCTTGGACACGTCACAGCTGTTACCTCCAGTTAAGTGCGAAGTAACGAAGCTGGGGCGAGGGGTGACTCAACTGTTTCAAATCTTGTATTTGCTGTATTATCCTTTATGAAACGGAAATCTCAAAAATGTGCACATTTCTTGCGCTGATTGTAAGGCTAGGAGTGAATTTCATGCTTGCTCAATGAGGCCATTAATATTTTTTAGCCATTTTCCATTGAAATCAGCTCCGCCTATAGCTGTAGCAAAAGTTTGTAACAGTCCTTTTCTTTCAACTTGCTTTTTTTCCTCTTGGAAGAAAATGTAGTTGCTCTCCATTCATAGTTAGTAATCAATATATGAAATGTAAAAAAGTTTGATACATGTAAGTACATTCATACAATGTAGAAATTCTGAATTTGGCAACTGAATGTTTCATGTTAATAGGGGTTTTTCCTCCTCTAGAATAACTCGACCAAGAAGAGGATCTAGTTATGCGGCTAATCACTGATGTCACTTACTTTCGATGTACTCAAATCTAATTTTCTCATCAATGAAAAAAAATAGACGATCAGTTCACTGGAATAAGGTGGAGGAAAGAGGGCGAGCTATAGACGCACTGAATAGTGGACTATCAGTGAAGTATTCAAGGAGACTGCCTCTCATGCTTTGTAATATAATCCTCATTCAAAAACTTAGAAACGATAGGACACTCTGTCAGTCCATCAGCAACAACTCACTTAAATTTCTGTTTTCAGAAATCATAATTTTGGTTTTGGTGATGTGGATAGGACATTTATTGCTGTGAAAGCAAGTTGTGCTTTGTGATTCTTCATGTGATTTCAAAGCTGTATGAAATTTTGTAGATATGTACATAATAGAACCTCTTTAACTATTGTAATTTACAATCGTTTACAGCTTCCCCCGAACTACAGTAATTGATTGAGTAGTCTGTACAATAAGGTCTAGTTTCTTAGTTAAAGATATTACTTAGACATCAATTTATTTATTTTTACAATCTGTAATATGTGGTTAAGTTTCTTTTTTTGTTAAACATCATTTTAAGTTTGACCATAGAAAAGATTCCGCTCGAAGGGAGCAAGATGAATGCAAGGAGAACTGAACACATCTTGTACTTTATTATTTTTAAAGTCTAATAAATATGTGTGTGTAAATCAAACTTAGAGGTTTTTTTTTTTTATCATTGTTGAAGGAAGTTCATCATGTTGTCGGAAAAAAGGCAAAGAAGTAAATGTAAAATTACAATTCATCACATTTAGCCCCTTAAAGTGTTCACTTGCATAAGAGAAGTGAAAAGATCCTTACATTTTCGTTTGCATGCTCTTTTTCTAACTTTCAATAAGGGAAAAGTTGTGGTTCTGATGGAGTTAACAGTAAATAATTTTTTTTTTTTTTTTAATAAGGCATTTGTAGAAGAAAATTGGCTGTGTTCATTCAACTGCATTTAAGGAAAAAGGTTTCGAGAATATGCATAACAAAATGACAAGAATTGAGGAAAACTTGTTTATTTACAATTAATACAATAATAATGGTCACAAAACACGTAGAAGCAAAAAATAATAACAGTCTATAATTTTACCATCTCAGATCATCTTGTTTCAAAAAGGAAATTTATCTTAGACCTGTGAGAATCTTGGGAAAATTAAGGGTTAAAAGTTATGAAATGAGGTAAAAATTTCTCAGGGTACCTTTACAGATAAAACTTGATAATATGATGATTCTAGATCTGCTGAAGCATAAATATTTTTAATAGAAATTTTGATTTAAAAATGTTCCGCTTAAAATTTAGGGAATTTACAGTTTTTCCAGTACTGTCTCCTTCTGGAAATAGTGATCAATTCTTAGTCCCATTTTTACCAAACTTGAATTGTTGATGGTTACTTTTTCCAATGAATATAATATTTTTTTCATTGAATCAAGACATCAGAGACACCTGTTAGAGATGGAGTGTTTCTTTCCTGAAAACTAGAGTTTTCCCTGGAAAACTTTCTCTTTATAGAAACATATCTTCCAGAAAATCCTGATGAAATAGAGAAAAATGAGTAGCATTTTCGGATTCAGCGCAGAAAAGTACCTTAACAAGACTTACAATATTTTGAGCTTTCTTTGGGGTGTAGGCTAATATAATTATTTGAGATTTAATACCATTATTTACCCTTTGTTGACCTTATCCAAATGTCTCACCGTCGAAAGGAAGGATGAAAACAATTTTTTAGGTGTTAGAACTTTTCTTACCCAATTTTTGCTACTGAATCCAAATGTGACTTCGGACTCTTCCTATAAATTACCTTTTTCCCGAAAAATTGTTTTTCAATGTAAAAATGCATACAAAAAAGAATCATCTCTTGGCACAAGTAATATCATCCGATTTGACTGAAACTTTGCAGATGGTGTTTTTAACAAACTTGTGAAAAACATTTTGTCATAAAAAATCAGGCCACCTTAAAGTCACACACACTACAAGTGATCCATGATCTCATCGCAACTCATTGTCAGCTGAGCAGTGTGAACTGATAACTACTGGCCGGCCATGTCCCTTCCTCACCTTGCCATTTTTGAAGTCCAGACAAGATATTAGGGTGGAATGATTATCTGTAGCTAGCAGCTTGAATGCTGAAATTTTGTGTTAGTCGACTGGGCAAGAAAAGACTAAATAGGAATAGAGTTATGTGATTGGTTGACATTAAAGTTATCCTTGTTGTTGTTGTACCAATGTCAGGTGGATCAAACGACAAAATAAAGGCAACTCAAGAGGTGCCTTTAGTTTGTCATTGATTTCAATTGACAAAAAAACCGATAAAAACTGTGACTATTAAAGCCGACCGATCACATAACTCCATTGCCCCTTGGTTTTACCTAGTCGCAAAATACAAAATTACAACAACCAAGTTGCAGGCTGATGAAATTTTAAGTGTTCTTAGAAACTATCGCCAAGGATTGAATGATGGCAGTGAACTATCTGGATCACTACATCATTCCTTTCAGAATGAGTGTTCCTGTTTTACAGAAATAATTGACTATGGCTGTGACATATTTTTGACGTATTTGCCTTAAACAATTTCAGACAAAAAAATTGTGAAAGTAATTTTTGATCAACAAAAAAACATATCAAAAACTAAACGATTTCAGCACTATCATGCATGTGTCCTCTTTGGCATTAGACATAATAAAAGCATCATAAGATGTGAACTTTTTTCGTGAAAAACAACTTAATGACAATACGGCTAAAGAATAATTTGTTAGCTACATTGGTCCATCAATGTATTCCCGTTAATTACTGAAGTACCAATAACTAAAATTTGAACATTTAAAAGTGTTTCTAAAAATTGAAATGCAGCTATTTCTGCATAAGTTACCCCTCCAATAAAGTAAACCATAATTTTATTTCGCATTGGTGTGACTAGGTTTTGATTCTCTTTACCTTTCACTGTACAGTGAGGGAAAATTTTTGTCAGATCATCTAACGATAGTTCCTTCTTCCATATAAGATTGACCAACTGACATGCAATCGGAATGTAACCTCCACTAAAAACATAGCTCATGTCCGTTGGATTTTTTAAATCCAGGTTCTCCATGAAACTTGGAATGAGACCTAGACGCTGACACAATGTCTGAAATGCATTTTTTCTTGCAACCACATGTGTCAGTCGATTGGCAATCCCACTTTCAGCAGCCATCACATTCATCAGACTAGGTTGCTCAGTAAAAAGTCCTATTTGCTCTAGATTGTGGAAAACGGTTAGATATTGATAACCATATGCTTGCAAGAACTGCATTTTAAGTGACTTGGCCTCTTCTGCATTAAGGCCTTCTTGTGCAAGAGACAGCAGACAAATGAGCCGCAGAACAATTAATTTGTCCTCCTCTGCAAGAGCGATTTGATTCTCTATATACTGAGTAGTTTCTCGCTTGTCTCTACCTGCAATTATATTTTGCTCAATTTCATGCTGCTTCACGAAGCGGGCTCCGATTTTCTGAGACACAGCCTCGCAAGCTGTCACATGGTGTCCAAGGGACTGTTTCATTGATCGCACATTTCCCAAATTCTGACTAATGTATGCTTTCATTTCTTGCAGGCCCATGTTTTGTGATTTTGCATATTCTTCTTGCAGCCGTTTTGCCTTTGAACTTAAATGAGATGAAACATCACAGAAATGCCTATATTTAATTTGTGAAAATGTCTCTTCTTGACTACATAAACTAAAACTAATTTTTGTGTCAGGAACAGTTATGGTGCCACTTTTGATTCCAAAAACTTCATCTAGAAGGCTAGTGTAAGTACCTGAGGTGAGAAGAGGAGAAGCATAATCTATATCACGATCTAAAATGATGCAGTAAGATATATCTTGGCTCTTTCCATCTGGTCGCCCAAGGTTCTCCAGGAATTCATGAACAATTTGGTCCACTTTTTTGGCAATGCGACCGAGATGAATTGTGATTGTTGGAGTTCCAAAGACAAGCTGAGTGGACCACAAAGAGCGAGCTATCACAGGCAAGAAGGATAGGTTATTTTGGACGAAGACCGTTTGAAATATTTTTGGTAATTCCAGGGATAGAAGAAACTTATCAAGCCTGTAATCATAAAGCAGTGATTAATTTTTTAGGCAATACTAATTTATGACTGGAATTGCGAAGAGGGGACTCGGAATGACAAATTAAAGATAAATGACCATGAATAAGGTGTGCCAGACCACTCGTAGCAGGCTGTTTTCTCAGTTATTTTAGGCCTAAGGAGGTCGAGGATCGCATAGTTTAACAAGGAATTCGCCCTAAAGAATTCAGATTTTATCATCCTAGCTACCTTAGGGAGGTATAAAAGGGTTTCTATTGTTGACAATTGAAGTTCTAGTCACAATTTTGAAGACATTTGATAAAAATCGAAAATTGCATATAATTTTAACTGGAATCAACACCAAAATTGACCTATTCTCCAAATTACAGACCCCTGAAGTTGGGGATAGAGCTCCTCTGAATTACATGCTGGCTTGCTGAATTGACGTAGAGGCCCCAGAAAAAGGTGTTTCGATCAGTAATCGACCCTAGGAATCAGAAACTGACTGTTCAGAAGCACCCCAAGACCTGCAGCTTTCACTGGTAAGGTGGTGGGTAGGCCATGAACTTATCAAATTTGTAAGTTCAGGACCTCTACCATAATAAGTAGAGATCCTGAGGGACCTCTTAATCGACAGACAGATCTTCTAAAGTTGATTACCCATAAAAACACCTTTTTCCAGGGCCTCTCCGTTAATTTGGCAGCCTGGTATGTTATCAAGAGCGGCTCTGTCATTTGCCATACCTACTTTCAAATTCATCGGAATTGTACCAATTCCAAAATTGTACTTCAGGATGAAGAAATTTGGATTCCTCCAGGCCCATTCCTTGCAAGTCCCTGCTGTCTTTGAATTCTATTAACCTCTGTGTTTTTGTGTTTCATTGTCAAAATAATAACAAGTTTTCCTATTAAAATTGAAATCTTCTTACCACGGCTAGTCAATAATAATTCCTTCAATTTTATTTCAGTGGTAATTTAACATTGGTCTTCTCAATGAAAATTGCAAGGAAATTACCTTTTTCAGTGCTGTACTTACTAGAAAGTTTAAATGGTGTTTTGATGTTTCTCGATGAACCCTTGAGAAAATCTAAAAACTCTGAGACTCAAGTTGATGATTGCATTTCAGACAGAGGTGCTTAAAACGCAAAGCCTGACACCCATATGACGTTGACACCCGATGTAATGTTGCATTTTAGGAACAAGCTCATTTAATGAAATATTGTCATTTCAAATGGAAAACTCAGTAAGAAATCTTGAAAAAGTGAAATACCTGATAAGTCCATAAGACAAAGAGTATACTTGTACATACTCATACACTCCTTCCTCTTCTATAAGCTTCATAATTGAATCCAGTTTTCGAGGAACCAAAATTAGATTGAAGGCTGATCTACTTTCGAGCTGGATCTGAGCGTTGATTTGATCAATCACATGTTTTGCTGATATCAGATCTGATGGGATCATGAAAACAACTTGAGAGGATTTAGAGAGGAACGCTGATGCATCAAACTTGTAAATTTTATCAATGCCATGAGCTCTAGAAACAATAAAATCAATAAAAATAAAATTAAAACTCGGATTACAAAATATATTACAATCACACATTTACTAAACACTGCAACCTTTTGGTTTCATGGTTACACTGTTAATTTGTTCTCACTTACTGAAGAGGAATTCAGTTTCAAGCCACTTTATTCAGTGGTGGAACACGGGTGAACGACATCAAAAGCCGCATTTTCTAGAAAATACTATTCGGCGCAAAATCAAATTCCTAAATGGCAAGAAAAGAGGTGAGACTATTACTACAAACGTTCAGGCATATACTTTAAGATGATTGTCCACTTTTAATTCTATAAGCCGAGATTATAGATTTAGATCAGAAAAAAAAATAATAATAATAAAAATGTGGTCTGTAAGTATAACTTTTTCAGTACCTACACTGTGACGCTTGGCATTACCGCGACGCCATATGTGCCTGTCCTCATATGGGTCATAGAGCAACTGAAATTTTGAAATCTCCTGCTGCCATCCCTTCATGGGATATAGTGTATCTATATAAAGTGTTTGAAATGACATCATCAGTTGATTTAAGCAAAAAAGTTGGACGTTATGGTCCATTTTTTATGCTTCGAATTTTGAATTTTGCTAAAAGTGTCTTCAGCTAAGTTGACGGTTGTTTACTTTCGATTTGCAGGCATTTTCGCATCACTACTATCCACATGAAAACATCTGGCTCTCTCAGAAGCAAGAACACAAGCTTAGATAAGTTTTTTAATACTTTCAAACCTTGTAACACTTTAATTTTCAGCCACACAGAAATCACAACCACAAAAAAGTCACAAATCATAACTGTAAAGTAGTTTTCTTGCGGTACGATCATGAGACTGATGTTTTCAATGTGGATAGTAGCGAACGCCGCTTTGTTCAGGGGCCCAAATTCGTCGTTGGCACTTGCAAACTGAAAGTAAACAACCGTCAACTTAGCTGACGACACCTATATCCAGGTTGTACCGACCTGCATCAAGATAATCCTCAAGGTGCAAACACCTACTTTTTTTTCTCTATGCCTTTCGCCTTGTTTGACCTGCGGCTTTTGGTTAGCTCTGCTCAGACTCCGTGATACATAACCTCAAAATTTGGGTCTGAAGCCATTAACGTCTGGGCAAATATGGGATCTTGAAGAATTTTGAACTTCAATCAGGTCAAATTTTACCACTAATTTTGGAGGTTATTTCAGACTAAAATAAAATAGTACGCCTGTAAATCTTGTAGCGAGTGATAGCTTGATTTCTGTAAATCAAGCTGGTGCGTAAGTAAGACATACTTGGAGGTGTCCTTACCTTAAAACAGCAATGCCAACAATCCTCTCCAGAGGCTTAATCAGGTTTGCATCAATAACAAGATCTTTTGGACTAGGAATACTGTCAAGAATATTTGTCAATTGTCTTGCTGAGATTTGACGAAAGGCATCCACCTTTGACATGAAAGTTGCCATTGCAATACTGAATAAGCATTGAATTCAAAATTGGAGAGAAACAAATTTTCAGCGATAATAAAAGCTTTGTAGAAAAATAAATATTTAACAAAAGGTGATGTTACACCTTTAAAATTTAGCCATTGGAGAAAACTTGGCTCGGGAGATTCACTTCAATACTTCTTGGTTGTCGGGGAGAATTGATCTCAAGTGCAATTGATAAGAAGAGGGAAGAAACCATGGATTAAGTAAATGGGAATCGATCTCCTTAGGTGAACTTCAGCAATTTACTTGGAAGAATAAACGTCTCAGAGTAACATTCGAATTTCTTTTTCGGATAACCTAACAATCAGCACAGCACCACAGCACTTATCAATATTTTGCTTTTTAACAACAAAAACAAACAAGACGTGGCAACATTGTAATGACAAGTGGGAGCATTATACAGGGTGGGCCATAAGTTTCAGGACGGCCGGCTATCTTTAGTACGGGTGCACCTGCTGGAGAGATGAAATTAAGTTGTTTCTAGATCATTAGAGGCTACTTTTTTAGGTATGTAAAATTTTGAGGGTCTAGCCCTGCACATCTAGCTGGACCTGCTGGACCCTAATTAATAATTTTCAAACAACACCTCTTTTTTGATACACTATTTAAAAGAAGATAGAAAGAGAACACTTGAAGTCTTTACGACTTTTTGCTTCTGAAATATTCTTGGTTCAGAATTGAAACAGACCTACTTTCAAAAAAATTCATTTCGATGGCCAAAGTGTATAACCATGCATCGAGAATGCATGTTAAGTAGAGATGCACTTAAACGGTTATTACAAAAACATGGAATAGTCAACACAACCATCCTTGCAACAAAACTTGTTGAAAAATAATTTTAAATATAATGTTCTTAGCGCATCTGTGTAATATTCATAGTTATTGAAATCCTATATAATTGTTCTCTTTGGATACTTGTGAAATGCATTTATGCCTGTCCTTTTAAATGCAAAATAGCTACTTAATAACTAGGTACATACATTTATAGGATAAAAATACTACTTTGAACTTCTGATCTATTATTTATCCTCATTTGAAATGATTTACAAACAAGTCAAAGTAGAGATAAGTTTTGACACTCTCTTCCAGAATATTCACTGATAAATTAAATCGGACGTAGTGGGCTTTCACAAAGTCTGATTTTATCATTCAACAGATCTTCAAGATAATCCTTTACTTCAAAACAGGAAAGCTAAAAGAAAACTACCCAGCACGAGTGCATAGAGTTTTTAGTTGAAAATTCAGATGACACATAAAGTTTAGCATCCAACAAATATTTGGGAAAAGATACTTTCAAGATCCAAATGCTTTTCCTAACTATTTTTAGATACAGAATTGATATTTTCAGCCTCCACTGCTACAAAGAAAAACTTACAAGGAAGAAACTGTGATGGTTGACTGCTACAGCTGGTAATACAATTGCTTCAGTTCCTGAGAAAATAATTTCCACGGATTCAAATTAAGGACAATTTATTCTAAAAATTATATAGAATTTTTTAAAGCTTGACGGGGGGCTGGAATAAGACGTTGCAATTCTCTGAAGGCACAGAAGCGCACTTTTTTACTCTATCAAGTTGAGATTTTTTTTCCTGCTGGTTTTCTTGGCTTTGCTCCTGTTAATGAAAGGAGCGTCCAGCCATCAATAGACAAATGGTTGAGATTTAAATGATAAGGGCTATTTTGAGCGAAAAAATAGTTTACTCACAAACAAAACAGAAAAATACGAGAGCTGCTGGCTATGGATGTACATAACAGCTAAAGGCTGATTTTATTTTTTTCGAAATCTACTCCGTCCACTGTTTGAACGATTTTTGGATGCCTGATATCCTTGCCAATAACCTGAAAAATGGTACAAACATATGGGCTTAGTTTTACTCTACATTTTCAATCATAAAAATTGAACTTCTTTCGGACTCTTTGACTAATTTTTAAAAAAATCGAAAAATCTTAAAAAGGCGGAAATACATACATACACACATATATAAAAATATACACATGAATTTGAATGACATACATTTTCGTGATCTACGACCCGTGATCGGTGGTCTTCACAATGTCTCAGCTGGTCTGGGTCTGACACCGTGGGAGAATGCAATAGTGTATTATCTTAGGAAAATACACTAATAAGGGGCTCCGTTCAGGGCTAAAACTATGTTTAGCTCTCATTTTTTTTTCTCAATTTCATCATCTGTTTAATTTTCAAGGATATAAAATAAAAAAACTTACTTTCTTAATGACCCGTGCAAAGCTGCAGACAGTGATTTTACAATGATACGATATTTTTTTTTGAGAGCATCAATATCTAGTAAGGAGACTTATGAAGAAATTAAAGCCCCAAGATATTCCCCGCAAAAGGCGTTTGCAAGTTGCCCACGGAATGCTTCATTTTATCTCTGAAGGACCAGATAGTCCACACAGAAATTATATAACACAGAAAAACTAACAAAAATAAGCGTTTTATTAGTGGGCTTAGAATTTATCCAGCTTCGATAATGTTAGAGAAAGAGCAGACAACAAAGAGAATGCTTCGGTTCCGACAGAAAGATTCACTTTTATTGATTCCTTTTTTACTTCTTCATTCGAATATTGGCCAAGTGGCAATGGCCATTTTCACAATAGCAGGTCAATGCTGACGCTGGCTAGCCAATGTTAACAATGGCTAAGCTTACTGTCCAGAGTCAACTTTGACCAGGCAATGGCAACACTTGACAGCTAATCTTACAATTGAATGAGTTTGCTGACCAGTGTTAGCAAGCCTGTTAGCCTGTTAGGCAAATAAGCTTGTCAATTTTGTCATTAGCTGGCCAAAATTGACAGACTAACTTGGCCAGTATGGACATTGACTGGCCAATGACAGCACTGACCATCATTTACATTGGTCTTAACACAAACAGCATTTTATGAACATACCAGTGTGGTATCCACTCATATACCAGGAAAGCAACATTGATGAGACAATTTCTGACTCTGACTGTGGGAAATGATTCATGATATGAGGTGGGATTGGAGGAGGAATCATGGGCTGTCCACCCTTGAACTGTAACAGAGATTAAAATAAAATTAAACAAATTATGACCTACACAAAAATAAGTCATCTACTTGTTGTTGTAAAAAGTTTTGCTGATGATTTGTAAAATGCAATGTTGAGCGGTATTCCAAAATTAATCAATAAAGGAGGGTATTGAAAAATAAGATCCACGAAATCTCGCTTGGCTGCAACGGGGTAATTAAAAACCAAAGACACTGGAGATTGTGGTTTTTGCATGACACATGATAATCTCCGAGTTNGGGGGGGGGGGGGCTGCTGCTTGATATCTTCAAGATTCATTATAAGAGTACTAAATTGGTAGAATGATACTCAAAGAAAATTAATATAGGAATAAAAACTTTCTCAGCGAAAACATAAAATTCGGGTGTCTGAAAGGTTAAAGTCCTCATCAACCCCTTAGGATATTCTTCAAGACGTTCTGTAGGTGCAAATATAGAGTCAAAGACAAAATTACTAAGAACAGCCGAACTTTGTGACAGTCTGCCAGAGGAGAGAAGAGAGAAAGGCTCGTGATTAAGCAACACCCAATTTTTTCTCCCACAACTTTTTACTCCTGTGGCTTCATTTTTGAACCTATTTTCAAAAGACAAAAAAGTCTTACTTTGACCACCAGAATTTCTCCGTGAATTTTTTGCTGTTGACCTAAGAAAATCTTTTGGAGTCTCGACCTCCATTGTTGCACATAGTAATACAACTGATTAACAAGATATAAATTAGTAAAATCTACCAAAAATCTATTCACTGATCAAAAAAAATTTCTCTATATTAAGAATCTTCCACACTGTTTTTGCACAATAATATGCTTGATGCTCTGGACAGAAGACATCAGAAAAAACTAAAATATCAATGAAATTTAGGACTTGAAAAAGCCTTAAGAGCTTCGTATGCAATGAACGCTACACTTAGCATACAATTCAAAAACTTACTGGACTGAATGTCGATCGATCTGGAGGCATTCTAAAAAGAGGTCGACTAGAATCACATTCAGTCATTTCATCAGTTTCAATTTCACTGCTCTGGGCTGTTCTGTTGTCTGTCAATTCCTGTAAAGAAAAAAAGTGAGTCAAAGAGGTGTGAGGAAGGTTCTTTATCATTACACCTGGTGATATCAAACCTAATGTTAGTGTTCCACTCTCCAAAAAAGTCCTTGAACTCTAATGAGTATTTAGAAAGAAATTCTATACAGAATTTTTGAAAATGAGCTAGGACGTGAGCCTTCAAAACTGGCAAAAATATAAAACAGACAGAAAAAGCTGATACCTAAGTTTATTAAGTGTAGAGCAGCTATAAAGGATTAGATACTGACAGCGAAACTACCAAAACACTTATTTCATTTGCTGCATTCAAAAATTTCCAAACCTATTTTATTGTTGTAGAGGAGAACAGATCAAAACCATTCCGCGAATTTTTCACAGAATTTTTTTCTTTGGAGAAGAAAAACCACTGCAATTTTCTAGAATTGCTGTTAAGGAGTTTTTCATTTAAAAAATAAAGCATGACAGGAGATTTGCAACAATGCAAACCAAGATAAATGGTTTGGGAGTTTATTTTTCCATATAATATTCGATGATTAAATTAAATGACCATTTAAAGGGTGCAAATTAAAAACCTAGTATAAAAGCATTATCAGGTGTTGTTGAGGCGGCTCTCTGTTTTTCTCATACAACCAGTCAAGTGACCTAAGAATAATTTTCATAATTAAAAAGACTAAAATTGAGAAAAAATAGGCAAATAAAAAGCCCATCAAGTGAAGGGGTTTAAGTTGTTTTACAAAAAGAAACACTATTCACGATTAGAGCAAGATCTGAGGGCCCATATCAGATTTTAAAGTTCCAATTTTAGATAAGTGACGTCATTCACATCAACAGAACAGTTTCAATTTCATTCAGACCTGGAGATATGCTTCTGCAGCTAAGAAATCCAACCCAGCACACTCTGTTTATGAGCCCTTCCTCTACTCCTTTTAACTTTGTCCTGTATTCACCAAGGATCAAACAAACAGAGCTTCATCAACATCCTCCATCTAAACTCTATGTCATCTTAAAAATCACCCTTGCGCATTGAGTATTGCATGAATTACAACAAAATAACCTCGTCTGAGAAATACTACAAAGAAAGTATGGTGAGAATATTAATGCTTACATCTACTTCAGCTGTGGCTTCCATTATTTGTCTCTGTTGCGCTTCTTTGCCCAACGATTTCTGAATGTATTTGTTTGCTACTTTTTCTCTGTTCTTGTAACCTAAAACAGTGCCATACAAAACTGAAATTAATTCTGGGTGATGATGTTTGTTATTGTGAGTCAAATTCAGTATAAATTTCAAAATTCTCAAGACAGAGGATCGATTTCTTTCCGCACAATTTTCTCTCAGACAGACAAGGTGCATGGTGCAATAATATACTTCCTGACAGCAGGATTAGCAGCCTGGCAGCCAGGTACTACTGCCTTGTGGCTGGTGACTAAATCCAACATGACTTGACTGAACATTGAAATAGATTTAATAGCAAAACCTTATATATAAATATGGTCAGAAAACATGATTTTCCTTTACCCCCGCCCCCCCCCAAAAAAAACAAAACATTTTTGGAGTCCACTGACCAAGGAAAATTAAGGATCCCCTTAAAATTTAGTCAGCCAATCAAAGTATAGCAGGATGTTGAAAGCATGGTCTGCTGGAGGGTGCAAGAGCTTTATCTATAGTCTATGATTTCCAGAGCACGGGGACAAATGTTGTATCCAAAATTTTCACCAAAGTCTGCAACCACAGGCATAATTTAATTGCAAACCCTTCTTCACCCACCGTTAGAGTAACCGAATATGAATGTGAGTGATTGGAGATCACGAGTGTCTGCTGAGGACAGAATAAAAATGATAACTGTTGTTAGGGAGACGACAATCTTTTTGATTGGAAATTATTCTAGAAACTGTTAGATACCTTGAGCTATTTTCCAACATATTGCAATAGCTCTTTTAATTGACAAGACAGAAACAGATGAACTACCTGCAAACTCGACAAGACAACAAGTCTCGAAAACTTTGATAATAGTAGCCTCATAGTATTTTTGGTCTTCGCTATATAATGCTCGAACAAACATACCCTCTTCCAAGAGAACCTGAAGTGAGGAAAAAAGAATAGAAAGTATTAAAAAGAAGAAATGAAACAAATTAAGTACAATGTTGCCATACGCTATAAAAATTGCTTTTTCTCTAATTGAGACTCCTTACAGAACTGAGGGTCTTGCAAGTTGAATGGACTTCTTTGAAAAAAGGGAAGCATTCACAATGTTAAGAATATTGGGTAAAATTTTTTGGCTACCAATAGACTAAGAGTCTTGTAGAAAAGGGAAAGGTAAAAACCTGGCGTGAGCACAATGGAAACTCACCACGGTGAGCCTGGCCTGGGGACCACGGCTCCTCACTGAGATGAGCTGCTGCAATTCTCTATAGGCATGAAAATGTCCCTTTGCTACTATGCCAAATGGAATTCCTCAGACTGTAATAGTGGCTATAAGAGGTCTAAAAAGCGACTGCACTTTACTGAGCCTCTTCCTGAAACTGAAATGATGTCCTCATATATGAAAGAGGAGTATGATATAGACAAGCTCACCTTTTGAGGCACTGTGGAAGGAGCATGATGGGGCATTTCTACATCAGGTTCAACCTTGCCAAGAATGAGATTTTTATTCGTTTCATCGATAGCTTGTTCATAAGCTTTGACTAGAAGCAAGTTATCATAAACAACACCATCAATCTCTATGGTTTCTTGCAGACACTGCCAAAAAAAAGGAGTTTATGTTAGTCCCAAACAGTCTAAATACATACGTAATTCTTTGTAAATTAAATTATTCAGACATAAACTGGACTTGCAAGCTTAAGGGTTTTATTAACAAGGACCTACATAGTGACATTATTGATTTTAAAGGATTTTAGTGAGAACATCAGGCATCTTTCATCTCCAATTTTACGAAGAGCAATTAGTAATTATTATACAAGAAAATATACTTTTCGGTTTTAAAATAAGGTACTCATCAATCACTAAAAGGCAAAACCACGTACATCCTTTGTAGCGTTTTACAATCTCTACTCCTTTAATATGTTTTAGAAAATAAACAAGTCAACGAGGTATACTTAAAGCTTGCAATTTATGCAAAATATTTTGCTGATACAGAAAAAAAATCAAAGTAGGTTTGGAGATACTAAATTGGCTAGTTTCCCAATTAAAAGGTAAAGTAAGTCAGGTAGTCTACGATGACGCGAACAGAGAGATGTGGCTTTGCACTTTGGCCATTAACATATGTATTATCGGAGCATTGCAGCAACGATGTGCAAAAAAAATTTCAAACTTGTGCATTAACTGAAGATATTTCTGTATGAAAAGTTGCGAAAAATAAGAAAAAACTTGGTCCAAAGCCTTCTTAGTGAGGATACTCAAGGATGAGGAGCTGAGTGCAGTCTGTGGCAGCATTTTTCTGGATACTTAAATGGGCTGGAGGGAAGGGGTAACCTTTTCATTTTCCATGTGCTTAGCTCTTTAGATCAGAATGTGGGATTGATCTTCAATTTAATCAAGTAAGAACTTTCTGAATAAGGTTTCAGTTCATGCCTAAGTGGTGAGTTCCTTTATAAGCAAAAAAACTTTCCTCTGGAGCATTGTTAGAGTCAATCTTAGAATCGTTACGGAATAACCACAATCCATATGCGGATGTAGCTGTGGATTTTGGCATTGATTTTATCAATGCATTTAAGCATTTATCAATCATGGTCATACGATGACGGCTCAATAATACAGGCGCTGGTGAAAGGTGATCAAAGAAGAGAAAGTTTTTTATTTTGAAGGGGGTTAATTACGCAATCTTGTTGTTGGTTTGAGTATGGTGCAATCTGGCTTTTGGCCAATCGGCGACCGTTGTAGCGTTGTGATAGCGTGGGGGCGATCGGGAGTGTACTACCAATCGCAGGGGTTCATAGAGCTTGGCGAGATTACGCAATCTAGAGTCCCCCTCTAACGCAATCAACAAACTTAATGATTGTTTATAGCTGTGTGGATGTTGAAAAAGACACTGGCAGTGAAAACACACTGAGATATCAATATATCCGAGCGTTTGATTTAGGAGAAGAGAAAGTAATCTGAGACTCACCTCGAGCTGAGCCATCGCATGAAGCTTAGAAATACGAAATTAGAAGCAGGAATTGCGATTTCAAAGTTATGCTAACTTGCAGGTAAAAATGAAGTCGAAAACGGACACAATCAAGCAGTAATGAAACGTGAAACTCGAGAGATCACGAACACGGTTCGTTAACAAATATGATCAAACGCTAGGATTTTTCAATTTTCATTCTCACATGTGCTCGACTGGCTCGACATTGTTTATTTACATTTACACAACTCACCAGTCACCGCAATCACCCAATTGATTAATGGTGAGTAAAATTTGCCACTTAGTACAGTTTAAGCAAAATTAATGTATTTGATAATATGTAATTTAAATAATTTTTTTGCTATACCTGACAACATAGAAAAGTCAATTTGGCGCGCTCGGCGTTTTAAGTTCTTCTAACCTCTCCTAGTTACTTTTTGTCTTTTTCTTTTAGTGAGTTTTTGTCTCCGCTTTTCTTTTTACATGCTTTCTTTGGATAGCCGTAGTGGAAAGTTTATTCTATGGTTGTGATTGTTAGCTCATAGTGCTTCTAATGAACTGCCTTGTGACAGTAGCTCCGTAGTTCAATCGTTCAATCCGGATCCGATTGCCATGGAATTGTCGAAAACCTTTAGAGACAACATCACCAGTAGGTTTGAGCATGACTTCTCGACGGTGTAAGTCGGCTATCACATAACTCGGTTTGCGACGTCGCAGACCTCTTGTTATACTTATTTTTTAAACGGAAAACTACTCAACGGCAAATCTTTAAAACTGCGGTGATTTTTCTTCTCTGTGTGAAGAAAATTCTGCAAAAACTTCAAGGAATGATGTCAATTTGTTCTCCCATAAAAAAATAACATAGAGGCAGAGATTTTTAGACACTGCAAACGAGTTATGTGATTGCCGACTTACACCGTCGTTCTGTCTCAGGATGTAATGATCTTCCAGCGGCTGAACCGACTGTCACATGGGTACCTACCTACGTACCGCATCATCATATTGTTCTGCAAAGGATGTAATCCATTGCCACAAAGTTTATTTGAATTTATCATAAGTAATAATTCATTCGTCTAGAATCAGGAGATTCTCTTGAAGTACATGTGTTCATCAATTGCGGCCAAAGCAATCTGTCTTATGGTTAGATGATGGTTGAACCAATGCTTGATGAATTATACTGACTAGCCTTTAAATCTGGAATATTTAGTTTATGAAAGTCAGCAGCAATTCAGTGGCGATAGATATATCGCATTTGGTGCCAGGTTTCTAAATTTCTGCTGATATTTCATTTTTCATGAAAACCCAATGAGTGTTAAAACATTTTAGCATCCATGCGAAACAAGTTTACACTCTTTCAGATTGTAGTAGTGTATTGTCTTGACACCATTTTAGCATGGAAAGTAAATGGAAGAATCAAGACTCCCAATCTGCTGTCCCAGTTGCAAATCGCGTACTTAAACTTATTTGGCGTGAACTCTAATAGAACAGTCTAAACAGAACAACACAAAAAATTCCAAGATATAAGTTCAACAGTCTTTCCTTTTTTATACTTAAATTTGACAAGAATCGTGTAACGTGGCAAGATGCACCTTTTGTGGCTTAAACCATAGGATTAAGATCAAGTAGCTGAAAGTAAAATCTTCTACGGTAATTTTTACCATCAGTTTTACCAGGATGCTTCAAAAATGTAATGAGAATATTTAAAGTTGAGATTTGCATGTAGATTTTTTCCTGTCTTCAACAATAAATATTTACTTTTAGCCTGTTTAAATGAAGAGATGTTGCAAGCGGTCTATTTTAATTTTTTTTTTCAGAATTATTTGAGGAGTATTCTTTCAGCAACCACTTTGGAGAACTGTTGGACATCATGAAGACACAAGATGATACGCAGCATTACTCCCTCACCATCAAGTATACTTAAAACCTATCATATCATTCTTAATAATTCTTTTAATTTCAGGCAATTTTGAAAATATTATTCTATGCACCTACAGTTTGTCTATTGTATGTTGAGACAAAATTCAATCTCTCATTAGCCCAAAATTAGCACCAATCAAAAAGTTTATACGTGCTTTGAGATGACACTGTTGATAAGTGTTAATAAACAAGGTTTGTCTTTTATGTCTCAACAATCGATGAACAAACTCTAAGCAGACGAAAGTAGATGATTAAAGTAGGGTGGACATATTTACACCTATAATACAATGTAGATCGAGCACAAGGCTCAACTTAGTAAGAGAGAAATGGTAGGACAGCTTGGAAGTCAAAATTGGGCCTTCATAATGAGTGTTGCAACCTGATATACTCGTAGCACTTAAATAGGTACTTCCCATAACTTGTATGCATCAGAGTTGCAGAAAATGCTCAAGCATGCAAGCCCCTTGCTTTAGCATGTTATGATGAAAACTCTTGAGAACATGAAGAAATTTTTTGATCAAAATGTTTCTACTTTGAAAACTGAAAGAAATCATTAAAGCGTGATCATAATTGAAATGTTTTGGCGCAACATACGCTTTTGACCTTTTTGCAAAGTGAGAAAATTTTATGACTGAGATTGCGACTGATTTTTTCTCTGAAGTACTTTCTGCACCCCTGGTTTGCATGCTTTGTACCCTTCAAGTTAGGCAGTATTGCTGGTTCCTTGAATTTGTTTGTGCTACACGCAATGGGGGTTGGCTATCTATTGTCTCATTGGGCCAGCCTTTTACTTAGTCATATTATCATCACCTTTAAGGGTAGAATGTTTTCACATCAATTAGATGCTGCAGTTCCTGCCATGTTTCTTGATAAATCTGAGGTACCAATGTTTACAAGACCATCAAGTTGATCAAATATTTAGCTCTATAAGTCCATCCCATCCTTCAATTATTTTATTTCATGTACTTATTGAAATGGATTATACAAATGATACAATGACACCTGTCTGCCTCATCAAGGTATCTTGCCTGACTTTGATGGAAGATTTAACATAGAGGTTACAAAGGCAATCAAAATAATAAATTAAATCAATGAATAAAAAAGAGAAGAACAAACCGTATGAAACAACTTCCAACCACTACAAACTACCTAAGTTTCCTAAAATTGTTTTTAAAACTCTCATGAGGTATCCTGACCAGAGGAGCAATGTGTTCCTTTTTTCCTCATAGGATCGTTTTGATGGTAATCTAATAAAAAAATTCATTTTGAAAAGTTTAAAGTTCTTTAAGATTTTCACACAAAAATAAAAATGTAGAAAAATGTTAAGCCTGTTTTTACTTTTTGATAGTTTTCTGAATCTATTTGAAATGAGTACGGAACTTGGAGATGCTGTCTTGTCTAATTCAGTTCTAGTCCTTGGCTTGTGTGATAAAGCACTTGTCAAAGTTCAATATATGATTCGAGACACCTCTGATGATGAAACAAAGAAGACTCTATTGGTCAAGGATAAAATTCATGCCCGTATGACAGGTATTTTTCAACTCAAGATAACTAAGATAATGCCTTAGATTTTAAGTTAAGCCAATGAGTCGGTACCCAAAAATTCCAAATGGTGATATTTTGGTAGCATTTAAAAGTTTATCAATCAAAAGACACAGTTTTGAGAATACTCTCGAAATTTTGAGAAGCAGATGCAACTGCTAACACCTCTGATTTTAGAGGCTCACAGCAGCAGTTTAGAAATAAACCACTAAACAAGAAACGAATTTAAGCTTCCTGATAAGAATTCCTAATCAAATTTTCTTGTCAAAGAATACGATTTGCGCAACGAAAATTACTGAAAGTAAATCTGAACTCTTAACTAAGATATCCAACGGGTTTTTTTTTATTAATTCATACTCCCCACTCATGAAAAAATGAAAGGCTACATAAACCAAATCGTCCAATAAACGGTACCATGACAGTTTCTGCGGTATGAAAATACAGCAACCTCAATCTCGGTGCTCCGGCTCAGTTGCTGCATGTTGTCAACTCTTTGAACAACACAGGGTTGGAAAGGAACTATGCTAGATTTAGACGCCTGCTAAAACCATTGTAGTGTGCAATTTGATTCAAGTAGACTATTGTTTTTCTTGTGAGCAGGAAATTCAAAATTCTCATAACCAATGTAAACTAAAGATGTTAATATCTTAGTTAGAAATTATTTTTAGTAATTTCTGTTTCACGAATTGTGTTCTATTTTAAATTTCGGTTAGGGAACAAGTGTCAGAATCCTTCAATTTGCATCTTATCTTGTGGTACATTGTAGACTGCAGACTCGTGAGGTCAATGGAGATATATTATGGGAAATGCAGGGCAAGAATGGTAACTATGAAAAAAGAGTTTGAAACATAAAAATTTAATGCGGTACCTACATAAAATCTTTTATCATCAAATGCTCCATTATTTTGCTCCCTAGGTATCACCACACATCATTGTTGAATACCATTGCTCAATGAAGTTGTGACTTTGCTATTTTCATTTTCAGCATTACCAGTTTGTCCTGAACTGCATAGAGTCAAATTTCCTCTCAATGAGGATATTAATAATTTCCTCTGTGTCACTGGCACAGTTGTGCGCACAGCAGCAGCCAAAATGCTGGAGTATCAGCGTGACTACATTTGCCTTAAGTGCAAAAAGAGATTCACTGTTAAGGTGAGCATTTCTATGTGACAGAAATAACATGAATGTAGTAAGTTTGTTTACCTTGATTTTTTTGCAATGGACCAACAAATCAAGAGGACCACTCTCACTTCACTGTGATAATGATTACCTGTGTTACTTAGCAGAGTGACCCCCTCTTGCCAAATTCATACTTAGAAAAAGACTCTGAGGTATTGTCAAAACAAAAAAATTAGGAAATCTGAAGAGGACTGGCTCCAACATTTTTTAGTTGGGAGATCGAGGCAGAGTCGGAAAAGATGAGAGGAATTTTTAACTTCATCGTTACCTTAAAAACGTTGTCCTAACAAAAACGTTTGACATGATCAGTGACATCTTAATTGCATCTTTTTCTTTGTATTCTGCAGTAACTTCCTTGTTTTTATGTTGCTTAGTTTAATTTTAATCTGTAATTTTGTTGTAATTCCTTTTATTTAACTGTGTTACCTAGGTATGTAAATTATCTTTCTTTGAAAAAATGAGGAATCATAAAAAACAAAATTCCCCCTTTTCACACTTCAAGGGTCTTTCCTCTTTCGGCAAGTTCAGAAACCTCCCATATTTTCACTCGCTTAGGGTGCATGTTTGGGTATACTTTTCACACCTGGTTTTATATTTCCTTCCAAAATTCCCTTCAATTTTGTCTCTTCCCTAACTTTTTGTCCATTTTTGGAACCAAAGAAGTCATTTCAAGTGAAAAAGCAAACTAATTTTGTGAAAATCAAGAACACCTCTTTGTGTTATTAATGGCAGCTATGCTGCAGGAAGCTGCTTGTAATTTAACCGTTTCCTCTCAAATTCAGCCGTTTGCTATTTTAGAGTCTCTTGAATGTCCTGGAGTTAATTTTTTCTCAATTTTCAGGCTGCTTACGAAAAGATGTACATATTATCTGGACCAACCAAATGTGAAAATGAGGATTGTCCTTCAACAAATTTTACTCCTGTCAAAACAATTGAGTGCGTTAATTACAAAGATTATCAGGAGATCAAAATGCAGGTAAGAAGTTTATGGAAAAATGATTCTGCAAGCCAATCCCGTGTAGATTTTATACCTTTGTTGAAAACTATGCTGAAATGGAGTTGTGTTCTTGGTAGTTGAATAATGTGATTTCTTTATGGTTCAGTCAAGTAGACAAAGTTATAGGCACTTCTTTTGTTGCCAGACAGTTTTTTTTTAGTTCTACTTAGTTGATGAAGTAACCATATGTCTGCAATAAAGAATGTCCCTAGCCTTCCGATTTTTCAAATTGGCCTCCCCTTTAAAAAAAACCCCTCTTGCTGTCTCTCTATCTCTAAGACTTTTTAGTTGACGCAATCAATCTTGACCCACTTGTCGTCCGGCTGAGGAATACCCCTTTTCTTATACTTTAAATAGTCAATGACACTGCCTTATGTAAGCTTAAATAGTCTTATTTCGTCTGAATGTCCAAGGCGAAGCCTCAATAATAAGCTTGCAGGAATAGATTTTACCTCTGGTATCTATAGTACAGTCAAGTATCTGCTAGTGAGGACAAAGAGTCATGATTTCAGGAAAGTAGACGAAAAGTAAGAATTGTATGTCAGTCAAAAATTGCATTTTTTTACAGTTATACTAGAAAATTTGCAAAAACAGTGCTCTAAAATACTTGCAGTAGCTAAAATTTTCATTTTTAAGGTCAGCATGAAAGCTGACGTATTTATGTGGTGCAACAATAGTACACTCGTAGTCACCGTCTGTTTTTAAAAAAAGCTGATCTCCTGCTACTTAAAAATAACTTAGGGAATGAAGGAATTTTAACTCTCCAACGCTCAGGTATCTTTGAAATTAATAGTTTATCTGTGATGCAAAATTTTTAGGAACAAGTTGGGAAACTGGGAATGGGAGTTATGCCACGGTCAATGTGGGCCACCCTGGAAGATGATCTTGTTGATACTTGCAAGCCAGGGGATGACATTGTTGTTTGGTAAGTTCGTTTTTCTCAGATTTGGTATTTTCCCTCTTTCGTAGGAAGAAGGCTTCTTATTAATCAGAAATGTGAAAGGCAAAGTTCATTAATGACTGATTTTTGGTTTTTCTATTTTTCAACATTAAGGGAAAAGAGAGAGTAATGAATCTGACATCAGTATTTTAAAATATTGCACCATACATAATGATAATGGTATCTCAGTTTTTTCCCAACAAATAAGGCTCAGATTTATTTTCTGGGTAATGAACTACTAGACAAGGTGCGAATTGAAACAGTATGATGTATGTTTTCTCATCAAAATTTCAAGTAGAATATAATTTATGAACAAAAATCACTGAAATCAATACCCTAGCTAGATATTCTCGTTCTTACTTAGCCCGGGTTACAAAAAAATTGAATTTCTCGCCCACAAGAAAAACCCGAGTCTATGTAAATCAAATCTCGCATCACAATGGTTTTAGCAGGCTACTTAATCAAGCAATATTCCTCCTCTGACCTGTGATGTTTATAGTGAAAACATTATGTTAGCTGTTGAAGCGCCAAGATGAAAAATGCTTTATTTTTAGTCCGCAGAAGCTGTTGCAGTAACGTTTAGTGGGTGATTTAAGCCAAGTAGATTATGGTTTTTTCAAGTTTGTACCTGTGCATCAGAAAACGTCTATATACTGGTTAGAAGTCACTTTCAATAATTTTCATTGCCTAAGATGTGCTCTACAAGAAACTTTGATGACAAAACATATATTATAATGGTCAAATTTGCAACCTGTGTAAAAACTCTAGCGGTCCACTAAGATATCTGATACATTTTTCTTGTGCCAAAAAGCTTCATGAAACCAGCTTTGATGACTATCATTTGAGAGGAAATACTTGCCATGCTTCACATAATTTTCCAATCTTAAGTCACATTTTTAAGTGGGCTCCCTGGCTGTTTTTCTATCTCTCTCGCACACTTCGGCGTCCTGCATGGCGATTTTCTGTCTCTCTCGCTCACTTAAGCGAGCTCCCTGGCTGTTTTCTATCTCTCTCACACACTTCGGCGTCCCGCATGGCCATTTTCTGTCTCTCTTGCACTCTTGAGCGGGCTCCCCTGCTGTTTTCTATCTCTCGCACACTTTGGCGTCCCGCCTGGTGATTTTCTGTCTCTCTCGCACACTGACTTTTCCCGCCAGACGATCTTCTGTCTCTCTTGCACACTTTGGCGTCCCGCATGGCGATTTTCTGTCTCTCTCGCACACTTCAGCGGGCTCCCTGGCTTTTTTCTATCTCTCTCGCACACTTTAGCGTCCGCCTGGCGATTTTCTGTCTCTCTCGCACACTTACGCTGTCCCCGCCAGGCGATTTTCTGTCGCTCTCGCACACTTACGCTGTACCCGCCAGGCGATTTTCTGTCTCCCTCGCACACGGAAGCGACTCGCAAGGCTAGTGGGATGTACTTAAATGGCAACCGAGGGTGTAACCGCTCTCAGAGAGTCGCGGGGGAACGCTATTCTCCTGTGACGGAAAAAGGACCCAAGTCCCGTCAGGCGATTTTCCGTCTCTCTCGCACACTTAAACATGCTGCCTGGCTATTTACCGTCTTTCTTGCACACACAAGCGAGATTAAAACAAATTAAAACAAAACAAAACTCTGGTTTCAAAATCTAAATTGGAGCAAATCAACCATAAATAAAATTAAAAAAATTTGAATCGGCCATGGCAGTTTCCCGGCCCATAATTTCAAAATTAAAACAGCTCCAACCAGCCCATGTGAATGTAACCAATTTTGAACCATTGAACATATGCTCCTAGAATGTCGCAATAATAAAACTAATCTCAAATACCAACTCTCCAATCAAATTAAATTCCCCACAACCCTCATTAAAATATTACAAAACCCTGAACCCATAGTCTACACAAAAATAGCAATCTTTCTCTCACACAACAAAATCCAACTGTAAAGACAATCTGTCCCTTTCTCATTTCTATTCCCATCTTCTCTCTCCTAATATTTCCAAGAATCTGGATATATGTTTTCCACGGCTCTGTCCTAGGTTAGCAATACAAGCCGTTCCAGTTGAGCCTCTGTGAATGTGAACATAACCAGGCCTTCAACAAACCATCAAATAACCCCAATACGAGACAACCTACATCATCTCATATAACCTCATTCCTATCCCATTATCTCTTACAGAATGCTAACATAAACCCTTAGACCTACTATGATACTTCTACCCTATCATCTCAGCTATAACTAAAATTACTTTCCATTTTTCAGATCCCTTCCAAGGCTGCAGCATCCCCCGGCTATAAAGTCTAAAACAACATATATTTTAAAAAAAAAAAAAAAAAAAAAAAAAAAAAAAAGAAAAGTCACATGTCATGATATTTTAGAGGTCAGGCTAAATTCATTGTAAAGTGAATACTTCAATCATTTACTTGTTTTCCATACCAGTGGAACAGTCAGAAGACGATGGCGACCATTTTCTCAGGGTGCTCGAATAGACTGTGAATTGGCACTTCAGGTCAACCATATAAGTGTGTGTAATGATCAAAGGTCATCAGTTCTTTTGAGCAATGAGGTCAAAGCAGAATTTGTTGAATTTTGGAAGAAGAATGCCCTCCACAGACTGGCAGCGAGGAATCTAATCTTAGCCTCCATTGCTCCTCAGGTAATAAATATCCTCAAGGATGATTCAAAAATGCATCTTTTTAATTTTGCGATTTCAGAGTGGAGAAAATTTGTATTCAAGCATTAAAGTATTCAAGCACAAGAGTTTGAAAAAGAAAACGAAATCTCCCAGGTTTTTTCTAGAGAGAACTGTCCGTTTTGCAGGAAACTGCCAAAATGCTTGAATCGCGACAAAGTTAACCATCTTTTTCAAAATAGTGTTGCCAGCAGTTGACAAACACTACTCTAAAGTATCAAGTTAAAGTACTTGAAAACAATTTTCAGTCAAACCTTGTTCGCAGCCTCTGCATCTTACCTGTATTGTTAAAAAGTGGAAAGTAATTAATTTACACTTTTTTTAATTTTTTCTCAATAATTTTGATCATCAACAGAAGTTAGAAGTTCAACTGTCACTTCAGGAAATTTAAAATTTATAAATTCTAGAAATTTTTTCAACAATGATCACACCACACATGTAAGCCAAAAGAATCACAGTTCCTCTTATACTACTCAGACTACATACTCAGAAACTCTGTTGTCGAATGACTTTTTGAAGTTCTGATTTTTTATATATCAGAGCCTGAATTAGAGAAATACCAAAAAAGTATATTAGCTCATTTTGGTGAGAGCTAATTTTTATAATTAATAATAAAAAAAAAAAAAACAGAAAATAACTTACACCTCATTTTCCGACTATAGCTTGGTCAATCTTTGTTTAAATTGATGGATTCTAGTTTCAATTTATGGCTTTTTGCATCTTCTTTCAAATGAATCCAATTCCAGTTTGATAGGTCTTTTTTTTCATTAGAGCGCCAGTCTGGGTTTTTTTTAAACAGTCTATGTACATAAACAAGACATTCTTAGTTAGAATTATAATAAGATTATTTGTATTGTAAACTACGAATTTAATTATCTCGCTGCCGGAGTCAATATTGGAAATTTTCAATTAATACACCTCAGTGCAAAAAATTGAGATGTGAAAGATGCAATACATCCTGTTGTGCTTTATTTTTCATCTTTGTGAACATTCTCAGCAGTTATACATGGTGATATGCATAGGTTTTTTTTATGAATTGGACGCAACAAACTTTTCTCTTAGTTTTAGATTTGGGCTCATAAGAAGATTCCGCGCTTTGTATGGTGCCATTGAGAAGTTTATATTCATTTATTTTTAGATTGTCAGTTTTTTGTGTGATTTGAGCAGATCTATGGACTATATCTTGTGAAGCTGGCGGTGGCTGTTGTTCTTGCTGGAGGTGTTCAGAAGAAAGAAATGAGCGGATGCAAAATTCGAGCAGAATCACACCTCTTGTTAGTCGGTGATCCTGGAACGGGAAAATCAGACATCCTTCGTTTTGCATCCAAAGTTTGTCCGCGATCCGTTTTCACCACTGGTGTGGGTTCTACCACTGCTGGGCTTACAGTCGCTGCTGTGCGGGTATGATTTGAATTGATGATTAACTTTCCTAATTTAATTGAAGGAATGGACATGAGATCCTCTTACTTTCTTTTAAGGCGACTTAGTTCTAGAAAACTCTGACTTTCATCTCTAAAGCAGTCCTCTCATAGAAAATCTATTTTTAACTACACTAAATTCTTGTTTACAGGAAAGTAAATGAATTCTAAACAGGGACAATCTATGTCAATCTAGCAGATTGATTGCATTTTAATTTAATATATTTTTAAAATAAAAAAGGAGAATCAGAAAGAATGAAAAATGAGAAAGATTCATCCATAGAAAATTAATTTTCAGGATTGTCTCAAAGGACTTCAAAAGCACTGATAACATCAAAAGAACTAAGAGTAGGCAATGAATGAAGAAATCTCAGGTCTTAATTACGAAACAAACTTGCACAGTTTTGAAGTTGCACTTCTGAGCTAGTAAGCAAGTTTAGCATGCCTGCAGATTGAACTTTGGGTCCATAGTGACAAGGCTCTACCACTTGTAAGGTAGAACCCGTGAACAGATTGTACAAAACGCACTTGTGCAGTTCATTTTTGGCCTAGTCCAAACATAGCAGAGAGGAATTTTGGGAAGAATTTGTTGTACAATCTTTTGATGTTCAGGCAAATCAGCAAAATTGATCCCTGCTGACAAAAATTGTTGAAAGTGTTGGGTTAATTTTTTTCATTCACTTCTGCATGGTTGGTGATTACCCTCACAGGAAAATGGTGAATGGCAACTAGAGGCTGGTGCTCTCGTTTTATCTGATGGTGGTATTTGTTGCATTGATGAGTTTAATTCTATACGACAGCAAGATAAGACAAGCATTCATGAAGCAATGGAGCAACAAACTCTAAGTGTCGCCAAAGTAAGTGTGTGTTTTAATGTTAAACCAAGCAAAAGGCTGCAGATATTGTGAGAATGGTTTTGGAAAATGTTTGTAAGCTGCCACATAATCTAGGAAAATCTAAAAAAATAGTCTGAAAACATCATTTATTTGTTCCTTCCTTTAATTGTTTCATATTTCCTCATTTAAATCTGTCCTTATTTCATTTTTTTTTCTTCACCTATTTATCAATTTATTTTGAACCCGTTTTATTATTTATTATTTTTTTATTTTTATTTCTTTTACATCGAGCCTCTCTAGAACTCTCTGAAACTTATTTTCTATTGCATAGCACAGTTTAAAACCGTGGAACATTTGGTTTGATCAATCCAAAAAAATAAGTCCCTCCTTAGGGTGGGACAGAGCTGCGATTGTATCCAGGGAAAGGGCCAAGATGCAAGAGGAGAACGAGACGTTTGAAAATCTAGATTCTGCGTATAAATATGATAGATAGATAGATAGATAGATATAGAATAGGACAGGAAAAGGTGGGTATGAGGCTAAAAAACACAATAATTTACAAAAAATGGGAAGTTTCGACTGGTCTCTCAGTCATTATCAACCGTCAAAAAAGAAAAAATTAAAAATCTCAATTCTAAAAAAACCTAAGCTAAAAAACAGTGTTACCAATCCTTGGTTGGTAGAAGACAAGGTTATTTCTCGGAGTCCTCCCGGAAAAACAAGTGAACATTAATTGACATTCCGTCCACTTGAGAGCAGCAGGTGACAGTCACGACATAAAAATTAAAACTAACAAGTCCTGATAGAGTGCGCTACGTTAGGTTGAAAAACTGCGAATGTAACTGGCTCAATGTACCAAGGTCAGCCTGCGAATTACAAATTTCCCCTTCATGTTTTTAGAAATACTAACTTATACTGCTACGCTAAAGAAAAACGCTACATGAATTTTTAAATGTTGTTAAATGTCTTTCAACAAAATATTCATTTTTTAGAAAAATGATCTATACATATTTTTCTCTGAATTTTTCATGAACTTTAGCTCACAATACAATATATGCTCAGAAAAATTGGAAGGGAAATATTCGTAACTTTCTCTCAAACTTCGTATTTTATCTAAGGTAATTTGACAACGTCCAGAGGCTTATATGGCCTTTTTCCTTAGCATGGCAATATAGCACACAATTTTGCATAAAGTGCTTTTCATGATGCTAAGATAATGTCAAAATTCCTGAGTGGTGCTGAAATAAACAGATCAATTCAAGCTGTATCAATGTAGTTTCTATAACCAAATTTTTCGAAGGCAAAAACACTACTATTACAAGTATAAGTTTAATATGCCTTGTTATTATTAAGACAGTTTCAAGTCTCAGATAATGTTTTTGATAAATAATGATTTTATCTATGATTCTAGGCTGGCTTAGTTTGCAAGCTCAGTACGAGGTGCTCCATCTTAGCTGCCACTAATCCCAAAGGTGATTACGATCCAAATGTGAACATTTCTGTCAATACTGCTCTTGCAAGTCCACTTCTTAGTCGCTTCGATTTAGTTTTAGTTCTGAAAGATGCTCATGACCGAGCATGGGATGAGTAAGTCTTCTTTTCAATAAAAAAAAAAAAAAAATTAGAGGAATAAATTAAAGAAAACCAGTAGGGCTGTGCGAATAAGCCGAAATCGGGAATAATTGACTCAACCGACTTGCACCTCTAACTGATATTTTCAAATATTTGCGCTGTCAAGAATCACAAATTTTTGAGTGACAATCGGGAAACATTGCTAGAACCTGCGCAAGGCTTCCATTAAAGAGATGGCAAACCTTGGACTTCCTTTAATCTTCACCGACTTTCCCGAGTTCACAAACAGCGCTCGCAATTGCAATTGGCCCACATATCTTGGTTGCCCCTGGAGTAATACAAATTGAAAGTTAAATAACCAAGACAAAAAGAGGATGTGCGATAATATCCATGTGAAATTGATTATTAATAAAATAAATTCGCAAAATCATATCATGAGTCAATAATTTAAACACTACAGATTTTGTATTTCAAACAGAATCTGGAAAGGCCTTAACCTGACTATGGACCCGAAACCTAACAAATTAACTGGTCACAAGTTGTTGAGTTTGGTAACCCTTATTAACAATATGACTGCAACTGTTGCAACACTTGTGGACAGACTGGAATTTTTTTTTTTTTTTCATTTTAGCATCATTTTACCATCTATTTATTAATTTACCAAAGTAATTTAATTTTGCTCTCTTTAAAACTTTTCTTTTTTTCTCTGATTTTTAAGATGATCCATATTTGATGATATTAAACATTTGATTTCCTAATGGTTGATGAATAATTTATGTAACTCCTGTTTCACTTTTTATTTCAGCATTGTTGCTATGTTTATTCTGGAAGGGAAGCGTCCTGGCACAGGAAAAGACACCTCCCTGTGGGAGTTGGAGAAACTTCAGTCTTACTTTAGTCTCATCAAGCGACTAGAACCGGAACTCTCAGCTGACGCCAATGCTATATTAAGCCGCTACTACCAAATGCAGCGCAAAGCTGATGTTCGCAACAAAGCAAGGACAACTGTTAGACTACTCGAAAGCTTAATCAGGTAACATTGGCTGCAATAATCATTCATTTTTGTTTCTTTCCTTGGGTTAGCGCATAGAAATGTGTCCTGCCCAGTGCATGTTTAAAACTGTAATTTGGTTTGTAAAAGTGAGTAAATATTCAAAAAAAAATTCAACCACAACTTTCCTAGTATTTCTTGAGTGGAACAAGGTAGGAGATTATTTTTATTTCAAGTTATTCATAAGTAAGTAGTTGCTTCAGTGGACCACTAGACATGGTATGACTCAAATCACTTGGATATAAAAAAACGATTTGTGCAATAGGGATGGACGAATATCGAATTCGAATGCGAATATTCGAAACTTTTCGAATGCGATTATTGCGAATATTTGAGAATTTGAATATTGCGATTGCGAACATTCGAATGCGATTATTCGAATATTCGAATAATTCAAATTTGCGATTTTGAATACTTGGGAAGCGCATATTCGAATGTGATGCGATTATCTCGGTGCCGATGATTCGAATATCGAATATTCGAATATCTAAATATTCGACCATCCCTACAAAGATATCAACGTTTTTAACTAGTGCTGGTCATGGTAAGGGATTTCCCCTCGTCTATATGAATCAATCCGTGCACTACAACGGTTTTGGCAGATTTCATAATCAGTCTGTGCTCCTTCCCCATATAGTGTTTTTCATAATATTAACAACGTGCAATAGCTGAGCCAAAGCCCCCTTTAGGCTGCCGTATATTCATACCCTAGAGACTGTTTGGTGACATTGTGTGCAACTTAACTAAAGTAGATCTTTTTTTTTCATTATTATATTTAATGAGCAAGAAGTTTGATTTTGTGCATTGAAAAACATTAGTATCTTGGTTAGGAGTTGCTTTCAATCATTTTTGTCGCACAAATTGTGTTATAGGTGAAATTTTGATGAGAAAACATTTCTCATAATTCTTAAATTAATTTTTCATTGGGAACTGATGGATTTTTTCGCTGTCTCCTAGGCTATCACAAGCTCATGCTAAGCTCATGTTTCGAGAGAAGGTTTTAGTTCAAGATGCTGTTGTGGCAGTCTGCCTGATTGAGGCATCGATGCAAGGAAGTGCTCTCATATGCGAAATCAATGCTCTGCAAACAATGTTTCCTCCCGATCCTGACGAAGAGTATAAGAATCAAGGTTTGTACCTTTCTTGCAGGCTTATGATCTGGTAAAATAATATCACCGAGTCAATGACCAATGAAATTTGCTTTTAGACAAATAAAACTCGTGCTTTTCAGGAGCTTGCTTGTAGAGTTAATTTCCAGCAAGTTCGGGAGAAAAAAACTGCTCTTCGACCGAAAAGCTGAGCAAAGTAGCAGATTTTCAGTATGTTCTTGATTCTTGGGGATAAGGGAAGTTTTTAAAAGCCTGCAGGACATAGCAGTTCACAAACTGGCTCAACCTGACTTTTTATTCACACAGTCCTTTTCAAAATTAGGATGGCTTTGAAACCATTAGTTCTATCGCCAAGACATTAATGTTAACTAGAGAAAAAAAACAAAGTTGATTAACTCGATGAAAATTCAATTTTCATCTTCAATAAGGAAGCAGAATTGAAAAATGGAAGTTAGAGCTCACTCAAAGTGAGCTGTAATTCTTGTCCCGTACTTACTTTTTCGCTAACTTTACTGTACACTTATTTACTAAATGACTGCATTTTTACTCTAATTTCAGCTACCATGGTCCTCCAAAAACTTGAATTGTATGACATCCTTGCTGAAGAGATGGAGTCTTTCCACAATCAGGCTGATGATAACCCCATCCCATTTGAGTTTGATAAGAGAAGCTCTCTTTTCCGCAATGCCGCTTTGAAGACAAACAATGAAGTTGCCTCAATGGATGAACTCCGGAAGAAGGCCCTCTCAAAGAAGAGAAAACTCTCAAAAATGGATTCTGGTGATGAAAGCTGCTCATCCATAGAGGAAGAAAATACTTTGGCTCCTCAAAAATCAAGGTTTGGTCTTGTACTCAGCTGTGAAGAAGAAATATCCATAGATGACAGTTCAAAAAATGAGGAAGTTTGTTCAGACAAGAGGTCCTCTCTTTTACAAGACAAAATGGGCACCAATGGCGAAAACAAGTCCAGATTTAGTCTCAAACTAAGCTCAGATGAAGAAAGTGTACCTGAGGATACCTCAGGAAGTAATAAAGGATCAAAATATTTTATGGAATCAGAATTCGAAAAATCTGCAAGTTGTACGCCTCGAGATATAGAAGGAGAAGATATAGGTCAGAAGAGATCCAGATTTGATCTTTCGTTAAGCTCAGATGATGATATTTTTTCGGACGATTTAAGTAGGAATCCTCTTGAGCAGAAAAAGAATGGTAAAGGGTGATGAACAGGGACCCCATGGAATCATAATTTTTAAATGGTCTTATTCAGTTCTTTTTCTTTAGAGTTTGGAGATTCCGCATCAATTTTTTTACCTCCAAAAGTTAGGCACACTAGCCATTCGTCTAAGTTCAAATATTGATGTGAGAAACCATGTCAAGTCTTTAGGATGAATTTGAAAGGTTTCGGCACTAGAAGTAGTCTTTTAATTTTAAAGTGATTAAAGGTATGGAAGAGCTAGAATGAAAGAGATAGACGGAATTTGGAAACACGGAAAAAAGATACAATGATTAGAAAATTAAGAATACAAAAAGGAGAGAACTTTACACTTGGACTCAAAGTGAACACGCCCATGCAGGTCAAAAGATGGAGAATGATCATTACAAAAAGATGGGAAATACATTAGACATATGAGAGGTTTAGAAGATGGAAACAGGACCCGGAGCAAAGGCTTACATGGCCCCAAGTAGAGGTGGTGACGTAGTCAGTAGTGGAGCTACGTCACCCTGATGAATTGATTAAATTCAATTGATCTTGTCGATCTAGTTATCAATTATTATCATAATTTACTGGTTGATACCCTTGAAAAAGGGACTAAAAGAGTCAAACCTGCTGAAACTAGCTTGAAATTAAACATTATAAGTATTAAAACAAAAGGAAAGAAATATTTGAGAATTCTGAAAAATGAGGAATATCGGTTTAAAAATTTTATGTCGGAGTCCTGATACACACTAATAGCTTTCATGTTTGCTAAAATTACGTCCTACACATCACAGAAGGTTGCCGTGTTGGTGGGGTGTAGTACATAAAAGCTCATCTCCGCTCTGGCCCCATCACAAAAGATTAGACTTGCCTCTTGTCATACCCATTGAAAGTCTGCTCGGATCCTTCCAATTAGTGTATGGCAGTTGGAAACCCGCAGACCCTTCTTCTTTTTGCTCCATCAGTGAGTCTGGTACTTTTTCTGCCCATGTCTATAATTGTTGAACTTACGGTCATACTGTCAGCTGGCTTGCTGATTGGATGAAGCTTTTTCAGGATTTGAATCTCCATTTTTGTTCTCGTAAACGGTTCTGCATATCTGTTTTTGCTGCGATTTTATTAGCCATTGAGACTATTGAAAAAGCCTTAGGTTGAGCAGGCTTATTGATGTTGGAAGGAGTGGTCATACTTGAATTGACACTAGGGAAGTTTGTTCCACCTACTTTATGGATTTATTGAGTGTAGGAAAATTCAAAGAAAAGGAGTTGCCCCTCATGGTTCTCTGCATCTCAAAAAAATTGTGTCAAGACGAAAAGTCATAAGAAAGTGAGGTTAGAAGTATGACTTAACTCACAGTAACTTTACAGACTTTGTAGGATAATCCTTCAAGGTCTATCAGGATATAATGACAGTTGTAAATTTTCTTGAAAAAAGGAAGTATACACGTTCAGTGACCGTGAAAATCGGGAGTGTCAGGGAGATGAAACTGATCAGCAAAAAGTCATGGCGAGAGAATGAGAAACTGACTATGAGTGAGATGCAAACTCCCAGGCAAGATAGTGATTTTTTGCCTAACTTCACAGCCCTTTGATACTGAGCCTTGTAGTGCTCTCTTCCAGTCTTTAGTGAATTTTTCCTTGGAAATCCAAGCCCCTGTAGTAACTGTTGCATAATCCGCATCGGTACTTTGGGCGGGACCATGTTTGTTGTTGCGTTTTTTTAATTTAGGAAGAAGGGCCAAGGAGAATCTGGGAAACAGAAACGGAAGGGCCAGGAAAAACCTGGAAAGTTAGGGAAAGGAAAGGGAACTTTGATGGACACCCTGCATTGTATTTCTCCTTGCATTGAAAAGATGACCATTTGATGTACCTAACTAAAATCGCAAGTGCCTTATATGCAAGGTGATTATATGTTTCCCTTTATTCTTTATCTATTTTTACTCTCAATTCATAAATCCTCAAAGAAAGCTTTATGCTTTTCCGCTTTTTCCCCTTTTTAATTTTTATTTGTACCTATCATTTCTTTTTCTGTTTCTTGAAAATTATTTCTTAAATAAAATGTTATTTTTTCTCATTTCTCAGAGTTAATTTTCTTATCCTTGGAAAAGATGATTCCCCTGTCTATCTTGATAATTAGTGTCCAATTTTTTTGTTTTAGAATGCCCAGAGACTCCTTGAAGGCAGGTTTTATTGCGTAATACTATATTCAGAAAAACCACATCATTCGAGGAAGTGAAAAAGAATGGAGATGTTGCATTTGTGAGGAATTTGCGGTTTGACTGTTGATTCTTTTGTAAAAGTTCGCGAGAAACACGATGGTGCCACTGGTTTTCTCTGAAATCAACTCCCAAGCTCAAAAAAAGCTCTCAAGTTGAGGCCAAAATGGAGGGGATATCCCATGGTATCCTGAGAGTCTACCTCTACATCAAGACAAACTCTCCATGCAAAGATAGGGAGCAAATACATTGACAGGGCTGCCACTTTATTTGGGGACTCCACAACTGAAAACACGGCAACCCTGCTAATGTATATTTGCTCCCTTGACCCCCTTTGGTCTCAACTTTAGAGCTTTTTTTGAGCTTGGGAGTTTATTTCGGAGAAAACCAGTGGCATAATCGTGTTTCTCGCGAACTTTTACATAGGAATCAACTGTTAAATCGCAAATTCCTCACACATGCAGCATCGCCATTTACGCTTTTTTTAACCTTTGAAAAAAGTCAACAGATTTTTTTGGTGGCAAGTTTTCAATAGACCCCATTGGTCTTACCTTCAATCTCTGATTATAAATGGAAGAAACTCACCATCAAGTTTCAATAAATAAAAAGGCTGGTTTTCATTTACATAAATAAATTGAACTGCTGATCAGCATGGTTCCAAACTGCAGTATTGATGACAATGTGCTACATAAGAGGCCACCACAATGGTTTCTTATTATCAACGAAGGAGGGAGTCAATGATGCCTTTTAACATTTTGAAATGTACTTGAAAGAAGCACCGAAAGATCTGCACACACTATTTCAAAGAAAATTTTCTGCATCATCAACATATTCCGCACATGAATGATAATTACACCTAGAATCATCCTCATTAAATACATTTACTTTTTTAAAGATAAATAGATAATCATTGAAAAAAAAGAGAAAATTTGGAGGCACTGCACTAACAAATTATTTGGAAGTATGGTAGCCTTAAGCTGGAGAGAAATATTTGGACTTCATTTTGCAATTAGGAACTACAATTTTTGGCTCAATTTAGAAAGAACGTAGATGCTATTCGTTCCTCTATGCACATAGGTGTCTTAATGGATGAAATGGTTCGTTGCAAAGTGTAGTCCATATTGTGTGCCTGTCATCCTTTGCACTCAAACCCAAGACAGATGCCTCTTTCCAGCTCACCCCTACCACCCCCCACTCATCGTAACTATTGGCATAGTTCTGGTCTCTCTAAATTAGACACACGTACACTATCCATTGCGTTGTTTGCTTAGCTCTTACTTAATAATGAGATCTATCCAATCCGCAACTTTCTACGTTCAATATTATATAGTTTTAGCAGAAACTTAATTTGCTTTGCCCATGTGTTCAGCAAGCTGGTGACATTTTACTAAAGGCATCAGAATTTGAGGAAATTAGAGCTAGACCTGTGATTACTGCCAACAATATGCGATTATGGAGCGAGTGTTTTTGTCGCAATGCCTCTTTGAGTAATCCTGAACGTTATTATAGTTAAGTACTGCCAGGTGGAAGTGCGTTATTTCAAATCTCCCGCTTAAACTATCCCATCAGCTGTAGAATGAGAAAAGTTCAGGGAATTTGGGAAATTTGGTGCTCTCAAAATTCCTTGCGCCTGGCAGCAGTGAGCCCGGGTCAACATGGCGATACCAGCGCTTTTGCGGTAAAAATACGTACTAGTAAACTCCTCTCATGGAAGTGACAGGGACGGGGAGTAGAGTGATTTTGCCCTTTTTGTCAAAAAAGTGAATTGTCGCCGCCATTGCTGTTAGTAGTTTTTCTCCTCGTCCGCCATTTAATCCTGAGGACTCTATTTTTATATATCAGTTAGAACTTTTAAATCATTCAAAATGCGGGGAAAAAACGATTTAGAAGAAGACGAGTCTGGGTAAGTTAGTTAATCGCTTAAATATGTACGAAATCTTCGCATTTTTATTCTCTTCTACACATCGCTTGTGGGCCCTCTAGGTCTTCCAACGCCGGCTTTGCCTGTTATTCAACTTTTTATTTCTTTTCGCTTCTTCTTTTCTCTGTTAGTGCCTTTCGACTATTTTCCATCTTCATTTTGAATTGCCTGAAACTTTTTATTCCATCAGCTCATTCTGAACTTTTGACTTCGCAAGTTACGGGATGTAATCTCGGCCGAAAATTAGGCTTCAAGAATTTCGGCCGTGTTGAATGATTGTCAAAAAGCTGTTTGTTTTCATGGAGGCCATTTCCGAACTCAACCTCTGGGTGGCTTGGTCTAGTCAAGTTTATCTGCCAAGTTTTAGCCTTTGTTTCTAATCCAATACGCAAGAACCTCCGAATTCTTAGGTACCTTAGGTAATCCACTTGAGTTGGAACTATTTTTGTTTTCCTCCATGTCACTTAGGATCCCACCTCTTGCCTTGAGCATTATGCACATCATTTATTCCTAACATTACAATTTGCTCTTCATGACCAGTGATATAAGTCTCTGCAATAACATTGGTTGCTCTCCCGAGTGTTCTGCTCAATGTCCCAGATTTTCTTTTTCATTGCCCTTAACTGGCCGTGTCCGCTAACCATTGCTCTCTCATGGAATGGCTTAGCGTTACGTGGTTGCAAGTCAGTTCGGTTTGATTGAATTAATTCAGTTGGTCTAATTCTGACTTACCAAGAAAGGATCTTATTTTTCCTCTCTTAACCATTAGCTTGTCCTTTTAGCCGATGTCAGCTTTCATTGGTTAATGGACGGAAGTTCCTAATTCCCAAGGCGAAAGTCTATCAGAGATGATTGCTGTAAAGCCTCATTTTTATGTTAGAAATTTACATTCCCAATGTGTTTATTAAATTGCCAGGCTGAATCTATGAACACATTTTGGTGTAGGAACTCCTCGACTGAAGATGTGAGCCCATGTCATGTCATCATATTACATATTCCTTTCTAAGATTTACTAAGTTGAAGACAGCAGTAATTATTCAAGTTTTTATTTCTTATTAGAAGAAGAATTGTATTCATGTCTTAGAAACCAATGCTCTGTTTTCAAGCCCTTCCTAGCCCGTCATGGTGTCACTTAGGAAATTTTCTTCAGTTTTGTCCTGAATGTATGAAACTTATCTCCAAGGGTCAAAGATTCGCTTTTACCCTCTTTTCTATTATGTGGAACTACCAAGTACTAGAGGTCGTTTTGCAAGGATTAGGTTCATGCCATTTATTCTCTTGACTTCGCTGTGAAATGTGATGTCCTAGTGAGATATCTTTACCATGCTGTACGTAATGCAACTTATAGGGCCAAACAGATCGCAAAGTATCGGTTAAAATGCTGGAAATTCTAATGTGAATACGCATGATATTGGGTAGGAGGTTGGAAGGAGTGGGGTAATTTTGCTTGGGAGTCAGGTTTCACTGAATTTTATGGAACGTAACTACTTTCATTGCCGTTCAGAACAAAATTACCACCAAGTGCTTAGAAGATTTAATGAGATATTCAGGGGTGTAGAAAGTGTTCGATCGATTGCGGAGCAAATCTGAAGACGCCTAAAAATTGGTGAAAAAATGGGAAGGCACCCGGAAATACGAAAAACAAAATAGTGACAGTAGAAGGCATAAACCAGCTAAGCACATAGCTTTTTGCGCAGGAAGCTGTGCAACGCGCCTTCTTTTGCAAAGAAAAAAGTTATGCGCGGTCTTTCATGTGAAGGAAACAGTTTAGCGCACAAGTTTTATGTGGGCAGCAATATAGAGGCAACCTAAAAAAATGTGAAATCGACGAACTTTCCGGACCCTTGAAGACTTCTAGATCTTTACCTATGAAGTCCAGAACAAATGAGGTTATCACAGTCTGTATGAGCTTGGTTGGAACGTCTTTTAATCATAACAAAATCATTAATTTCTTTACCTTACTGTCATCTTAGCGCACTACTGGGCTTGTCTCATTCAGTTAGCAGTCAACATTTTCAGAAAGAAATTTTTTGCTTACCTGGTGTTTCCCCTTTCTTGCAATGCGTCCCATCACTCATGCCTTGCTATTCTTCACATTGTTATTTGTATCCTCTGCACTTAGGCAGTACATATCTAGTTTTCTCTAATATTTTGAAAAGCACATCTCAGAAATAACACACACATCAATGAGCACCTAGAAGAATGTTCAGAAGACCAAGATATTTGTGACATTACGAAATCAAAGGAAGACTCCCAAAAATGTCAAATTAGAATCTAAGTGGAGTTTTTTCTCGGCTCCAGTATCTATATTAAGATAGTTTGAAGTTGGCAGCAGAGAAAACATAGTTTTGATACAAAGCTGATAACAGTTTCAATCTGTCCCATTGAAGTTTTAAACTTTTCAAATCAAAATGCAGGCCGAATGCCGCACTATGCCATTTATTGGTACAGAAATTGCACACGTCTTGTCCTTTAAGATTCTCTATAGTCATTTTTGAGAATAACTAAGAGTCAAGTTTTTCGGTAAATCTTGATGAAAATCACTGTATTTGATTATTTGCCTCCATTCACCATGGTCTCTTTTCCTGCCCTGCCTTGCCGAAGAAGAATTGTGAATAAGCCTTTGGACGTTATTATATTTTCTTTGAATGGACTGTGTTGGAAATATCAAGTAATTAGGGGCCGGCTTAATTTTGATGTTATCAATGATGTTCCTTATGGCCTCCTGAGTAGGATAAGCTTCTATAATCAAACTCTCTAAGTATGTGCCAAAGTCAAGAAACGCAGGGCTGTATAGTGAATGTTTTGGTGTATTTACAGGCAATTTCTTGTAGAAATGTTTCAACATCTCATTGGTGATTGAGAAAGCTTTTGTTTTCTTGCTGATGAAAAAGATTAGACGGATGAGAAAAAGGATATGCCCCATAATGAAAATGGTGTGAGTGGAGGGTACATACTAACATAAGATCAGTACCGCATCTCCATCAGGAAATGAGTACAAGAAGGCCAAAAAATGACTTTTCAGCCCTGACTTTCTTGTCTTGGGCACATAGAAAGTTTGATCTTAAAAGCTCATTGTATCCAGCAAATAGTAAGGAACATCGTATTAAAAACATTGAAATTCCGCCAGTACCAAATTTCTTGGTATTCCAGCATGCGTAGTCCTTTGTGTAATTTTACTTTCAACTTTTCAGAGAACTTAAGGCATTTGCAATTGGATCTAAAGCATCTGAAAATGTCCAGAGAAAATATTCCCAACACCTCAAAGGGAAGAAATATTTCATGGGAGAAAATTTGGCATCATTTGAAGAAAAATACTACATCTTTCCTACCCGGGGGGGGGGGGTTATACACCATCACATTCTTAGTACAATCATCCTTTAAATGGCTATGATTCAATATTTAGCTGCAATCTGAGTGAATTTTTGTCATCTCCTGAAAATTAAATCCTCTTAGTGAGCTGAAAACTCTTCTGTGCCCTATCATTAAAAACGAAGGCTTAGAATTTTAAAATGGTGGGATAAACATTTTAAGGGATGGACTTATACTCTGTATTGTCTTATTAGAGGTTTTACAGGTGGTATTGTTATACACCCCTAGTGCTCTTTTTTTTCTGTGAAATTTCATGGTTTAAAGACCTGTATTTTGTAAAGTCGCCACAGTGTGCCAAGACTACTCTAATGCTCCAATTTTTAGGAAATGACCGAAATGTGTCCCAATTCTCACCATGTAATTGATTGAAAACGAGCTGGTCCGACCTTAAACTTAGTGCAATTTCATTGAAAAAAATTTTACATTGTGAGATTTTTCAGCTTCTGAATTTCTCTTGAATATTTATTGTACTCCTCTAAAGATTCTCCTAGTACACCATGCCAAGAGTGGAGGTATACTACCAGGGGTTTTTTTTTCTTAGCGTTTGTTTAGCTCAGTGGCTGTTAGGTCCTTAGAGTGAAATTTGAAAACTGAACTTAAAAACCCCTGCAAGACTTTTTTAACTGTGATAGCAAAACCCAGCCAAAGTGAAGATTTCTATGCGAAGGATAACCAGTAAGTTGCAATACATTTAATCTCGCTCAGGTTTCTCCACTCTAATGCAATAAGTAAAAAATTGTTGGTAATGATAAGAATTGCAAGTGTATTTGACCTTGAAATTTTTTTTTTGTTTCAGTAAATTGTTTGTCGGTGGACTGAGCTGGGAAACTCAGCAAGGTATGTATCATCGTAGGTTTTTTGCCACAGCCTGTGACTTGAATTATAGGTGTGTTGTTGAAGTAAACTTGTCCAATTCTCTTTAGTTTTTCCGTTTGCTAATGCAACCCAACAGTCCAATCGACCTCCTGAGATCATCGAGCGTTTTATAGAAATGTTGGACTTTCATATGTAAACAATGATGCAAGTCATCAGGTAATTCTAACGGAGTCCAACAGTGCTGACCGTTTGGAATCGGGTGGTTCTGCTTCCAAACGTTCCAAACAGTTGACGTGGACAACGCAGCTTTTATGAGATATTTATTCTGTTTTTTTTAATTTAATCAAGCAACGAGACAATTACACAGGTCTGCACTTAAAAAACCACTGGGGACATAATGTTTTATTACTGAGTAATTTTTATTTTGTTCTGCAGACTTGGGTCATTTCAGGATGCAGAGCCCTCCTATTAAAGTTTGAATTTTTTCCCCCAAAAATTGTCTTCAGTGATGATCTATTTTCTTTTGGCCTTTCATGTACATATCACTTTGCTTAGAAAAGAAAATATTTAACTCTTACTGTGACCGCATGAGGAACGAGCAATTTTCGACTCAATTTTGGGGAAATCTGAATATTTATGCCTGTGCGCACAGCCATCCCATTTTCAATCCTCACTTTTGGGGCCTCCCTATTTTCGCAAGTGACCCACCGGTTTGCTGTCAAGATGTTTCTGTATCCTTGTACTAATTTATTGTTATTGATGTGTATTTAATGTCGGTTTTTATCAATCAATGTCGTTCAGTAGTAGTTGTCAAGCTGTGTTGATCCGAAAGAAATTAAGGGGAAGTGCAATGCACATCTTCAGGACAATTTTATTTCGGAGTATTGCAATCCATCCTGTCTTTTCTCATCTTTTCCTCTGTGCAACTTGATAATAGGAAAAAAAATCATAGATTCCCACCATGAAACAAAGTATCTACTACAAGATTAGTTTTTCTAAGAATGTGAAACAAGTCCATGACTTTATGGTTGGTTTATTTCATCTCTGGAAAATTATTTTTCAATTGAGAAATACAATAAATCAGGAAACATGGTTAAAAGGTAAAATGCTGCATAAAATTGATTGTTGTAGTGTTAGTATTCCTAATCACAGAGAATTTAGAATTAATAATAATAATAAACCGGAAATAGAACTCTGGCAATTCACCCGTCTAGTGATAAAATGGGATTGTGAAAGGATCTTGAAATATGACCCAAAGGGCCCTGCCCATTGAGCCCTTGTTGAAAGTGGCTGTGTAATCTTGTGATTTCATTTATGTCAATAATACTGCGACAATGACTTCACAACCAACCTTCCTGGGGGAGATATGCTCGAAAAATTGACTCTCCACTGTTGTTCCAATGACAATAGTTATTTTATCACTTGTTTCTTTGTTTTGTCTTTAGAAAACTTACAACGCTACTTCAGCCGATATGGTGAGGTGATAGACTGTGTGGTGATGAAAAACAGCGAAAGTGGTCGCTCAAGGGGGTTTGGATTTGTTACTTTTTCTGACCCAGCAAATGTTGCGATAGTTCTTCAAAATGGACCACATCAATTAGACGGCCGAACGGTAAGCACATTATGTTGTACATTCCCCTGTTTGGTTATTGTTAATTCTTGTAGCAAAAAAGGACAACCGGTTTTCTTTTTTCTAATGCCCCTCAGCCATGCCTTCAATCTTATGAAATATGCCGAAAGGACGAAATTAGAATAGTTTTTGGGAGAAATTGATCCTCTCAGCAAGGAGCATTCTTTGAGTTTTATTTAAGTTGTAGAAGTGCAGGCATTTCAAGCTCTACTTATTTTGTGACAATTTCCTCTGAAAAGTGCATCTCTATGGTTTTATCTGCTGGGGTGTAAATTTGCTTGTGACTGGACTTGCAAGAAAGGATCCTACTTTCTCAGGAAAATATTTATAGTAGAACTATTGATAGAAAGTAGTCAAAATTTGGAACTTCTTGTTCTTTTTTCGGATAACAATAGCTGGGTTCATATGCAACAAAATGTGCACTAATTCTATCTTATTGGCTATGAATGTGTTGTGAGCTCACAATCAGTTGTGGAGCATTGAAAAGAGACGATATCTTCCCCGAAAGTCTGCTGATCACATCAGTCAAGTGAGGTGGTGCTCAACACATTGAAAGAGAACACATGGAAATGAGAACATTCTGTCTCAGTTTTGTTATTTTGAAAATTGCATCTCGATCACCTGGCCTTTTTTACGATGTCACTATGAGGATATTGCATCTGTCGGTGGTAGTTGCTATATTAGTTCTGTATTTTTGCCAAACCAAAAATCCCTCTTAATGCGTGCGCACCTATAAAGCCTTTGTGATGTTCACAGTACATTAAGGTATCAGTTTGCAGGAGCGATGTGGACCCCAGAAATAATAGTTCGCACTCTAACGGAAACACCAGTCCCCAGAGAGGAGAAGAAACCACAAAAAGTGCACTGTACCAATCTCCATTGTGTCATAATAATTAAAAAAAAAACTCCTAATCCAACTTGCCAATCCTCCCAGGAAGAACTAATTGGGAAAGAAGGGAAACTTTCAGCCTGCTAAAATTCAAAAGTTACAATGTTGGCCCCTTTTAACCCCTCAACACCCGGTAAAGCCCTCCATAAAGATGGTTCTGGATGAAGAACTGTCCAGTCTACAAGGAAGAATGTATCCACTCAGGACGTACTTTAATAGTACAAGAAGAAGCCTGTTGCAGGGAACTAACCATACCAAAGGCAGGGTTATGAAAACAATAGGACTTTGCATCCAAAAAGAAACTGCTCTTAATTAGAGTAATTCTTTCTGATTTGCTGAGCATAAATCCTTCACATTCTTCTTGGGAACATGACTTTAGGAGAAGGATGGGAAATAATGTTCCCTCTCATATCTGATTCTAAGAATATCCAATATTCCATTATAACCTCATTGCTATACTTACAGTTTTACGAAACAGTATTAGCTCCACTGACCCTCAATGTAACTTAAGTCAAACTACAATTTTGTAATCATAGTTTTTGTTTTGTTTTATAGATTGACCCCAAACCTTGCAACCCTAGGACATTGCAGAAACCTAAAAGAAGTGCTAGTTATCCGAAAGTTTTTCTAGGTGGTCTGCCTTCTAATGTCACTGAAACTGATCTCCGTTCTTATTTTTCCCGATTTGGGAAGGTGATGGAGGTAGTAATAATGTACGATCAAGAAAAGAAAAAGTCAAGAGGTAAGTTACAAATTATTCCTGATATATTTTCTTATCAAGTTCTTAGTTACGGGTTCCCTCTGCCTGCCCATCCAAAACCACAAATGCTGATTGTGCTGCTTTTGTCACTCTTATCTAAAAGTTCTCACAACCCTCTTACAAAATTTACAAGAGGCATTCAAGGAGAAATGTAGTACAAATGATGAAAATGTAATGAAAAACAAATTGATTGAAATGGATAATGTAAATAAAGGGGTAACATAATCTCACTTTCAGGATTTGCTTTGATTCATTGAGTTCAATTAATTTACCCATTGCGATACTGAAGATTCACCAAGCCAAAATGTAAATTTGAGGATATAAAGAACTTGAAATCGCAAGAAAAGGCCTGAAACTATGCAGAATTAGCGTTTGAAAATTGACTTTCCATTCCTTATGGGATTTCCGACGATAATTGAAATGACCAAATCTCGGTTAGGGTCTATTTCAGAGCAGGGGTTGCAGAATTGAGGAAACTTATCTTGTGCTAAACTTGCTGCATGCAGTAAAATCACTTTCAGAGCAGGGACTGCGAAACTGAGATGATTCTGCTTTCAAGCCCGAATTGTCCCAGTTTCGAATGCTCCACACAAATGAATGCACCTAGCACAATCTAACCCTCTGATTTGTCGAAACTTAGGTACCTACAAGTGCACTCAATCTGACGGACAACTTTCAGCCCCTATCCATTCATTTTTCTAATCTTTAACATTCTAAGGAACACCCGGTCATGCATTTGCCTTTCTCTTTAAAAATGAAGTCAACTTTGAAATATTTTGAGGAAGGTAAACCCCCTCTTCAAATGCAATTATACCTCAGTTTTATTATTTTTGTCTCATATGTTCATATATGTGTGTTTTTTTCCCAATATTTTATTTATTTGCAAATATATCGACGTATTGTGATACCTGCTGCATGAGAGGCTTTATCAACGCAACAGAATTTCATCATCCCGAAGAATTTTCTGTCAAAATGCTCCTTTTCAAGCTTCTCATCCAGAATTACTTATTTGGGGAGGATCATAAAGAGGAGTTAAATGAACAGCATGATTTTTTTTTTGCGCAAACTTTTTTTCTTCATGCCCATGGTTGATTTTCTTTTTTTTAGGCTTCGGATTTTTATCGTTCGAAGATGATGAAGCAGTTGATAGATGTGTTGCAGAACATTTTGTCAACGTTAGTGGAAAGCAGGTACTATTTCCATAGTCCGCTTCTAAATTCTAACTTTTTCAGCGGCTTACTTCTTTTTTTTCCTCTGTCGGTGGAGGTTGTAGTTTGGTTTTGATACTGTTCACACCAAAACATGGTTAAATGAACCCTCCTCAGATGTGACTAATGATCATTTCCATTCTAACTTCCATTAATACATGTTCTCAACTCTATTACCTCTCTTTGTCTAGCTCGAAGGGCTCGTCCGCTAAAACTGAAAGCTTAGGAGTTGATTTTGGCCAGCAAATTGTTTCCTGTTCTTGATACTCCATTTCCGACAGTCCGGGGAACTGGTTGCAATCATATATATATGTTTATATGTATTTCAGAAATCTCTATATGAAAATCTGTTCTCAACTGTGAGAGCCGAAGTGCGAAAGGGTTGAAAATGGTGAAAACAATTGGCTCTAGTGAGATTTAGATGTGTAGATCATGCTTTATAAGGTTGAATCAGTGAGGGAAACCTCTCGGAGGTTTGTTTAATTCCTTCTCTCTTTAACCATTACTTCAGAGGAAAAATTCATCCTTTTTGTATCCTATAGCACATTTTATCTTGTTTTCAGTCAGTTTGATTTTTACGATTTTTGTCATCTTTGCCAAATTTCATCTATAAAGGAAACTCTTATTAACCGATCGCTAAAGTGAGACTCGATAGGCAGCATTATTCCTCTGGACTTCAAAACATGTGATCTGCACTTAATCTGTGACTTGCTTTGGCTGTTTACTTTGAAAAAAGAGAAAAAATATGTAGAAACATGACCTGATTGAGTCAAAGGATGCGTAGAGCCGGAAGTTTTCGGTAGTGATAATCAGTGTGCAAAGTGAAAAACAAAGATTGGATGCTGCAGCCTATGCCATGCTGCAGGAAGACCAGCATGGCCACATAGCAATTTCATCAGGAGATTAAGCTTGTCCTATAACCTCTGGTTGTTGCACTTTTGAAAAGTAAAGTGTTGTAGTTTTATGAAACTTTATGAAGTTCCGGAAGTCCAATTCCTCCTGTTTTGGTTCATTCCACTCCATACCTCTATCAATCCCACAGTCCACTTTCTGAACCCGAATTCAAAATTTCTCTTTTCCTGTTCTAAGCTGAAGTTAATTTCATTTTACTCAAATGAGATTAAGTCTCATCATGTATTCATTGTTGAATATCCAAGAGTAGTAGGCGCACCAGGAAAATTGCTTGTGTCTAATGTTGAAAAAATCATCTATGCGAGAGTCTGAAAAGAAAACCCTGTCCTTAAGACGATAAAAATTATAGAAAATAGAGGAATGCATGTAAGATTAGGAAACAGTATAGACGGAGCAAGGGAAAAGTCGGGATTTTTACACATCCCTGAACAAAAAAATTTCTTGGGAAGTGAGAAAAAAAGTGCGAAAAAGCCATTAAGAGAGGAATAAATTCAAATGATTAGACAAAGTAGAGACCCTGTCTTGACCGAATTCTCCGGTATCCTACCTAAATCCTAGACTCAATCCACTATGCAACAGTTGCAGCCAGTGGACCGTCAAAACATCTGGAAGTCTGATTTTTAACGTATGCTGCATATTCAAATATTAGAAGACTATCTGCTCATATCAATGATAATAGGCGGGAAGCATTTTACTCATTTAGGAGCATTGAAGGTGCTGAGAGTGGAGAGCTCAAGAATTTGCAGTCATCAAAATACCCACAACCCTCTCTTCCCTTTTGAAGAATTTCTCACAGCAAAACCATTATTCACATGGTCAACAAATTTGTTCAAAGGAAAAATTTGCTTTTGACTCATGCTTTGCCAAATTCTATTTTGATTTCCTATCACAAACATTATCTTAAGGAGGTTGCATTACCAGCCAATGATACCCTTGCAGTAAACATCTATTCCCTGTTCGGATATTCGGTTCAGAGATATAAGCAGTCATGAAATTCCTTTTTGATCAAATACCCTACCTATAAAATCCCCCTCTTATGCATGTACTCTGAAATAATTGATTCAGGAGGTTCCCGAAGCTAGTTGTGGCTCGAAAATCTCACTTTTGTAGGATTCATAGCATTCTTAACCCTTGTGTCATCACTTCAGCATAGAAATAACTTTGCTTCAGCGCTTAAATAGCTAGGAATAACGTCTGAAAATATTTTTACATGTTATCGGAGTTAGGATAGGTAATTTTAACGATTTCTCTGTTGTCGAACCAACATCAAATATCAACAATAATTTATTTGGCATTACTGGTCAGAATTGTTCAGGATATCTCAAACTTTTTAATGGGAAAGGAAGTTGCACAGGATCTTCTCCTGTCAGGAGCCAATCCTTCAGCAGTATCACAATATCGCCGGTTGTGGACCACTGGTCCATAAAATAGTGACTAACTTCCTCCGTGTTTTATTTTTAGGCTTTGGCTTTTTGTCTTTTGAAGATGAAGACGCAGTTGACAGATGTGTAGCAGAACACTTTGTCAATATGAGTGGCAAACAGGTATACATTCTTGCCACTATCTGTTGTAATTATGATAAGTAATTTTTTTCACATGAATAATTTTTGACTTAGAGAGTCCAATGAGACGGTTATACATACCTTTTTTTTTTAAATTTCATTTTTGGGAAGTCCTGAGAAATTGAGAGAGTTCAATTATGCCGATATGTATTTAATCAAATTTTTGCCAAGACATCGCTCTCCAAGCTGCTGAAAATTCGACCCCATTTTCACAGAAAAACATTGTTTCCAAAGATCTTGTGAGGTTTACAGTGTAAACAACTTCTTCTCATGTTTACACCATAGTCATATACATGTAAGAACCTTCTGTAGTTTCAAGATATGTGGTTCTTTTGCTATTCAGTCTTCTCTCCGAGCTCATTCATCTTACATTTAGACCGATGTAGAAGATAGTGAAAGTTTAGATAAAAACCTTTACGCCCTATTTAGACGGTCCAACTGGAAGTTGGAACAGAATCTTTGGACCAACAGAAGCAGAAGTTGTATCTTCGTGTGTGGGAATTCAATGGAAATACCGGAGTGCGTGTGTCTGGTGTCAAGACAGTATCACATAGCAGGGGTGGTTGAATCAAACTTTTCGTTCCCAACTTTCCATCCAACTCTTCATCCGCTTTTGTTTGATAAACAGTTGGACCATCTGAATTGGGTTTTCAATGAGCTAATGATAAAAAGTTTTGTTAAATCTAGTCATTGGTACAGTAACAACTTACAATCCTCTCTTAAAACGCATTAATCTCGCCAATTCTTGACTGGATAAGATGATCTATGTAAGATATGATCTTTAAAGAGAGTCCAAAATCATTCCTCCAACATTCTTCGTGTAAGTGGTAGCATGAAGTGGTAGCATGAAGTGGTTTTCTCCTAGGATGCTTGAGAGCTGTTTTCATAATTCTTTACTATCTCCATTATAGGGTGTATTCGTGTAGACACACCTGCCTCTTTCACTTTGCTTTGCTGTCATGGTAGAATAACAACAAACCATGTATTCTCCAGGATTGAAATTAAGAACACTTCAGGGCCCCAAATCTATTGTAAAAATCAATTTGAATTTTTCATTTTAATTTCTTTACTGAGTAATCCTACGTATTTCTCACCTATATAGAACTTTTTAACAGTCATTACTATTTTTTAGTGGTTGATTTAGTCTGTTTTTGATCTATTTAATTTGTCATAATCATAATAGTAATACAGAGCTTGAGGGAGAGCAATGCAAGAAGGGAAACTGGGGGAGGAGTTACATTGTATAATGCCCAAAGACGAGCCCTTGGTGGGTACCTATGTACAAGGCTCAGTGTTATTTGTTAACAACTAGAGAGTAGAAGGCAGGTGAATTGCAGGCACTAAAATGAGCATGCAACGGAGAAGGATTCTCTCCATATAGTATCTTGTGTTCCTCGACCCAAATTCTGTAAGATTTTGTCAGCAAAGACAATACAATGCTCTAAAATTTGAGGAAGAGGAAAATCAGCTGAAAGCTTGCTTATGTTTCTTGACTTAGGTTTTGCTATAGTCTTGGATGAATATAAAAAGATATTAAGGTTGATGATCTTTACGAAGTAAATTGAACTGAATCTCCAGATCTATAATTTCTCTGAACTGAAGGTCCAGTGATGATATCTCATTTTCGATAATGGTTTTGATTGAATGATGAACTTACATTTCTTGACTTTCGTTCTGCTGAAGTCTTTGAAGAAATTTAACTTACTGATTGAATCAAAATTAATCCTCCTAATTTTATCTTGAAATCTAGTTTTGATCAAATGATGAATTTATGTGTCTTGACTTTCGTTCTGCTGAAGTCCTGGATGAAATTTACTAAGCACTGATGATGATCTGAAATAAACAAATTATAATGAATCCACAGGTTCTATTTCTAAGAATTAGCAACTTAATCAGCTGTAATAATATATTGTTTAAAAGTATAATTTGGATTAAATGATGAACTTTTATTTCTTGACTTTCGTTCTGCTGAAGTCTTTGAAGAAAATTGATTAGCTGATGATCTCTTAAATAAAGGGAGAAAAAGGAAAAAAATCACATTTGCAAACCATTGTATCTATTGTTTGGATTCGATAACCGGAAATTCTTTGCTTTTAATTTGATTTTTTTAATTTTGTTATTATTCTGACTAGTCATTTTTAGAAGACCTCGCACCTAAAATGAAGAGATTCGATGTCCCCTAAATTTTGTTATCACTTGAATGGATGTTCCTCATGACCTGAATTCACGCTCAAAAGCTTTAAAAATCAAATTTTCTTTGTTCCAATTTTGATGAAAATGGGGCCGACAAAGAGGAATTTTTAGAAATTTCTCGCATTTGTTAGCAGAATTTTTGCTGCACCAGTTTAGTGATTTGGAAAAGCTCTCCCCCCCCCCCCCCCCCNCAATGAATCCGGATTTCATTAGCATTGTTAAGGTATCAGTAACTGCAAGATGCCTTGCTTGCTCTTGATACTAGAAATTGAACATGATCTAAACCTTGGATGTTGTCAGTTTAAGTTTAACATGATGTAAAAGGGAAATTTAATCCCTGATTTTGTAGTAGCATATCATGAATAGCTGTAAGTGGTATTGGAATGCTAATTACAATGACACCAATGAAAATGCATGCATGGAAACTTACTTGTGTGCTCGGAGTTATCGAAGTGTCGCTGTCACGGTTACTACCTCAGTGAGCAAATCTTATAGCTTCCATATTAAGGGATGAAATGAAAAGTCCAAGACATAGTTGATTATTTCTGAACCCAGTTGTTTTAGGAAGTCAGGAGATTCACTTTGTTTATGGAAAAGAAATATGAATTTGGTAAAAAATTCACTTTTGTTTTGTTTTTAATAAATGTTTCAAAGTTAAGTCCAAGCTAGAAGTTTACAAGAACGAAAAAAAATGTTGATGAAAAGTTTTGTTTAATTTTCATCAAAGGTAAAAATCGCATGGTGGTAGGTTTTATGCTGATAGGTAATGTTAATTTGAATTTAGAAGAATGGATGTTTCAACTTTAACAACTTTACCTACAGGTCTTTGGAATCACTGTGTCTTTTCACTTGCATTGAATTAATTTATTTTTTTTCTCATGAACTCTTTCGTTTCTTCCAGGTTGAGATTAAGAAAGCTGAACCTCGAGATTCAAATAAAATGGGTGACAATGGAGTGGCCGGGCAGTGGGCTCCACCTCCAACTGGTCATGGAATGGCAATGGGAGGAGTAAGTACTAGTTTTATCTAATTTTTTATGTAAGAATGAAAGATATTTTCTTCGCGAATAATGATGGCAGGCATTTCTCAGCTCCTGTCTAGAATTACTTAGAGTCTCTTCATACTACTGAGAGTCAAGACAACACCCCTCATGGAGTCACAAACGGGAATAAAGATTACACAAATTGAACGTTTTTCGTAATCTTTGATCGGCTCATTCTTAAATTCCTTTCTCCGTTCCTTCTCTCATTCCGTTTGTTCCTTGTCGAACCCGAAATTCCTCGGTCCATTCCAGATTATAATCTTTGCAATTGGTGAAAATGTAATCTTTATTCCCGTTTGTGACACCGTGAAGGCCTAAAATCCGGCTAACCAATCAGAAATGGATTCGCATTGTCTTGACTCTCAGTATGAAGGGACTCTAGAATTACTATGTTGATGGCCAAAGTGCGAAACCAAGTGTCTCCGTTTGCAACTTAGCAGACTTCCCATCCTGCTTTATTTTTTCTTTGGGAAACTAGTGGACGCAATTCTTTGAAAACTTCCTTGATTTTTCTTTTCCATTCTCAGAATATTCTGTAAAAATTTCAATTTCTAAAGTTGGCCTGTTCCTCCCTGAAGAAGTAAAATAGAATCAGAAATAAGTAAAATAGAATCAGAAATTTTGTAACATTTCAATGTAGGTACGTGGTTTTGAACTTCAATTCATCGATGTGCAAGTTGTACCTTTTTTAGCAGAAAGGGCGAATACCTTGGAAGAAAGACAATGATTCATGATTTGCAACGAAGGTCATAATGAATTCCATCTCAAGGCTTCAGGATTTTAAATCAATCAAAAACCTAAATCACAGAAGCAAAGAAGAAGAAAAATAATGAATTCAACCAAATACTGCACACATTATTTATTTCAAGGTCCTTTGAAAGAAGCACACCTTTTTTCCCTCTAGTTTTTCAAGAATGCTGCCTCTCAGTATGCCTTGCCTATTGTTCAGGATTTCTGCTCCCTATATGACTTCACTAACTAATAGGAGTCACTACAGGCAAATATGGAGATTGAAAGGAATGGATAACATTTTGGGACACATGAAAGGAATCAGAAGAACTGGAAAGGAAAATGGAAAGCTTGTCTAATCCTCTGTGGAGTGGCATCATCAACGAACTACACCTCTAGAATGGCCGCCAGACAGCAAATCTGCGTAACGCGCATGGGACGGTTTTCGAAGACAGGAGGGGGGTGGTAGCCCAAGTATAGCTAACCTCAATCTCCATTTCTGCCGCTTCTCGCACTTATGGATTACATGTGAAAATGTCAACCTTTGTAAACTTTAATTATTTTGAGGTTTGTTTTCAAATTTCCTATTTTTTGAGTAAAGAAAACCTTTTGAGGAGCGATTAATTTGCCATCTTTTATTGCTATCACTTTATTCAACTAAATTGGGGCAAAAGGTGGGCAGTGTCTTACATGGGTTTAGATGGCAGCCTGCTGTATGAGCCCAAGTAAACCTAACCTATATCAACTTCAAAACATTACGGGTCTCTAACACTGGTCAGCCATTCTAGAGGTGTAGTTTGTTGGGCATCATTCATCTCAGCACATTCATTTGGTGATTCCGTGGGCCTCATGTAATTATTTAGAGAGCGGTGCAGGCTTACCCTACAGAGGTGTAGCATGTAAATAATGCTTTTTTGAAATTCACAGACAGCCCCCAAGCCTGGCTTTCAAAGCATATCAGGATTTAGGCAAAGCTTGCGATTTACCTTCGCAACAACAATGGAAACCATTCTATTTTGTTTAAAGTTATGTAATTTTCTCTACTTTAAATCTGTGTTGTTTCTCTTAGGGTATGGGCATGGGAAATCCAAGTGGACAGATGAGTGGTGGTCCGATGGGCGGTATGGGTCACATGGGTCCTGGTAACATGATGCAAGGCTATCAAGGATGGGGCTCCACCCCTCAGACTGGCGGCTATCCAGGTAATACATCTAAATCCTGCAATTTCTATTTTCAAATGACTTCCTTATTCATCTCAACTTCTTTTCTATTTTTAAAATGTATTTTTGGTTGCCTCTCTTAAGTGTTGCCAGTTTCTCTCTGAAAATTTTTTCTTCAGTTATGGGTGTGAGCTATTATTCTCCCTAAAATTTTCAACCCACTCAAGCTTATTGGTCGCATTTTGTTCCTTCTACTGTAGGGAAGGGACCAAAGGATTTTCCCTTAATGCCATCAGATTACTTTCCGTGTATTCATTTTTAATTTCTGACCTCTTGATGCTCAAAATTTAATTTATTACTTTTAAAGGTGTTGCAAAAATTTGTCAATAATGGGGCTGTTAGATTACTGCTTGAGAATCCTCATCAGTATCTGTTGCAGCTGAGCTTCTTAAAACCGTGTTAAGATTACATCATTGGTAAATCCTCAGTTGCTGTCAAAATCAGCAGACAACACACTTAATACGCTCCTTGGGAGCGACAGATTCGCGTTAATGGCAAAAAACGTGATTAGGAGAAAGCTTAACAGAAGACAAATTTGCCATGTTCAAGTGCGACATCGCAAAATCACAATGCAGCATTATGCCCTTCATTGGCACAAAAATGAACTGATCTTCCTGCAACTTATTTTTTAGGACACAGCAGAGAATTTTCCGTTAAAATCTCAAAATCCGATTTTTCAACCCATCTTAAGAAGAACCGCTCTATTGACTTTTTCTCCGTGGATTAAGGTCTGTTTTCCTGCGAACAGTCCCATATGTAGAGGAAAAAAACCTTATAACTTTTAAAGTGTTGCAGATCTTAAGAATGTTGCATAAGTGATGAGTTTCATATGTAATTGTGTATTGATGTAGAAGTTTTAGTGAGAAAAATAGTGTCAATGTTCAAAAATTCTCAAATTGAGCCCTATAACAACCTCATTATCTGCTGTGAAGATATTTCTGCATTTCAAGTTTTTATAGTCGAAGATACTTTTCAAATCGCTTATGTTGTAGAATTTCTGAGCATTCTATCACTAGGGAACAATTGTGCTACAACAAACAAAAAGGCTACGTGGTTATGCGCCTTGGTCGGAGACCATTCTTCACTATTGTAATTGGTGGAAATTTTAGAGATGGAAAGTATTCAATTTGAATACTTCTGACAATCAAAATGATTTTGAAGCAGATGTTCCCATATATTCTCGAACCATCCAAACCACTGGGAGTGGTTGAGGCACTGCCTTCACAACCCACTGAGTTTCAGGTTACACATGGAATGAGCCTTCAACTTATTTTTACACTTATAAATTTGGCAGAGATCCCTTTAAATGGTTAATGACGAACTAACTCCGTACCTTAAATTTGAAAAATATCATAGATGATCAGGTTTGGACCCAATCGTTTTGATGTCGAGTGACCCATCAGTAAGATGAGCTATGTCAATAATTTTGCCATAAATCAACTATTTCAGCACTGAAGGCAAGCATTAGCTCACTGGATCTCTGTCAGATAGTCGAACGTCGATACCTGGAAATTGCCACATGGTATCCTCCAGTGCCTAACAATACTTTTTTTTGTTTTGAACGATAATGAGGGTAATATCATTTGACTAAACAACTTTTCCATGAAGAGTTTGCTTTACCTTGTGGTAGATGTGGATATCAGTTTTTAGGAGAGAGGCCTATGTGGGTTTTTTTTTTTGCTTTTTCTTGCATTATTTTCATTCATCTCTCTTTTTTTTCAATTACACTCGCAAATGATCATGTCATAAAATTCAGGTGAATAAGGTCCATAAGTTGAGAGAGGGCTGTTCTTCATTTTTCTCCTGGAACTGAAAAAAAATCTGCCCAAGTCAACTATAAGCACTGTAACTTCTGAACACTTTTCAAACAATTTTTTGTTAGCACTCGCTAAACTTGCTGTCAATGGTATGAGGTTTTGTTATTTCTCGTTTTTATCTATTTAAAATTTAGCTCTATTTTTTAAATGTATTATTTAGCCTACGGTATCAGAATCTCCCTTTCTTATTCTCTCCTTGAGAGGAAGGGGAAGGAAAGAAGTCGATCAATGCCAGGATTGTGATCCTGTAAAACATTTCCGGTCATTGTTTTCCTTCCTAGCCCAATTTTTTCTTCTTTTTTTCCTTCTTTTTTTTTTGTGATTTTCTCGTTTAGCTGTTAACCACTGGTTATCTTGTAATTTACCATCCCCTTGCATACTTGCTGTTCACAGGGCAGTGGGGTCCCTCAAACCAGCCTCCCATGAATGGTAGGTCAGGCTTATTGTCTTGTTTGTCATGCTGCCCCTTGTTCCATTGAATGTCTTGGCTCCTTTTTCTCATTTTTGCTCTAAATCCCTTTTTATTCTCACCGGTTTTTCTCCCCTTTTAATTTTCTTTTGTGCTGTGAAATTTCAATGCCTCTGATTGACATTATCCTCAGTGTGAAACACCAATCAAATATTTGACTTCAAAAAGTGAGTGTAACTCATTAGTTTAGAATTAGTAGGCTTTGTCCCTGCAGGAGCTCTCTGCCCGTTAGGTTCTCCCGTTTCATGTTCTCGTGAATTTTTAAAATATAATTTTTCTTGTGTCATTTAAAAGAAATAAGAAAAAAAGCAATCTCTGATACTGTATTAAGCATTCCTCTATTCTTCCATTCATTCTCCAAAACGGGGAATTTCACTTATGCTAATATATTGAGGTTTGTGAACATTTGAGGATTCAGTTGAGGATGAACACATGTTATTCAATCCATTAAGTTTCTAGTGAGAAATTGCATGTCCAAAGGGTCTATACAGTTGCGTTCAACAGTCTTGAAGCAGAAATCGTAGTTTGTGATGGACTAAGAATTTATTCCCAGTGATTTATTTTATTCAAGTAAAAAAAAGTGACTTCTCATTCATTCCTGTAAGCTGTCTGCTTCTTCATGAAAATTGAGGTACAAATACATAATTTTTCTCTTAAGTATTGCCGTGATTTTGATTCCTGGCAAACCTGTTTGGATGTTGTTGCTGGGATAGACGTCTCTGAAGCTATGTTTTTCACTGCACCATGCAAGATTTTTAGGCTAGTTTCTTGGAGTTGGAGTAAATATAAACAATTTTACAGACTTGATTATGCTTAATCCTCATTAAATAAATCAAGAGCTTTCTTCTCCATCTCAAAATACCCGCCGATGCTTTTGAGGCATTATTTCTGTTGCAATGTTTCTCCCATTTGCAGGGAATATTTTTGTGTGTTCTGCTTCTCTGATTTGTTGAAGAGAACTTTGGAATTGCTATTATGATCTCCTCAGTTATTTCAAACCGCCTTTCTCCTAAATGCGTTTTCATTAGAGGGACTAGCCATGAATAGCGTGGAGCAAGATCCTACGAAAGCATTAGTTGCTCTTAAGGTGTGGGAACAGAATTGTCGCAATGTAACAACTATATATCTTTCATCTCTGGTTTTTCCAACTGAGACTTTTGGAAGAAGTTTTCCCACCGTTGTCCCATCCTGTTGCTTACTTGCTCTATAATTTGATTTTTGAGTCTTGTTTTCTTCAAAGAACTGTGCACTAGATGATTCGCCTAGTGGTAGAAAAATATGTCCTGAAAAGCCTATACCTCAGCAATATTTTGACCCAATAACCTGGGAAAGGTCCTGATAGATTAGTAAAAAGATGGTGAGATGTTGGTTGAAAATGCAAGTCACTGTATTCATCTGCTCTACTAAAATTTTTAGACAAATTCATATGACTATTTTCATATGAAAAATTGAAAAAATTTAATGAATACTGAAACAGTGCAGACAAGATATTTTTCGGAAGATGACATTTGCTCCTGAATATATTGACAGCCATGCTGGTTGTTTTGACTGGTATGGATGTATCCTGCTGAGTTCACCTGGTTGTTTGAATTTCCAAAGGGCGTTTTTTGTGGGCTCGGTCCTGCAGGAAATAATTAGTCAATCCTTAGAAAATTGAGCTTCACATTCGTCCATTTTGAAGCTAAAGTGTTGCCTTAGAGCCTCCTACAAATCGCATGTCCATATACTCTCTGCTTCTTGTAAACGAGGTCCATGGACAGGTGTTTTAGGTGTTTGTAAGAACAATTGTTTACCATGCTGTCCATGCTGAGATAATCAGATTGTTATTGATAGTAAAAGTAATAGAACCGACCCAAACTAACCAGCCGACCAGGGAACCTAAACCAAGTGCTGATTAGTTGAACAGCAATTTATTTTTCATGAGTCCGATTGTGTTTTTGAAACATCAGAGTGACATTTTAAGTGTGGCATTGAAATTTCACAATGCTGTATTGCATTGTGTGCAGCTTGTATGTTCTTTTACTTCATGTGAATGTTGCATGACTGTAATTTTCTTAAATTTTTTTCTTTTCTCCGTTCAATACATGTATCGTTAGAAATTAGCTGACTTTTGATGCAATGGTCGTCGCATTTTAGCGTTTTTTATTCATTCTTGAGCTGATGTGTTTCGTTGTTCGTATTTTGTTTGTTAATTTAATTCAGTTCTTCTTGTTACGGTTTCTCTTTCATTTTTGGTGCTGCTGTGTTGTATTGTCTGTATGTATTTCTTAGAGCCCATTTTGTCCCATTGCGCCTTTCCAAGAAGGCAGAACGCAAGACTTTAGGATCATAGTGCAGCCGTAGAAAGTTGTTTTCTGTCCTCTCAAAGATGTAATTCCAGTGTTGACCTTAGTTTTACAAAAATTTCACTAAATTTTCACAGCTGGAAAAGCACCTCCGTCTATGGATTCAGATACGTTCAAAAACCATATCTGGCAGGATAATTGCTGGATATTAGGCTCAATTCTAATTAATTCACTGAAAAGGTTTGTGTGTTACCTTGCAGAGCCCATTGAAATAAGAAAAAATTGGTGTTTTTTTCCGATTTTTAGAAGCTCAAGAAGAAATGACATAGCTTCTGCTGTTTGTATACACCTCTCAATGTTTCGAAATTGTCTTCAAATGTGTAAGGTCTCACATTTACCAAAATAAATTCAAACTTTAGTCTGTTCCATTGCGGTTTTTTCCCTTTCCTAGGCTCTTCAGGGACGATGAACCCCTTAATATAAACTTGTCCACATCCTTAGTCTACTGAAATTAAAAATTAATCGAAAAGTAGAAAAACTCATGAAGGAGAAAAGACTCCTTTTTAAGCATGTCAATAATTACGCTGCACTTTCTTAATTTCTTTTCTTCAAGCCTTTATCCTCAGAAGATTGCAGGATTAAAAATTTAAAGTCTGTAGATTGTGCTTAACTTGAATGCCACAACCTTAGCAGGTTTTAGTCCCAGAATATCAGGTATCAAACTGAATGATGAAAGTAATAGAAATTTAGTGTTTAAAAAGAAGAAAAGGTAACTTTTGAGAAAATGCTACCTCCATATTTGTACTCCATATTTGTTACGTCAGTGTAACATTTAACATAAATTGTGAAAATTGGGTAATAAAACTGGTTAAATTTCTGGCACAATTTCTGAATTACTATTGGACTGATGCCAGTGAAGCCTGGAAGAAGAATTCTAGCCACACTGAAAGAGGATCGAGTTAAAGAGGTTAGAAGTTTCCTAACAAGACTTAGCCGTCAAAAAGTAGTGTGACCCATGTTCTCAGTTGCAAAATATGTCAATCGGCAACGCTGAATTTTTGACAGGAGATATGCTAGGAGATCCTGCAGCTAGTTGAGCTCAAAACTCATCATTTTCTCCTTGAAATGTGGTTTGATTCCATCCTTCTTCCAACGTGCTCCCACTTATCCTTTACTTGTCTAACAGCAAGTTGTATCTATTTTACAAAATATTTTGAGTTTTGTTATGGTTTTCATTTCAGTTAGCACAGTCCATTTCATGTCGATTCCCAGGTAGAAAATTTAAAAAAGCCAGATTATTAGAAGCTATCATTGTGTATCTTCAATGGTTTGAATATATATGTGCTAGTGTTGGCTTCAATGTTTCTTAGTTTCATCATGGATTGATTATTTTTCGCTCTGTTGCAGCTGGCTATGGCACACCATCTGGACCTCAAGGATACCAAGGTTGGGGTGCTCCTCCGGGGCCGCAAGGCCAGCAAATGGCTCCTCCTCAATGGGGCTCTAATTATGGAGCGCCCCCTCAACAAACAGGATATGGATCCTATGGTAAGTTGTCCATGGACAAAACATTTCTTCATTTTGAGCATATGAGGACTTACATGTAACAATAGCTGATGTCCAGTTTTCACATTGTGAGAAAATCCCGTTGAAGTTTTTGAAGCTTTGCACTTTGCTGTTTGTAGAACTGAGAGGATTCTTTTAAAGATTTTCATGAAGAGCAACTCTTCCTGTAAAAAATACGCGTTTTACGATTTCTGTAAGTGATAAATTAAAGGAGTAACAGCAAATTGAAAAACAGTGACATCTGCTATTTTTACTGAAAACATTTTTTTATGTATGAAACAAAGTCCTCAGGAAGGGTAAGGCCGGTGAAACGATTGAAATGAGCTGTACATAAGTCAATGTTGAGTCATTTAGTAAACTTAAACAAAAAACTAATCCGTTTGTAACTTCTACAACAAAAATAAGGAACAAATTATTAAATCAGTTAGAAGATCAACAATTCTGGCGAGACGGTCCTGATACGTATAATTTGAGTGTCAGCTGCAGCCCATAGCTGGTGTGCGGGCAGTTATCGCAAGTGCGTTTGAATGTCCGCGATATCCTGCGGTGACGGCTGGGGAGAACAGTGGATTCTCAAATCTGCTGTTTTTACAAATAACATGGTTTTCAGTTCATATCTCGCTGAAAAATTGTGCTGGAAGTCTAAAGCACTAGGGCGTCTAGGCATTCTTGAAGGCTCCAGAGTTTAAAGAATGCATTTTCCCTAAAAATGGCGGATGTTAGCGACTGCTATTGTTACATGTAAGTCCTCATATAGTGATCAGAGGTAAACAGTAGTAAACAAAAATGTGGGTGATTTAGCGTTGCTGTTGTTCGAACTTGGCAAGCAAATTCAGTGTTATTTTCATCCATTATATTATACATATGTGTATAATTCGCAGTTTATCACGAGATATTGGCTATCTTTTGATATTTTTTTGCACAGTTGTTTTACTGTGACAAACTTTTGTCTACGTATATTGCTTCTTCAGCGTATTCTAGCGCTCTGCAACATTCTAATGTAATATGTGACTGTTCTTTCAAAGGTCATCTGATATCCTAGAATCCCTTTGCCGACACCTTGTTGCCATCTCTTCATGGAAAGTGCCAGGTGTTTTCTTCTAGGTGGTACCTGATCTCAAACTTGTTTGGTTAACCTCTCCTCTGACATTCTTTGCAGAAGGAAAGAGGTTAGTCAAAGAAGTGTTAGATCTCAAGTTAGGATTTTTATTGGTTTACAATTTGAAGTTTGAAAAATGTGAGTCAATTCACAATGTACTGCAAAAGAATCCTGTTCAAGCAATGCAAGCCGACCCGCACTGGTACTCAGTGCCAAGCTAGTGCTCTTACTTTCATTTGATTTGGATACAAAAGGTCTTGTCGAATCAGTCAAAGTCAGGAAGAAGAAATATCCAAGGGTTTGGGAAACTCCAGAAAGTCAAGGAGAAGGGGAAATAATTTTTACTAGACATCCTGTAATGGCAAACATGTGCCTACTAAGAGCATGTTTGCCCCCCACATTTTCAAATTTTTCGCCTTTTTTCTCTCTTGAAACAGTGTTCCTTGAAGGGTCCTTTTAGTCATCCAGGGGGACAATTTTTTTTTCTTTATACCTTGATAAGTTGGTAAATTTTGTAATCCAAGAAAACTTTTCACCAGTTTCTGGAAACAAGCCAATTGCTAGTGTTTTTAGATGGCTCTTGCCCCATTTAGCGTTATTGTTGCTGTTAATTTTTCTTTTCAAACAAATGCAACTTCAGGGGTTATAAATGCACCTTTTAGCCAAGTTCGGTGTCATTTCGAAGAAAGAATGCCTGAGCCTGGCAGGCAACCCAGCGTTGTTGAGTAAGAATCTTTAAGGTTTATAATATTAAAACAGGCCTTCAAACTGTCTCACTGTCCAAGATGGATGTAAGATAGTAAAATAGAACAATGAAAAGAGCTGAAAATTATCTGTGTTTTATTGAGGGAATGGATCTGTTGTAGGCAAGAGATGCAGCCACATAAATATTCTCTTTACGAGTGAAATTGCCAGAGAATTATGTTGGGCCTGTTATAAAAGTTTGAAATTCATACCCTAGGGCACAATCTGCAAGGTCTGTGACAAAATTCGTTTCATGTTTCCCGCGTCTGCAGACAGTTTTTCTCAGTCACTGCTGACCAGGTTTGCATGAGCTGAGGAGTAAGACAAACTAATCTGAGTGAACAAACAATAACATCAACTTTTTCTGCTGTATGATCTCAATCATTTTCAAGCATTTATTCCTTTTCCTTGTTTTATTTTCCCAAAACAAAAGCTTTGAATCAGTTGAAATCTTACGCTAGGAGAGTTTTCAACAGTTGGCAAGATTGTTTGTTTAGTAAGGTTAGGTCTCTCTCTGGGCAAACCTGTCTACTGGCCACCAGAAAAAACTGCCAGCGTACATGGTAAAGAAAAAGCATATCACCAACCTTGCACATTGCACACTGAGGAGTGAATTTCCCCTCAGATAGTATATTCAGTTGGCTGTATCTTTGGCGTGCAACAGACCCATTCGCCACCATGTTCCGAGCCGTAGCCATTTTTTCATTGAGTTTTTCTTTTCTCTCCCTCTGCCTTTTCAAATCTTTGAGATTAAGTTTCTAACCTGATACATTGAGATTACTAAAGCTTTTTGAAAATTCAAAGTCATAATGAATTGTGTGGTGTGATAGTTATAATTGATCGTCATTTTTGTAGGAGCGCAAGCAACGCCACAATCGTACGGGAATAGTTGGAACTGGAACATGACACAAAATGGACCAGCAACCCCTGCAGGACCTCCTGGACAAGGCAATGGATACCAAGGTAATCTTTTTCTGTTCTATGAGTTGCTTTGATTATTCACCTTCTTCTTTAGATGGGCCGACTCATTAATGGTAATTTTGAAAGAATATATAAATTTGAGCGACAAGTTCTTGAAAAGTTATTGAAAACCTGGAAAAGTCCAAATATTTTTCCCAACATTGCAAAGTCAAGGAATTTTTTGGGAGAACCTTTTAATTCGTTCTTCAGGCGGAAGCTTTCTGATATTTTTAATTTCAAAAGACTTCATGCTACGAATTTTTAATGACAACCATATTTTCCAAAGAAATAATTTGAAAAACATAATTGAAGTTCACGTTCCAAAATCCTGACAAGTCAAGTCATAGTCAGAGAATTTTGAAATCCAAGAAATCTGTCACCCTTTTATTTAAGTATAATTCTTATCAGATAGACTAAGCTTTCAAAAGACAAGAATATTGTCTAATAGTGTTAAATTGTACAATATTATTTTCTTGTGCAAATAAAAAAAAAAAAAAAAAAAAAAAAAAAAAAAAGACGCTTGTGACAGCTTTATGCCAATTATTAGTGGACATTGGCCAAAAAATTCCTACTTACTGTCTACATGTCTCTTGCCTCTACCGCAATCAGTTTGCACTTGTTAAAGATGCTACAAGGCGACGGTAATGCTTATTTCAATGCCATATGCTGATGGTCCTGTTTTATTTGATGGCACCGATAGCAAAGAAGTTTATTTAGACTTCCTTAACATTGATGTATCCTTTTATTTTTAGTTTAACAGGTGGTTTGAACATGTTAGCAGCAAATTTTTAAAATTATGAGCAACAAATTCAATTTTCAGAAACTCAAGTTCATATACCAGAAGTTTCATTTGGACTTGGTTTTAAATTATGCAAACAAAAATGAATCTCTCTCGTACAATGGACCACTAGACAAGGTACAAATTTCAGCATTCTGATTCATGTTTCTTAACTAAAATTTCACGTAAAATACGATGCGCACAACGAAAATTACCGAAATCAACTCCTTACGAAGATATTAAATGATTCTTGATGCGTAAATTCAAACCACCCGCTCATGAAAACTCAATGCTCTACGTGATTCACATCGCACCCTAAATGTTATCATGACAGTATCTGCAATTTAAAAATCTGGCAGCCTCAATCTTGACGCTTTGGCTCAGCTATAGCAAATTACTTATAGTTTGAACAACACATGGTGGAAAATGAACATTGCTCAATTGAGAAGCTTGCTGAAACCGTTGTAGTGTGCAATTTGACTCAAGTAGAGCTTTGAGTTTCTTGTGAGCGGGCAGTTCAAATTCCTCGTAACCAATGTGAAATAAAAGCGTTAATATCTTCGTTAGGATTTGGTTTCAGTAATTTTAGTCGCACGAATCGTGTTCTACGTGAAATTCTGGTAAAGAAACATATATCGGATTGCTTAAATTCGTACCTTGTCTAGTGGTCCATTTTCGTTGGGGGCAGTCAAAACTTGCCTCCAACAGTGATAAGATAGAGGTAAATACATTGCCTGCCTGCTAGTGGGTTTTATGTATGTGTTCTCACTAGTTCTAAAAATCTTGAAGAGAAAAAGTTCCAAAAGTGACTGCTGCAAAGTATTGTCACTCTGGACCATCATGATGCTAGCTTTATCTCCAGTTTTTGTCTGAAAGCGCCTCGCTTTCAGTTTCATGGCACTCCTGCAGATGGCATTTTACTTTCTGTCAGCACGATAAAAATCTGCTGTTAAAAAGATGAGTCAAAATCATTACATGGCCTAGGACTAACAAAATGATGACAACCGTAACTGGCTCGGCAGGCAGCGTGTAGAATTTCTCTTGTCTGTTGATCACTTTTTTGGAGAGCCCAATAGCAATTAACGGTGTTTGTTTTAATCGTAGAACGTTCGTTTGGTTATGCAGGTGGGGCCGGCGCTGCTCCCGCTGGACCTACCCCCCCTGGGACTGCAGGACAAAAACCACCAACTGACTATGGTGGCTACGGCGGATATGCTGGTTATCAACAGGTAAACACCCTCATCTCTCTCACCTAGTGGCCTCTGACCTAGTGCTCTGAAGTTCTGGTCTCACCTAAATTGTATCAACCGTCTCTTTCAGCTTCTGTGCTGAACATGATCGTATCTGAAAAACAGGCTTTAAAATTTTCCAAATTTCAGAATGATTGGTCATCGCTCGAAGTTTTATGACTCATAGGTAGGATCTAAATTTGTATGTCACTGAAAGTGTCTGAAAGAGGACTGTCCTCAGAAAAGAAAAAGGCTTTCAGTATATTTTGATGTAAATTTGTCATGTTAAATATCAGATCACACTGGGCCAGGCATGTAAAAGTAACTTCATCAGCAAGGTTCTGAGACATTCACATTTCCTTTCAATGAGCAGTGCTTGTCACAAAACTATACTTTAATGATTGAATCCTAGTGATCAGTAAAAAATTTGAAGATTAACCCGTACGCCAAGCTATCAGTAGAATTATTTACCTCAAAAACATACTGTGAATTTAATTCACCATGGTGAAATCCATCGATCATCAATCATGGTGAATCAAATCTTGATTTATCAGTGATAATCTCAATTTTATTGCCCGTTCGGTGCACATCACTGAGAAAACCAAGACTGCAGGAACTATGACAGTGTTTCTCAATCTTTCGCGTTTTTCATTTTATGGTTGATATTGTCCTTAATAGTGAATGTAAAACTTGACGTTTGGACTGATGAATCATTTTTCTAGTTGAAACCATCATTATACATACTATTTTATGATCACTTGAACTGACCCATACAGTAAATGAATCATACCGAATGAAATGAAAAAATCTATGAGCCCAATGAAACCTAAAACGGTATTTTCCTCTTGATCTGTGAAGAAGTCCAATCTTTGCGATCTTAATTAGATTCCCCGTTTGTGGAGTATGTATGTTTTTGGCATGAAGAGTGTATTTATTGAACCAGCTGATCAATCTCCCTCATTCATTTTGGATTTTTCATTTGATCAGAAGGATGTATGGGGGTCTCCATTGTACGACAAAAAGGGTACTTGAGCTGTACGATGATCAGAAGCTTAGCTCAGAACTTACCAATTAGTTTCACTGTGGGCTTAAAATTATCGAAGTAGTGGAATTTTGTTCTCTTCAAAATGTAGTGAAAGCCTTTTCCAAAATTTCTGTTCTTTCTCTTTCTCAAATTCACAACCGGAGCACTATAAATGATTAAATCATCATCCGTACTATTGATGGTTTTTCAATAAATTGTATGGCTCAGTGCTCTTCTTAGATACATTTTACATCAATCATGGTTGCTAAAAACAAGATTTAAAGGAAGATAAAGAATTATTGGTTTCTCTTAGTCTCTCCTGCCATGGATTTTGAGGCTCCAATTCTTATTCGTAAGAAAGGGTACACTAATTTAATTATCAGTGAGCTGAATCTCGTTAGCATATCTCTGGAAAAAATTAAATGTCAACTTTTCAATTATTTCGTAGAAATGAGGTCTAAAGAAAAATAAGATCACAGTAAATCCAAACTGTTTTGCAGGTACGGTTTTCATGCTTTATCACAGTAGTTTTTAGAGTTAATCCAGAAGGGCACTAATAGGCCAACAAATTTTAGTAGCTCTTCTAAAAACAAAAAGTAATGTGTAGAACATTTATTGCCTGAATTTGGCTGAAGTAGTAGCTTACATTACTTCTTTCTGTTTCAAAAATTGTAAAAAGTTAAATTTGTCATTTTGTCAAGTGTCTCGATTAAGAGCTGTTTGCTTCATGAGTTTCTCTTCCAACCTCGGTGATTTCATTATGAGCCCCGAAAAGAGTTTCCGAAGCACTACACAGTGTCATTATTGTCCCCTCCCCCACTTCATTTTATCGACAAATGTACACTCTCTGTTGACCTCTAAAGGCTCCGTGAATTTTCTCCGCAACTGCAAGTTATCTCAAGAAGTCATACTATAGCATCAGAAAATGTACCTTCTCAAGTTACTATTTTCAAAATCATAGATGTTGATGATATCAGATTTCTGTGCGTCTATAGAACTTAGTATGGAAATCAGTAACATGCAATTGACTCATTTTAAATCAGTTTAAAGTATGCTGCAGTTTCTTTCCACCCAGGAGATCCATTACTATCTCGCAAATGCTTTAATAGCAGCAATCCATATTTAATAAACTGTTGACATCTGATTTCTGCTTCCTCAGAAGATGTCACAGATTGGTCAACTTAAATCTGTTAGGCTCGATTTTTTATCTTTTTTTTTCTTTAAATTCAAATGTATATTCTACTCCTTGAGTTTTCTCAACTCCTATTGGACATTAATAGGTCAGCCAAACACCTAAACTGAATCTGCTCTTTTCAGTTGGTCAGATCAATACAAATTTATGACGATATTTCCTCCAACTTAAGCGTAACAAGGTCGACTTAAGTTTTACCAGTAACCTCTGAATCTTGCAACATCGCATCTCCTTTTAAATAATTCCCCCATTTTGGCCATTAAAAAGTGCCCTTTAGCTTAGTACCCAGTTCAACAATAACCATTTTTCTGGTGGGTTTTATGGATTTGGAACTCAGCTCTCAGGAACTGACCTAGCCATTGTAGGGTAGGGTAGGATTGGGTTGCTAAGCTTTAAATGATGTGACAAATTCTAAGCTGAGGTATCCCAAGCGAAGTATTTTATGACACTTGCCAGGCTAAAGGAAGGATCCTCTGAAAATTAATGCTAACACACCTGCCAAAATCTTGACAACCCTATGCAAATAGTTTGAAGAATTCTTTGTGTCAAAATTATGATTTTCTTGCCTTAGGAGAACTGAGAAGAGGAACAAGAGTTATGGAAAAAAATTTCAGGTTTTCCCATTAATTCTAAACGTACTAACCAAAATTGAGAAAATTTTGAAAACTACTAATGGTGCATTGGTGTGCACTGATACATTTTGTTTTAGGGTGTTAACTTTTTACTGCTTTGTGACCACCATCCCCTCTCTGAAGATTTGCTCAGTTCAATCCTCGTAATGAAGTTTTAAAAACAAAAGTTAAAAAAACAAAAAAATTAACAATCAAGACGTTGGTGATCTTTAGATTATTTGATATTCACTTTTTCCGTTAAAAAGAAACCCAAAACCTAATTAGGGAATCTCTGCATAAATTCTATAATTACCAATGATTCTGAAATGTCCAATAATTCCAAAAGATTGTCTCTTCATGTGTTGGTTATTAATCCCCCAAATAGTCAATTTTTAACTCAGCATCGTTCTCACAAAGTAGCTATCATGAAACATATTAAGTGTGAAATCCTTGAAATGCGTAGAATCTTTTTACTAAATTGTCAAATTAATTTCCAAGCATCGGGAAGGTTTCATAAGGGAGCCCTTTCCTGTTCGTATGTGAATCAGTTTTTCTGAGGAAAACCTAGCAACATCGAGTAATTTCGGAGAATTTCCAACCTCTGTACAACAGTCGGTGTTAACAAAGTGTAAGTTTTTTTGACTTGGGTCAGTCTCCTCATTTAATGTCAGTAGCAACCCTGGGGGGAGGGGGGGCTAGAGTCAGCTGTTTGATAGGAGATGCAAGATTGAGCGACGTGTTGGAATTAATGCGAGTTTTTGTCGCTGTGTAGGACTCGACGTCATACAGCGGACGCAGCTACGCAGGCGGAGACGGCACAGCGCAAGGTTCAGGAGGTGGGTACAACAAGCCGTTCGAATTTAAGGAATGGCCATCCTCTTGACTGAAGGAATCTAGAATTACGTACCGCGAAGGGTGAAGGGTGAACTTTTTAATGTGTGGTTTTTTTTTCTCTTTTTTTTTCTCTCTAATTTAAAATACCCTATTTCGATATTAAATTACTATTACTTTCTTATTATTACTATAATAAACTTTATTATTATTATTATTATGATATTTATATACACTATTTATTTACATATATATTGCTTATATATCTATAACATAAGGGTTTTTTTAATCAATTTAAGTTCTCCCCTTTTTAAATTTTTTACTCATGCCTGGAAAACACGACATACTTCTCATCCCCCTCTTTCTCACTCTTCTGAATTATATTTGGCCTCCTCTTGCAAAGTTGTTTCTCCCTTTAATAAATGGAAAATTTTGGTCACCTTTTTACGGTTAAGATTGTAGGATAAGGTCATGTCTAAGTGGTAGCCTTTTTAACTATTATCAACATTTTATTGGTTAGACTTTTTCTGATGCAAACAAAAGTGAGATTAGACGTTAATTTGTTCGTTTTAATGGATTACACTTAATGTATTATTTCTCTCGCCCCTTTGATTTAATTCTTAATCTGTTTCCCCTCCCGTACTTTAATTGAAATAATGTTAGCAGTAATGATATTTCGCAGTAAACTATTAAAATTACGAATTACGAGCTAAAGTTAAACCCTCCAGTGTCTTTCTAGAGATAACTTTAAATTATGTACGATACCTTAGGGATAACTAACTCAACCTGATTTTGTTTTTCTATGGATCCTTGATTATTTTTAAATCTGTTTTGGTTTTTTTTTTATTTGATTTTTTTTTCTCTCTTGTCGTGACTGAAATGTACATACAGGTAGTAGAGGTATTCTTAATCGTGGCTTTTTTGTCAATGTTTGTTTAAGTATGAAGTTAAGTTACTGGAGCTTTGCCCCCCTGCCCCCTCATATCCCATGCCCTCTATTCATTTCTGAACCCACTCCTGGTCCTTTCCTTGCTTCATCTCTCCCCTCTGTCTCGTTTAACCTTAGAACCACCAAGTCATTAATTGTAAGCATAATTTTTAAAGGTCTCCTCTTTCTCTTCCTTTCCTATCACTCCTTTCTTAAATTATTTTTGTTGATTAATGATTAATTTTTTTGTTATTGTAAAAAGCAATAAAATTTAATTACTGATTAATTACCTCTAATTGATAACTGATCTAGCATTACGGAAGCAGGAAACTGAATACTATTAAATTCTGGGTAAGACTATTTACTACTTTAGGTTTACTGAATTTTTGTCGAAATAAGTTTTCACTCTTTGAACTAAGGGTACTTTTTAAGGAAGAAAAGAAATCGTGATTTTTAACTTTAAGAAAGAAGCTGTACAAAATCTCATAGGTTATAAACTTTTCAAGTTAACTTTTCAAATAACTTTTCCCTTTATCCTTTTTTCTACTATTATTTTTCGATCCTTTATTTTCATTTTTTATTTTTTTATTTATTTTTTTTTTTTTTTTGTTGTTAGATTTTTAATTGTAATTTGTAAAGATTTCAATTTTTTAGCAGTGGAAAGGAAACCGAGTTTTATACCTTTAATTCGATTTTTCGATAGATAGATTTGATACGCCTGTTATGTTTGTACATTGTACATCTCAAATCAGTTTCTTGTATAATCTTAATTTATTTTTATTTTTTTTAAAAAAATTTCCTCTAGTACGTAGCCTTTTTACAAACTTTTCAAGGTTTATTTAAAATCACGTTGTTGACCAGATATGTTTTTAAGTTAAAATTTTACGATCGATTGGGATTTACCTTCCAACCTGTTTTGTTGTTCGTATTGGTATTGATTTTATTGTTCCTTAGTCTCCCGACTCGTATTCCGTTAGCGAATGAAAGTTAGTCTGATTTTTACACCTGTCAGACTTTTCATGAATACCTCTTCCTCTCTTCCTTATCTTTCTAATTCTTTCTCTTCTTCGAAATTCCTCTCTCTTATCTCCTCGTCCATCCTCTCTTGTTGAAGATTGTATTGTAATCCCAAAAACCAAAAATGACAAACATAATGTTGATGAAAAGTTCAAGTAACTGGAAACCAAAAATCTCGTACACGATCATTGCTTTTACAATTTTGTTGGCTCTCTTTTTTTTAGCTCGTCCCTCTACCTATTGTTGCCTTACCTTACCATCTCATTTGTGTGAATTTTCTGGCCCAATTCCCCTTCAAAGTAAATAATTTTCTCATAAAGCTCAAATGGTAGGTTATTTCAATAGTTTCAGCTTCAATTGAAGAGAATCAAATTATCAGTCGGTGGTAGAACTTAACTCTCTAAACTTCCTCCCAGACACCCGCATTCCCGCATGATTAAAGCTGACCAAAAAATTTGTTGTACTAACAATAAGGTTCTAATTTTGTGTGTAGCTGAACATTAAGTGTGATTCACATCATTGACCCATTTTGTTTGACATGCTGGAATCTTGGTAGTTCCATTTTCTGTCGTCTCTCACATTTTACGGAAAAAACATGAAACCTTAAACTTAAGTGACATGAATATGACAGTTGTTTCTGTTAACTTCCTGATAATTTGATCAGTGGAACAAGTTTTTCTAATAGCTTGCACCAGGTGACAAATTTCTTGCGCAAGAAAAATATGTGTTGTTATAACTTTTAGTAGCGTTTTCTTGCATCTATTCCCTTTTTTTTTCTGTAATTCAACAGTAATGATTGAATGTAAATTATTGTTTATATATGGAAACTCAAATTAAACATTGTTTGTTTGTATGTATTAAGTTTTTTATTGAGAACCAAGTTTAATAAGTAAAAAAAAGAAAAAATTCTAAGAAAAATATCGTTTTTACGTCATTCGTTTTCTCATCTTTTCCGCCCTCTCCTTGATTTTCGACATAGTTTTTTTGTCCTTCTTAAATGCATAACTCTGCAACCGAATTCCAAGGGTGATAGGGAATGTATTTATCATAGGAATAAAGTTTCTCACGCATCACCAAAAATTAAATCCATGAACAGATCAAATAGTGGAAGATGGTAGTCCGAAGATTTCAAGGGCCTCTTTTCCCCCTCAATTTTCTTTCATCAAAACATTCCATGTGCTAAGAAAGTTGAAGTTATTTGTCGTAGCTATAATTGCTACTTGGTTGAGGGTACTTTCCTTTCAGAAAGGTTCTTCTCGGAGTCTTGATCAATTGAAATCATCGTTTGTTTGCTTCCCTTGTCAGGTATTATTTTTCAAATACATTGTAAACTGAATTCCTTTCCCTCAAGAATTTGTACGAGGCCTTCTTTTTTCAAGCACTTCATCTTAAAGTCTAGTTTGCCAACCAAATATGAATGTCTGACGCATGATGCTCTTGTAAGAAAATTTGAATTAGCGAACTACCCAGTTCTTCTTAATTTTTTTTTATTATTATTGTCCGTACATTTGATATTAAAATGATCTTTTCTGAATTAATTTAGCTGAGCATCCATGTTAAATTCCTCTGCTGTCGATTACCGATAATTGTAAAGAAAAGTTGCCAGCTGCCAGGTTATTATGATAGTAGTTTCAAGATTTCATCTCATCTCTTTCTCTCATAATCTGACCCCTCTCGTCGACGGTGGTAGTGTTCTCCCTTTAAGGAAACTGATTCAGTTCGTAAAAGTGAAGTTCTTTGGTCTCCTTCTCATTAGTCTTTCCTCCTGAAAGTGTCCATCTGAAGTCCCATTTACTTCATATATCTTCTCTCTCTAAATTTCCAACAGAATTGAATTAGAAGTAATTGTAAATTAATATCGAAAAAAGGGTTTTCACTGTTATTTGTTTACGCTGTCTGTTTTTGAAAGACGTACTGATTTTCCAGAAAATCGTTACAGCAATGCAGTAATTCCTGCCAATTTTGAACTCAACTAGTTTAAACTGAAGTGTTGCCTCAGTATCTTTAATCTTTTCTTATGAGAAATCCATTTTTTACAATTAAATGGGAGGATGCAACTGCTAATTTCTTTCTGGTAGCCATCTGAAGTTAAATCAGTTCCTCTCACTTCGATCTTCGGTTTCTACAAAGGATAAATCGTAATTAATGTTAAGATCAGATCAAGTACACTTGTGTGAGATTCCTCTTCAGTCGAGAGGGTTCATCCGAAATTCCTCACTTGTTTTCTTTTCATCATTTCTTTCATTTTATTTTATTTCATTTTATCTTTTGTTCATTTTATTTGTTTGCCCTGTTTTGTAATTGATGTTCATTGATCTTAAAGAATTTTCCACCATGCCAGATGTTTGGCAGTTCTGATCCACAGACTGAAAAGCCATGCAGAGCTGAAAAGCAAATATCTACGCATACTCGTAGCTATGTTCTTGGTATAGTTATGATATCAATTCATATTTTATCAATTTCTTCAAATGGGTTTAGATTGGCGGAAAGAAATAACCAAGCACGAAAAAGAGGTAGCAGTCTGACAATTTATTTAGATGCATTGTTTATTGAAAAGAAAAGTTCGTTCCTATGGTTGTTGTATGGCCGCATCAGACTATCAAAAGTTTATTTGATTTGTTTTTTTGTACTTTCTTACCAAAAATTAAGGATCTCTTCCTGAAGGAGTGTTTGGCTAGTTTAATTTAATTATTTTTTTATGAAGCTCAGGTGGCTTTTTAGGTGGGTCAACTTATGAATAGAACTCTCGGGCTAAATCAAGTAATAACTTACCCAAAGATGCTTCAGGAACTCAACGAGTATTAAAAGTTTTGATCAAATTTTTGATCAGTTTTGTATGTATGGGTGTGTGTGTTGGGGTGTGTACAAGGGTCATCCCAAAAGTCTTGCTTGTTTTGCTCTCATTTCAAAAGTATTCAAGGTTGGGAAAATCCGATTAAATGTGCATATGAGGCATACTCTCTGAATTAATTCAAGGACAAGTTTTTTTAAAATCGGATGGAGGGGATGCTCAGAAGGTCATTTCTCCCGCGCCGTTTGACGCGTTTCCTGCCACCCTCAGGCGCACGGTTGCCTTGATAAGTAAGATGTGCGGACGATTTTGGTCAATCTGATCCAATAGCATTGAAATCCTTATCAATATTTTTTTACCAGGTTGTTAACTGTTCAGCATGCTGATTTTTAGGCGTTCGATGATGAGTGCAGTCAGTGTTCTTTCGACATTTGTGTAAGCTAATTGTGTAAAGTTGATGGCACTTTCAAAGCCAGAGAACTTTGAAGTTCGGTCAGTGATTCGAGTTTTGACTTTGGAAGGTGTTAAGCCATGTGACAATTTTCCCAGACTTCAAGCAGTCTAAGGGAACAATGCGATGAGCGATGGAAGTGTCCGAAGGTTGATCCAATTGTTTTGAGGAGGAAGAACAGCAAGTATGATCGATAGTGACTTAGTGCAATGAGTCGACGTTTTTATCCACAAAGACCGCCGAATGAATAACACTTAAAGGAATGCTCGAATATTATTCTGTAATTTCTCGATCTGTCTTGCATTGGATCGTTCATAAATGGTTGGTTAAAAATAAAATTCGAGCCTGGTGGGTTCCGAAAATGCTAGCTTACCGCCTGGAGGTGGCGGAAAACGCATTGAAGGCGGTGCGGGAGAAATGACCTCCTGAGTGTCCTGTTCATCCGAATTTTAAAAACTTGAGCTTAAATTAAAGCTGAAAGTATGCCTCATGTGTACATCTAATCGGATTTTCTCTAAGTTTAATAATTTTGAAGTGAGAGCAAAATGCGCAAGACTTTTGGAATTTGGGCGGAGGTGTTTAGCACCTTGGCCCAGAGGATAAGGCAAATCTGCTGAGGAAGGCCTGCAGGTGAATTTGCTCGTCCGCTTCCATTTCTCATTTTAATAATTTGACATCATCAAGCAGTTTGAAACTGTATTATACATTGGATATTCTAGAAAAAGACACAAAGGACTGGAAACATACATGTTACTCAGGGTCGCAGACTATTTTTCGAAGAATTAGTGATTCAACTGATCTCAGTCAGAATCGAGCCTAGAAACTTAGAACTCAATAAAAATCCGAAGTTTTGTAGGTTTTGCCAACCTTCCTTGCTTTAGTTGCCTTGTTCGGTTTTTTAAATTCAAGCCCCTTGTATGCACCGTTTAGAAATAGAATATTTCAATTAATCAAGGCCTAGTTGACGTATATACCGTCATCAAGTATGCCCAAGTTTACTTTTTAATTTGTGGCAGCGCTTGTCACATGCTGTCACCCCAAACCGAGCTTCTTCATGACTGAATTTAAATCAAATCCCAACTAGAAAAGTCTTTTTTTTTTTTTTTTTTTTTTTTTTTTTTCTTTTTCTTTTTACAAATAACTGGATGTTGATGGTTCCGTTTTGCTGAATGATGTCTACTTACTACCTGAAACAAAATGAGAGTCATTCTGAGAGCAAGTTGATAATTTTGATTTTTTTAACACTATCCCATTTCAATTTTTATGATGGTTTACCCACTCTATTACGCTCTAAAGCTGCAACAGACCGAAAGGTAATGGACGAAACATAAAGGATTGAGCTTGAAGAGGTGAGGAGCCTGTATGCACAGGAAACCCACAACTTCGCCTCAAACTGTTTTGTTCTAATTCTATGACTAACCAATCTCGTTAACGGAAGTAAACTTATTTCTTATTGTTGTGGTCTTTGATTTATTTCTGCATCATGTAGATTCGATAATGCCACGCTTTCTTTGTCTAAAAATAATTTGATGAATGGTGTTGACTGTTCATCATTTTTCTCGTGTCTTGGTTAATTTCTTTCCATGAACATCTAGTGACAATATCTTTAACCTTAGCCTACTAGTGTGCCAGGGTTTTAATGACTTAATTTTATAATTGGTTCGGAGTCAGAGCTTTAGTGGGAGGAAGAAACAAAGAAATTCATACTAAGTCACCTTTTTGCTGTTGTTCCATAACTCATTTAACCCTCATGATATTCCTGCATGATCTTTTAAAGCCTGATTATGATATGACAAAAACTAGCTCAGAAATAAGTTTCACCGTCAGTCAGAATAATTTTTACCAGCAAGCATTGTGAAAGACTCTGAAACTCAACTTAAGTCTGAAAGTTAAGATCACAAAGCATTTTATTGTTGGATGAAAAAAATACGAGTCGAGTTTTTGTCCAGATCTTAGGCTGGGTTTAGTGTGTACTTCCCAGAAGTGGCCTTAAATTAGTCACAAATCACAGATAACTATAGAGATAAAAATTTTAATCAGTGAAGCTTAACATCAGGCAATCTTTATAGAGTTTGGGCATTGATAGTGGGAAATTTTACTTTGGTGATCTTTGAGTCTCGTGAGAGTGTTAGAAGGTTTTGCACTCAAGTCCTGTCCTATTTTGACTAATTTTTATAACTAGTCATTATTGAAATTGTTTTTTGTATTGCACATGATGCTTTACTTCAAAGCAACGCAACTCAGAAACTTCCCCTTCTAAGAAAAAGTGAGCTCATTAGAATTTCTGGTTTTTCCCCCTGCTATATTAATCCTCTTGAAACCACAGAAACATCTAAAATTGCTGATTTGTGATGGCTTTAGAGGCAGACCTGTGGGGCTTTTGAGGTCTTTACGGGATCTGGTGAGGCTAATTGAAAGGTAAGTTAGATTCAACCACCTTTTCCAAAATGTTAAAAACTGTTTTGACAGCCGTGTTGCGCTTATTTTCAGTGAATCATCTCATGCTAATCTTGAGTACAATTAGAAAGCGCCCATCTTCTTTCTCACGTCTTAATCAGAGATGCAAAATTTCATGAAACTTTATCAAATAAAATGTTTTAAAACTTCTGCCACAGCAGAGCATGCCATGATTTTTGCCATGGCTATGACTTGGTATGCCTTGAAGTGCCTAGAAACGGTAAAATCTTAATTTCGAACTGGTTTTAAAAAAAAATAGTATCAAGAGTCAAATTTCGAAGTTTCTCATCAAATTTTTCAATAGTTGTTGCGGGTTGCCCATGAAACTCCGAAAATATCGTTGAAACACAGAAAATGAAATTTCATCATGTGTTTTTAGCAATAGCTCAGTTTAAATTATTTGAGTTTATAAGTCACATGCTTCATGCATGAAGCCATCTTCACGGCAGTGAGTATGGCAATGCCGTTGGCTCCACGCCAGAATTTTAGAGGAACTCTAAGGGAGGGGGCACAGATTTTTTAATTTCAAATAGGTATATCGTAACTTCTATCTTGGGTTACATTGTTGGGAGGAGTACAAGTTTTTCGTGCAAGTTGAGGTCACTATTTCAAAACCGTTACACAATGGTGACTTGTTGAATTGGAGAATAGTGGGGAAAAGGCTTTTGGCAATGTATCTACAGATTTTTACTTTATTTTTTCACTCGATAGCCAAGGTTTGTAGGAGGACTGAACCCTAATTTGATACTAGGCTTTCATAACACTCAATCCTTTTCAAAATGATGAGCTGAAATGATGGTGAAGAAGTAGCATTTTGCCCATGGGTAAGCTCAGCATTAGGCCAGGGTGTGCCATGCAACACTGACAAATTTTGAACAAAACTCTTAACTACCTTATTATAGGTGCTAATTCACTCCGAAAGATATAACATACTATGCATTCTTTTAATAATTTCCAACATGTTAGAATTTCTTATTTAAAAGAAATGTGAAATGGTATTTAACGAATGAATGTGAAGGGACAGAATGGAGTGATTCCTTTGCACATTGGTAGGCTGTACCACGGATTTGTTACAAGCTTTCAGTTTTTTAAAATGCTCCTTTCCTCCTAAAATGACAGCTTCAGAATTATGGGAAATGCATATTTTCCGAGACAAGCCGCTATCTTGGAAAAGATTGAGTATTTTGTAAGACCAACTTTAAATTTGTGTTCAGCGTCCTAAAAACCCTCTGAATATATTGCTTGAATAAAGTCCGAAAATCGGAATATTACGGTTTTCGTCAATTTTAATGATGCAATCTTGCAAAGGACTGGATACATTGAAAGTTGACCATCGAATTCTTGTCCAGCGTTCCCTAAAAATTCCAGGGAAATTATGTTAGAAGCAAATCCGTCCTTCACATCAAGACACTCATTTGGCCATTTCTAACATTAAATGACTGCCATTTTGTAACGGTTGGAGTCATTGATGATTTCGGTTTCCTTCCATTTTTAATTACAATACCATCTACGGGAGGCTTTAAAGAGGGGAGGGGGTCAGTTATTCATCCTGACTGTAAGAGTGTAAATTTTCCCAAGACAAGTAATCACAGGAAAACTGCGTTGACCTCTCTTACTTTGTGAGCTGACGAGCCTTCTCTCTTTACCTAGCTGGGAGAAAAAAACAAAAGAGAAAGAAGTAAAGATGATGTAATGGGGACTGGTAAGCTACAAATCAAATTGACGTATTCACTTTTAATGTCCAAAAGTATTAAATGATGCTGATGTTACGAACATTGAAAAGTTCTGTTTCATCAACTTCAGTATTATAAATTATGCACTTGAAGAAGAAAAAGAAAAAACTCATTTTCCGTGTTCCTTAGAGAATTATCAGCTCTTATCCCTTGTAGAAAATCCTCGGGAACACCATTAGGCTCAATAATGTCAGAAACCGTCACTTCAGCTGGATTCAATCAAGACGCAAAAGGGATTTTCTCCCCTATAATATGTCACATTCACCTATCATTTACCTTTTCCGAGGGTAAATGTATCAAAAGATTGCAACATGTTACACCTTTTGTTAGCAATTCAAAGTACAATCTGATGGTATTGTCAAAATATACGACCAACAAAATGTTCCACTTGGCCAAAGGACTGGTATCATGAGCATTTTATCTGCACCTCCGAAGACAACTATTTTGGTATTGAAGGTGCAACACTTAGTTTTTAAGAATATTCAACGGCTGTAGTTAGCTTCCATCAGATTCTGAATTTGACCAGGTTTACGGAAGATTTGAGATGCCCACCATCAATTTCCTTTTTCTCAACATCAAAACGCAGAGATTGTCACATTTCTCCTACTGCCCTCTCGAATTTACACTCGGAACACAGGCTTTGACGCAAGTTTGCAGACTGACAATAAGTTGTATACATGAACTCTCGAAAAATACGTTTGCACCTTCAAAAAGATTTGCGCAGTCTGTTAGTATTTTGGATCATGATTGNGGGGGGGGGGGGGGCGGCGGCAGCATATCGATTCTGGTAAGGTATTTTGCTGAATGCTTACCTATGCTCAGCAATAAGTACTCTAAAGTGGCAAACATTTTCACTCACAACACATACGTGTTTAATTCTTGATCAGAGACAAGCGAGTCCCTTCTCTTGCATGAAGTGCCAATTAAGTACGTGGATTGGTTTGGAAATTTGGTTGTCGCTTGAAACAGTCTGTGTATAGACTGTCTAGTTGTGGACCCAGTTTAGTCCTTGAAAACTTCGAAATCCTCTGATTATTGAAGTCAGGTAAAACCCGTAAGTAAGAAAGTCCGTATTATGGTGTAAATTTCAGCACACCTATTCTTACTCTCTTAAGGAGAGGAATCATTCCTAGCAGATCATGCTTTCTTGGTTTATTTGTATTTATAATACACAAGATTAAAGAATTAACTTGACACATGCGTTTACAAATTAAATTTATACTTTGCAGGCTACTGAGCTTAACCACCAACCCGCGTAAGTAAGAACACCGCCATCTACCAATCATCAACTCCTATGCCTAACTGTAACTATCAACAAAACCATAATCACTCTTTAGTTTAAACCTCCATAGCTCATAGAATATCTTTAAGTCCTCTTGTTCTAATGTTCAAAGTACCTGATTTGGTTGTAAGTGTTTCGGACAGTTAAATTAGTATTATCAGTATACATAGACTCTGATTTTAAGTGTAGAACTTAAGCCTCAATAGTTCTGTTAAAAAACTGAAGACCAAAAATTAGTCGTAATTAGTTTTACGATGTTGAAGTATCAGTTAGCTTTTTAGATGTTCATGATGTGGATTTTGGCCCCAATAACAGGGAACTATTTCGAGAATTTTCTAGTTCCGAGAGATTCCCTACGTTTCTGCGTGTTCAAAATTAGATGATTTGTTTTTACTTTTCCACAAATTTTTCAAGTATTTTGTTTGTATCACACTTGTAGAATAATAACTATGAACTGATAAATAGTCTAGTAAAAATGTACTTTTTAGAAGGAATTAATTTCACTTTCATGTTCTCCTTGACACTCTATAAAGTTAGTGTCGGGGAAGTTAAGAAGCAGAGGGAATCCCTGAAGTAGAATGGTTCAGTTCACCATCTTGTTTTTGAGATTACTGAATCATTTTCATTTAAAGACTAAAGGAAATTTTTTTAAAACATCCAAAATTATGGTAACTCCCAATGAGCTCAAGTAACAACTTGATATGGTTTATTTTATTTTATGAAGTGCTTGAAAGTGAAATTTATTCCAACTCTTGAAAATGTTTTACCCATGTTAGAACTGCCGTTGCATCTTACTTCATTAACGTTTTTAAAGAACTAGTATTATAACTGCATATTTAAATTTAAATAGGTAGTTTTTAGCCTAAAATTCCGTTTTTGAGTTCTGTCGCTAATGAATAACTGTAGAGGGGAACCGCAGAGGTGCCTGCCTGCGGTTTTGGTAAGTTTGCTGCAACTTATCGTTCCTATAGAGCTAATCGAGATGCTTTTCAATTTTTACCAATGGACCCCATATCTCCGGAATTTTTTTTTTGTTTTTTTATTAAAACGCCTCTTTGACTATCAGCTGAACTTAGTGTGAGAAGTGTTTTTTTCCCTGGCAATCCCATTCATCAGCAATGAATGTGGCACATATTTTAAGGTCGAATTGTCACAATTCAAAGCGTAAGCTGCCATTTTCTCAAGACAATTTTAACTTTTCTTATTTTCATAAAAGTACAATTTCAAAAATTTCTCATACAGTTTCCTCTCACACGCATGAAATTCTGTGAAGTTATTACTTTAAAGGAATCGTCATGAATTGAAAGAATGTTGATAAAAAGAAGTCATTGAACTCGCCAGGTTTTTTATTTCCCAAAAAAGGTGGAGTACGAATTCTTAGCTGAAAATCTTTTAAAATCCTATTAAGTTGCAGGGGTGAACTAATGATGGCTTTCTTTTGAAAAATCGCACTCCACCTTCTTGGACGTAATTACACTTATCTACACAAAAAAATCAAACAGTAAAGCAAGTGCAAAAACGTTGTGGGGTTGTTGTTGATTGGTTTTGCGTATGAAAGTCATACATACCTCATCTTCACATGTGATAAGAAGTGATAAAAGTTTGGGGGGTTGAGGGGCCTACCAGTAAAAACTGAAGAGCACTTGTCAATCTGCCGCATTTGAACTTTTCATTGCTGCGAACTACAAAATGGCAGATGGCCTCTTCTGAGCTTCCTCTTGTTAGACATTTTGTTAGAATCTATTCCTACCATAACAACCTCTCTCTGAGATTACAAGATTCTCAGAAAATTTGTCTCTCAGATTAATATCTCACATTTGGGTGCAAATGACTCCGTAGCCCTAAAACAAATCAATCAATTTTGAACTTCAAATTTTTTTCATCATTGACAATTGGCCTGTCGAAAAAAGCGTACCAGTTGCAAGTGTAATATATGAATGATAACATTTAAGACAGAAGAAAAAAATTCTTATGAAGACAAAAGTTCATAGAAATCATCATTTTTAGCATAGGTACTTACCCAAGTAAAATTAAGAAAATTATATCTCTTAGAAAATTCTCTGAAAATTTTCCTGATTCTTTCTTCTTGTGTATTATTACCTGGTGAACGTGTTGATTGATTGGTCATTGATTCAAAATACTTGTATTTTTCACTTATTTGTTTATTTTTTAACTGAAAGTAGCACATTACAAAAGAACGAGGAGCCTTATTAGTTTTCTTATTCATACAACTGTTTGTGATGAATCTTACTTATTTACATTTTAATTATCTTTGAAGGTCGAGTTTAATGTGTGGACACAGTAGCTTGCTTGATCATTGACAAGGAGCGTCTCTTCATGTTTTTAACATTTTTTATAGAAGGAAATTGAGAAATGTTTCGTTATATCCTGAAAATGTTGTAAATCTTTCAGTTCAACTGCATTAGGTATACTAGCATTTTTCAAGACTGAAGCTTGAATTAGCAAAAAAATTTCTTTGATATTGTACCTAGTTATCTTCAAATTATGTGTTGATTTTTTTCCCCCTTTTTTTTCTTGGGTATCAAATCAAGGAAGCCTCATTGTTTTGAATTTCAAGAGTAGCTCTTCAAGAAATGTTCGAATACTATGCAAGAAAAATTATCCTCTGAATATTGACAGAAGCCCCAGATAGTGCAGAATTTCATTGAATACTTCATAATTCTCAAGAAAAATATTAGGCACCTATTTTGTGTCCAGATGTTCATTAAACCAAATTTTTAGACTTTCGGGTACTCCTTGTTAGAGCTAAAGCTAAAGCTAAAGCTAAAGCTAAGCTTGCTAGAGCTAAATGCTGATTTCAAATATTGGAATTTAAATTGTCAAGGTTCACAAGAGAAACTCTCAGTGAATTGCATCATTGAATCATCATGTAGATTATTTCGATAACAAGTCCAGTTCTAGATGACTGAGAGTTGGAAATTTTCAATAAAAGCAACTCCATCCTGGCATTTCCCTGAGTAAGTTTGGGAGTTGATCCTCTCAGATTTTACTTTCTCCTGAGCGCATGAATGATATTACAGCAATAGTGTTCTAAGCTAAGACCCCTTGACCTGCTATTAAAAAGTCAACAGCTAATGAACTAATACCAAAAGAACAGAAAATATGCGTCACTTGTGCTACTCCATTACACGTCCAACCTTACAATCAGTCTGATGACAAAATTTCCCAAGTGTTGCAAAACAGCTAAATATATGCACATATACTTTACTCTTTTTCTTCCAAACCCTCAGTGGCACGGAAATAAAAATGATTTTGTCTTCTTCCTTGAAAATTTCTAAACTCCACTCAATCGGACTCCCAAGTATATTCCTGTATCTTTTAAGGTTTTTAAAATGATTTAAATTCAAAGTTTACTGACGAAATTTTTAATACAGCTATTCTCAGGCAACTGTTTGACAATTTAAAATCCTTATTGAGTCATGTCAGAAAATTTTACAGAACTTATGGATATCCCAAATCTGAACTTCTCAATGTTTTTTTTAAATAATTATTTGATTGAAGAAATTCAATGCACTATGCTAAGGTAGCTTTTTATGCTGGGAATTTGCTCAACCGATTTGGCACTTGATTCTAAGAATTAAGTAGGTTCACTTTTTTGGAAGGTACAACACTTTGAGGCTCAAATCTGGAGCAAACTTCTCTCTAAATTTTTCAAGTAATCAAGCTTCATTTGTTGTAAATGTAACGATTTTGCCTCTCTCATTAAATCCGATTTCTTTCCTGCTCATTTTGTGCACAGCATAAACCTGAACCATTTCTGACACCTTTCACTTTCCTTTCCCGTTTCACAGATGCCTCCTCTTCCCCAAATCCCAATCCTTCCTCCTCCGTCATCAAACGTTTGTTGAACTCACCCGTCGGATCATCTTCTTCAGGTGGTGGTTACTCCAACGCTCCGGGACCCCAGCGCGGTAACAACTACTCCCAAACATCTGCCTCCAGTGGCTATCACCCATACCGCCGCTCATGAATCATCAAACTGCACTGCCCTTGTTTGTGTCAACACCTCCATTCCATTCTAACGCAAAGAACCCCTTTCTTCTGCGATTTGCAAGTTCAGTGACTGTACATTTGTTTTTTTACTCCTCGCATTGGTGATGATTACATTTAGATTATTGAGTGTTATAATGCATGTTCGTCAATGTTAAGCTAACTGCGGACAGATAAGATTAGGAGTAAGAATATTTTTCTAATTTTTTCTTACAATTATTGAGTTTTGTCCATCTCTGTTTATTTGCATCTTTCCTGTCACTTTGTTATTATTTTCATTCAAATTTGATTTCTAAATAAAAGCATGGAAATTCACGGTTTTCTTTGGGCTATTTTATTTGCTTTCCTTCATAGAGAGATTGCTAATCAAAATTTGAATCATGATGATAACATGCACTATGTTTTTAGAAGGGTGATATATTAGTTAATATTGGACAAGGGAACTTGTTGTCTGGAAAAGTCTTATTATTTTTTACTTATCTATTAACTAAAGTCATCAAAAACATGGTATTATGACTAGCGCAACTAACTCATTGCAAACCTTAATTCTCCAAAATTAGCAAAATTCGGCGGAAAGTAGTAAAATTGGCAACAAAGACTTAAAAGGTGCAGGTCCGAGGAATTGAGCAAAAATTCTGAAAAAAATCATGTTTTCTCTTTAGAAGGAAACTTCCTCTCACCCGTCTTGGGCATTAAAAATTGTAAAACTTGCCTACCCAGACTACTTTCTTTTATTTTTAGCTGCTAAAGCCAAAGAGCACATTCAGTTTTCCTTTTTTGGGTCAGGATAAACATTTATCATATCATTCTTGTTTTTTTTTTTTTTTTTTTTTTTTTTTTTTTTTTTTGGACTTATGAGTTTTCAAAAATGCTTTGAAGAAAGTAATTTTTTTTTTTTCTCAGTTATCTGTAATTTAAAGGATTACATGTATTTTCCAAATGCTCAGATATGCAATGAAGTACAATAAGATCGGTAGGAAAAAAAAATGGACCAAAAATGAAAGAAATGATCGGTAGAAATTTACTGAATAGAAATAAAATAGAAAACGACAAGTTGCAGATATTACAGAACAAAATAAGATGAAAAGATTTCTACTAAGATCAAAGGGTAAGATATATTCTAAAGTTTTCTCGGTTGTGCTCCATGAAAAAATAAAAGATGAGAAAGATTTGAGATGATAAGTAGAATTTTTAAAATTTTTCCGGGGTACAAACTTTGGGATGCCTACAGTTGAAACTCACTACAGGTAGGTGTACCAACAGAATTGTGGTAGGCCATGTTTGATGGAGAGCTTTTTTCGCAGACTAATTAGAAAAATGTTAGGTACAGGCTAAAAAAAAAGAAAGTAAAATTAAAACTATCTGTTTTTGACCTAGTAAACTAAAATTCCACTCAACAGGGGTTAAATGAAGTTTACAAGAGAGAGATTCTTTTATTATAATTTAAAAAAAAAATAAAAAAAAAAAAAAAAAAAAAAAAAAACAGTCAGTTACTTCAGTGCAACATTCCGTAACAGTGAATGAAAGTAGAAAAAACAATTAAATGTTCATTTCTTTTTTTGTATTTTGCTGTAAAAAAGAAGAGGTGTATTACTTTCAGAGTTCTCTGACACGGCATGTGACATTGCTATCATGTGGAATCTTTGAAAATTGACTAAAATGGCTCCTTCTACATCATCCTACATAGGTTGAAAAAGGCGAAGGAAAATAACGTCAAACTTTGACACGAAAATCTGCTGCTACCACATAATTGTGGCCTTTCCAATTAGATAGAGGAGGATAAAACAATTCATTGTGCATTTTCCGGATGGGATAAATAGTATGACTAACCTTTTGTACATTAAGATTTCAAGTAGAGTAACATCAAGCACTGTCTCGGAGTTATGAACTCTTTCTAAAAATTAATCCAAAATTTTTATGTGATGTTTGCAAGGTTTGATCTCCGGAGGTGAAGTCAAAATTTACACTTTGAACTGATCCTGTTCACGGAGATTTGATAAAATTTGGTTTAAAAAGTTTCAGAGGAATAATTTTAATGATGTTGATTTTTTACCCTGTCGGATGATACATTGGAGACGAATTTATCAAATTTTCAATTTACTTGAAAACATGAGCCAATACATTGCCCTATAGTCTTCTGATTATAATCTTAGCACTAAAACCAAAGGAACAATCTTGAATCTTAAACATGCCCCTCATATGCTTTCTGTCACTGAATTGAGAATATTTCAAAACATTACAATTGCCCTAGGTTGCGCATGACTTTAAATATTACCAGAGAGATCTATCGCTTTGGTTTAAAGGAGAATTTTGAACAAAGAATTATAATGAGGGATACATGAAGAAAAAAAAGTACATATTAACAAGCAATAAATAAAAATACATGTACATGGAGCAACTGGATTAGGAACAAAATTGTTTCACCACTACAGGAAAGAACCATTTTAAAGCAACCACATTTTTTATGACAAACGAAACTTCACTTTTGCTCATTTTTTTTTCAATATTTGATGTGGTTCCATGTTCACGAGTGCCTTGATGTGATTCCATGTTCATGAATGCCATGCTAATATCATTCACTTATTTATGCTCTGCAGAGAATTTCTTCTTCCCATCAAGATGATTTTTTTTTTTAAATCAGACCAATGCACCATGTCTGGCTTAACATGTCTTCTACCTTTTTTGTGTTTCATCCTCTACTCACATTATGATTGAATAAAAGGGACAATTTGAAGACAATTTACTCAATTCTATTGAAATATGAAAATACCAACGGAAATTTCTAGTTTAAATGTTGATAATTTTGAATTGTAGTAAAATGCCTCTAGGGTGCAACTTCTAATTTCAATATGTCCTCTGTATCCAAAAAAAAAATTTCAATAAAAATATGCAAACAATTGCAAGCTGTATGAAATTATGTATTAAAATTTTATCGTGAAAAAATCACTTAGGCCACTGGAACATGAAAAAGTTTACTCTCATTTCTTTTCAACAATACTTACCCTTGTCAAAAAATTAATAACACAACTGATAAAGCCTACAAGAAATGTTTCTTAGAAACTCTTAAGACTTTGCAATTGAACGATACATTCCTCAGATGTTCAGCAATTGAGGGAATAAGTGGTTTCTATATTCGAAGTATCTTCACACTTTAACACTCAACTTCTAGGAAAATGAAAAGTCTGATTCTGCTTTGATTCTTCACCTACGGTCGCTCAGACGTGACAGGCTCAGACATTCAAATCCAGCTTTGTGAATATTTTCACCAGAGCTGTGTCACAGAGTCTATTTTGATCACAGGTGTCTGAAACAATGAAAATGAAAATATTGTAAGGAACATTAAATTTTCCACTCGAACTTTAAAGCTCCATAGAAGTTTAACAAGGAAACTAAAACACTAACGAACTACATTAATGGAATCAGCTCAGTGAGTAAAATAGTGAATCTTTTATCAAATTCTGAGGGGTCAGGTCAAATTTTGGTTTGATTTTGCATGGAATGATAGAATGGCCCTTTTCTTTAACAAAAGAATAAGAGGTGGTACAAAGCTGACGTAATTTACCTCTTCTGAGTTTAGCTGATCATTAAATGATAAGTACATTTTACTTCTACATCAAGATTTCCTTCCTAATAAGGTTTTTTTACATAATAAGTCATGCACAAATCGTCGTTCCACAGTTAACAGAACGTACCTACATTCCAACATTACAAAATTTCCACTTGCCTACTGTATTTTGAGAGACTCTACACATTTGGATCTGAGAATTTCATTGTTTTTTCTCCTGATTATACCATAAAATCAGTACAATTTTGGAAGGGAATTGCAAAGTCATATTCTTGGAAAGAATTGAATTACTGAAGACAGTTTCCGACCTTGGAATGAAGGTACGTTCCTTTGACAGTGAAACGACGAGATTAAGGCCTTCATTTATGTTCAGTTGTGTTTCAGTGATATGAAATATATTTCAGTAAAAAAGCCAAATAGATGAACTGGATTACAAATATGAGCAAATACATACCATGCCTGAAAGTTCACCGAAATTTCTTTCGACCAAAAATGGCATCAGCGTCTGGCGCACCCTTGGGGTGTTGGTATCTTTGTTTTCTATCTCTATTAAAGTTGCTAACTGAAGATCGTGAGTTCTAAGAGACAAAAAAAAAAGTATCTAGTAAATTTGGAGGTTTGGAGAGATATTAAAGGATGACACAATTTGAGAAAATTGATACAAGTAGGGAGTTAAATCTGAAAATGCTTTTCGTAAGATCTGTTAAGTACGCTGTGGGTCGTATTAACGGTGGCCAGATGAAAAATTCAAAACCCCCAAATCTGAGAGCAGAAAACTACAGTAAAATACCTCCAGACAACACACCTGGTAAAACGAAAATGATACCGTGAGCTAAAATTTTGCTACAAATTCGCTTCACTCAAAGAAGAAAAAGAGAGGTGATGGCAGTTATTGATTTGATTACACCGTGACCTAGATGGATTCAATGTGGAGTCAATATTCCTGAAAAACCTGGATTTTTAAAACATTCTTTGTTTTGGCATAGTGCAGTACAGAATTAAAACTTTTTGAATTATGACAAACCACACCATTTTCGAGAAAATCGATGTGCCTAGATTTGTCAGCAACCTATGTGCAAGATGTCCGAAGTGCATACACTTGTTTTCCCGCTCTGTCTGAGTTTTACTCATTTTTACTTGAGAATTTTCCAGGAGCAACTGTATTTTTAAAAGAAAGTAGGGAGAGAAAAAAATACTAAAATTACTTAGAATTAACAAAGTTATAAATTAGGCTTTAATGAATTTACCTGCAGCACTTGATCTTGGTAATCCTCTTCCTCTAATCTATTATTGATATTTAGTGTAAGCTGTTTTACTCTTTCCATTTCTATTCTCTCTGCCTGTAAAACAATTGAATGATAAAACAATACATGAATGTCTGAGGAACAATTTAATAAGCTAAAAAAAATATTAAAATAACAATTTAATCCAGATGAAACCATCCGGAGGCTGCCGCAAAATGTATTTTGCAACAGTCTTGTACAAAATACAGACCTTCACCAAATACAGCAACCTTTCACAAGACTAAGTTGTTGAATTGAATTCAATGAGCATGAAAAGTCTACTTTCAAGTAAAGTTTGAAAAAATAAAACATTATCCAGTATAGGGTTCCAAAATGCACAATTTTTTCAGCATGCCCCAAAAACATGAATTTAGTATGTTCTAATTTTCCCTTTACAGACATGCTTTTGATTTTGTTCCGATACAGATTGTATGGCCAGCCCAGTTTCCTGTATTTATGATTGATTCATGAGCCAACTGCGTAGGTGCAGAAGACAACATTTGTATTTTCAATCAGTTTTAAAAAAGTTGAGGGCATTTTGGAATGTAATGAGTTAAAATGTAGCAACAATATATTTTAGAAGAACTATGTTGAACGTTTTACAACTTTTCTCATCAACCTGGCAAGGCCAACTTGACAATCCTGAATTCCCTGACTTCTTAAGAGAAGAAAATTTTCAGTTTTTATGAGAGCTTTAGCAGATTAGTCTTATCTTGCATCTAAAAGTTTACAGACTTATATTTCCAGTATTTCAGTGACCTCATAGTAAGGAGCTGAGAGGTGAAAATCACTTGAAAATTCCTAATGGGTATCTTAACACTATACCGAGAAATCCCCCTATAAATGCAAATTATTCACCAAATGAGCTCAACTAGAGCTTCCTCGAAAGCTAATGAAATAAGCTGAAAGTTCTTGGTAACTGTTTCCCAATTGACCTCAACAGTTTACTCCTGTCAAGTTTTTTTTGGACGGCCTTTGTAAAACATTCCAGTCAAAAACTTGTAAATTCATTGTTACCTAGTGTTTCAAAATTTGTGTTTGAAAAATGTCTTGGAAGAGGGTAGAAAACTTACTTTCTCTTGGGATTTCAGTTTGACAGCTAGCTCTGAATTTCCAGGAACATTTAAGGTTTTGCACTGAGACTTGGATCCTTTCCGGAGCATGAGTACAAAATTGACGGTGTTTTCATCCTTTTCCTCATTTTGCATCAATTGCTCTGAAAAAAATTAAGGGTTGGATTCAAATGAAATGTAAGAAGACTGGTCACAGTATGCCAAAATTCTGAAAATAAACTTGCAGATGAAAGTTATCGTTTAAAATGTAAGTTGATGGACACTGACTAAAAGACATATCAATGATTGAGAAACAATATCGCCAATCTGCAACACACAATTTTACAGGACGCTGACTCATTTTTACCAAAATTGTCCAATAATTGGTATTATTCCTTACCCATCAATATGATGACGCAAGCAAAGACCCCCTTAATTTCCAGCAAAAAATCCGCGACTACTTTGTATAAACGACCCTAAATTACAACAAATGCTAACAAAAAGCCTCATCAACAAGCAACCATCATAAGTTGCCTGATGGGATGGAAGTTGCAGGTGATTAGCATTATTTTACAATGGGTCTGTTGCATGCAAGAGATACTGTCGTATTAATATACTCTAAACAGGTAAAATCACACGAAAATCACATTGGGGACGTCAAGAAAGTCTGGATATCTTTTCCTTAATGCGCAATCTGCCTACTTTGTAATTTGCTTTTTCAAGTTTCCCGTGTCTGAGGGCAGTTTTTCCTAGTCACAGCCGACCAGGTTTGCACAGGCAGAGGAGGAGGAAAAACTAACCTGAATAAACAAACGATTTCACTAACTTTTTCTAACATATGATTTCAATCGTTTTTAAGCGTTTGTTTCCTTTTTCTTTCTTTATTTTGCAAAAGCAAAAGCTTTGAATCAATTGAAATCTTACACAAAAAGAGTTTATGAAAGTTTGCACGATCGTTAGTTTATTTAGGTTGAGTCTCTTTCTTTCTTTCTCTCTCTCTCTCTCCCCCTCTTTCTCCTCCTCCCTCCCTCCCTCCCTCTCTCTTAAGGCAAACCTAATTGCCAGCCACCAAGAAAAACTGCCGGCGTACATAGTAAATTTGAAAAAGCAAGTTTCAAACCTACACAAATTGTGCACTGAGAAGTGAATTTCAGACTTTTCAGATGTGCCCAACGTGATCTTCAAGTGAATTTACCCTTGGAAACTATATTCAGTTGGCTATATCTCTGGATAGACCCATTCTCATTATTACCTGCCACTAACACATTATTACCATTAGTGACGGATAAATTTAACAAAAAAACAGAGAAAAGTGGAGAGGTAGAGAAAGGTCACCAATAATCACTGACAAAAAATGTTAATTGAAGGGATTAAGTTCAATAATACAATACCATAAGTTTTCTTTGTACTTGACTTGAAATGTAGCGGGATGGCTATGTCAACTTTAGGCGGCTTCACAACCTCGTTCATACGATCTTGAAGATTGTCGGATACCATTTGCTCAAATGCACTTAAAAAGTCTGCATCCTCTGGCTCCTAGAGGAATTGACAAAGCAACAAAAACACTGAAGCTATTGGATATTTAGCCTTCTAAGACAATACTAATTTACTAGTGGCAAAACCCGAAACGTTTGCCAGAAACAAAACTTTGAACTAGAGCTAAGTGTATTAGCTTGCTCGCTTAAATAGACTGATCTGGTGGCTGCATTATTCAAACCATCGACAATATTGGCCTCCTCTACTAAGCAAGGCAAAGCAATCAAGAGTAAAATAGTCCATTCATTCTGGATTGACATGTCAAATGACATAGACATTAAATCAATCTGTACTGGAGACTTGAAGAATATCATTCAAAAGACATGAGACGATGCTCATCAATTGTAACGTGAACAAAACCTTTAAAAAAAAAGCTCAGACCTACCAAAAATTCAACTTCAAAGTTTACATCTTCAGAATGGCTTAAAATTTCTAACTAAAATATGATGCATTTTGCTCAGAACAGCCAAATGTTTCCAGTTTTTTTTCTTGTTCTCCTTACTCGATTTTAAACAGCCAATGAGAGAGCAACATTCAAGGTAGCGACTAGAAACAGTGTGGCCTAGGGTTGCTTTGGAAAACAACACAAAGACAATTTGCCTCTGTGCTCATTGCAGTTGTTGAACAACAATGTTGCTCCAAAGGCTCCAAAATTTTGCGCACGAAAATAAGTCTTGCCCTTCCAACTTAAAACAACACCGAACAGAATGCCATTGTTGCTTGTTTTCAGCAACTATTATACGTGTTGCCTCCGAAAAGAAATCGTCTATACACAGGGGAGCCCAAGACACAGGAATTTTGCTGTCATTTTGCAACCTTACTGACATCTGTTGCTTAAAGGATAATCTAAAATCTACACTGAGTCAATGAACCCAAAAAATTCAGAAACTTCTTTTTTATTTGATTCTTAAACTATTTTATGATGTGTTCTTCAACTTTTTCTAAATTACATATCAAGGACTAAAGAACAATACAACCTAACAGACAATTATGGCAAAAATTAGCTAGTGGCTACTTCATTCTACAGAATAAAAATGCAAACTGATGTTTATAAATTTTTCCCATTCCGCAAAGCAGCATTTTAATGACACAGTGATGTATTTAAAAAGATGGCAAATTTTACCATGTGCTAACGAAAATGGTTAAGTTTTTTCTTTGTACTATAAAATCGTCAGTTTGCGCATAAGCTGTCTTGTTCCTCAGCCATCGTATTTAAATTTAATAGCTTGACAGATAAATTACCTGATTAAAGTCTTTCATTTCTTCGCTGTCTGAGTCGTAATCATAATCATCATCAACGACATCCTCCTCTTCCTCATCTTCATCATCATCCGGGTCCTCACTCGGATTTATGGTTTCTTCATGCCCGTTCACTGAAAATCAAATGAATTGTTTCATTTTCGAAAGCAACACACTCATCATTCGATATTAGATGCAGAATGGCTTTTCTCTTCCTCAATTCTCCTTTTCTTTCTGAAATATTCTTTTGAGAGCTTTCAACTTGAGAGGAGACTTGATCTAAACTAAATTGTGAAGCAAGCTACATTGAGAGATTTTTCTCTAAAACAAAATTTACCCTCAGAAATGAGGAAATTCTTTGTATTAAAAAAGCATAAGGAAAAAAAATACTTACAAGATTGCTCAACAGTTATGCATTCTGAACTTGGAGCGTGCTCTTCATACTCATATCGAACTGGTGGGCCATCTGGTGATGAGACAGAATTTTCAGTAAATGCAATTAAAAAAAACAAATTCAGTAAATGCAAATTTTCAAGGGGTGGGATAAAATGTATTGAAATGGACTGATATTAAAATATTCTATTGATTATGCTAATATAATTAATCCATTGTATAGTTCCTTCTAATTTAAACTTGACTTACATCCAGCATTCTACATGTATGTACTAATATACATTATTCTTTACACTTCGCATGCAGACCAACGCTCTAAACGAACTGCTTTAGATTGTCCTCAGGTGCATTCCTGATGAAGATATTGAGAAAATTGTAGACTAACCTTCATTGTCTGAATCTCCATCTTCATCCACAGACTCATTACCACTGTTTTCACCTGTTTCCACAATAGTGCCAAGACCTGACTTGCTGTTGTTGGAAATCTACAAAAAAGATAGAAGAGTAACAAAATATAAGGAGGAAAAGAAGGTAGCATGCACCTTTGAGGCTTTGTAGTGATCCCATCTTGAGCCAAATGCTTAAAATGTTACAATTTTTAGCCCGAGTAGAACTTGTTTATGACAATGGAGATGAAAATGGTAGAGGGACAATTTTTTACATGATATAATTCCTTGCTGCGAAGTTATGCAAATCATTGACTTGCGAGGGAGTTCGCGACTCTTTCAGTCACCCATTTTCTCTCACTGACTCTTTTTGGCTTCGCCCTGACTATTCCATTTTTCTCGTTTGCTGGACCCCTGGCTGAACATTTTTCTCAGGCAGCACACAACTAGGCAGGAAGTAACCACGAATCACCGGTCTCTCAGAGGATTAGAACTGATTACACCTGATATGTCCAGTTTTCATATCAGTATGAATTTTTACAACTTTATATAAAACATGAGAATCAAGAAAGGAGAGCTAACCTGCAATAATGATGGAGGTAGTTTGGACATGAGTTTAGTCTGGAGTGTTTGTGAAGCTTCAATAGCCTCTTCAAGGCTGGAGGCCATTTTAAAATTTGGACGGAGATTGAGAAGAGTGTCTTCGAACATGTAGGTTAGATTTACTGGAAATTTGCTCTGCTCGGTCCAAATAGGGTGAGAGTATTTGTGCCAATAGTAATTCTATGAACAAATGATTAAAATGTTAGTTAGATAAGCTGGACAAAAATGTAGATTCATTGCTCAGTGATACCTTTAGGACTTATTTACCTTCAATTTATGAGCATTCAAACCCAAGAAGAGCCCACTTACATAGGCACTTTAAGCCATACATTGTCCTATGACACAACGCCGCAAGATTTCTTGGAATGGTGTGATAAATTTATTTAATTTCTTTCCAGTTGGACTAACTAAACGAAAATCATCGCACTGGAGTATGCGCTTGTCACCACCAAGATAAGGTCAGCCTGATAACAAGATGTTCTTCAGAATTTCCTGATCTGTCGACAAATCCTCCCGATTTGTTGTTTTACTACTTTCCAAACGTTTCCTTGATTGGCGCTGCTCTGTTGCATGGTCCCCCACCCCCGATCTGCATAATACCGATTCAAGAAAATCGGGGGCATCTTCTGGCGAAGCAAGCAGCCCTCAACGTCATTTCACAAGGATTATCACTCTCAACTTTCCTCATAGACTGACCTCGGTCCATCGATGTTGGTCGCCACTGGAGGGAAAACAAGATAAGGGCATGAACACATCCATACAGCCCTGTGTGGTTATAAACTGTTGGTAACATAGATCTGCTGGCGGTTTCTAACTACCGGCAACATGATCTAGAAGCTGCAATGACAGTTTTGCCGCAACAATTTTTGGTCGTTAGTATAAGCACTTTCACTACCACCTGTGTAGTTGGTAATCACACCATTCTAAGTCACTGAGCGACACATAATGAAAATCTAATGCATAAATGGGTCCTGACCAGGGCTTAAAAGCAAATATCAACTGCAAGTTATCTACGAGAAAAATACTGTATTCATAATTTTGATTTTAAAAAAAAAGAAGCATGGGTAAGTTGGAAAAAAAATAAAAATTCCAATTGCTTTCTAAGTAATTAGAATATTGCGAATGTAAAAGATTGTAATTAGACGGCAAAACTGCCAAAATGTACACATTAACTCCTCTGTGCTATAGTGTAGTTATATCATGTTTAAATTCCCTCATTTGGAGGCATATTTTACCCTGCTTTAGTGCGTATACACTGGGTTTCCATTATGTTTTCAATATCCGATTCCCTGACTTCCTCTTACTTTTCTTTGTCTTTTTTGCTTCTCCTTAACTCCAAAATTTTCGAATTCACTGATTTTCCCTGACCTCAAAAAAATTCCTCTTATATCTTTCCCCTTTAGATCACACTGATTTCTGTTGCGATGCTTGCAAAATTCCCTGATTTTTTTTATGAATCCCCTGACTTCTCCAAGTCACCATAAGGTCCCTGACTTCTTTAAGTCACCGTAAGGTCCCTGACTTTCCAGATTGGCGGAAACCCTGACACAGAATTCATGACAGGCTCTGTCTGAGAACTTACCTGGAAAAAAATGAAGAAATAATCCAGTTTAGTCTTTGGCATACCATGATTGAAAAACTGCCCGCAAGTTTCCAGTAGAATACATACTAATTTGATGCGGAATAAATTTTCAGGAGGATCAAGTGGAGAGATGATTTTGGGATCAAACGATACTCCAAATGAGATCAATGAATACAGAACCTGCAATAGAAATATAGATTATGCAGATATATAGAAATATATAAATAATATATAATACGTAAAAAAATATAAGAATATATATATATATAAATACATTATGCATCTGCAGGGGAAACTGTATGTAAGACTAATCTAACCTTTCTTTCGGGAAGCTAAAGTGTGTAATTTTAGACGGCTTTTGGTGCAAACAGGATACCGTTATGCTTTTTCCTTTGAAAGATGTCAAGGTATGAAGGTTTCAACTTCGACACCCCTCNAAAAAAAAAAAACCTCTTTTAAGAAGTCTGAAATTTTGTAATAAGACATCTCATGTCAAGCACAATCCATATGCAAAATTTCAAGAAAATCCAAGAGAGGGTGAAAAATGGGGTAATTTGCATCAAGCTCTTTCCCTGCCCTTTATTCATGAGGCTGACAAAGTCTTTTGAACTGAAAATAAGAGCTATTTTGGACTATTTTAAATTATGTCAATTAATGAAGATGCGCATCAATGACACAAAGGCTAGTGAATGAAGCCAAAGCTGAACACACTAATTAGAAAGGACTCTCTTTTAATCCACACTATAACCAAGACAGACATAATTTCACGGAAAAACTCAGTGCTCTTTCTACTTGGTCTTTATACCTACCCTTTCCCTATTTTCTCTCCTCAAAAAAGGAAAAGGTGAACGAGACAAAACAAATTCAACGAGTAAGGGTGAGAGGTGAAGAACACAAAGCGATAGAGAAAGAAACTGAGATGGATAGTTCAATGAGAGGGCATACGGAATCTGAGCCTGAGATTGCTGACCACTTAGACCCTTTCTTGCCACACCAGCTTCATTTACAGGGCAACTTACCGAAGCCTTGGCTAAAATTTGCACAAATCAATGACCTGTAGAACTTTGATTTAATTGCAACTTTTGATCAGGATCACTGCATATGAGGACTTATCTGTAACAATAGCGGATATCGAGTTTTCAGATTGTGAGAAAATCGCGTTTGAAGTTTACGAAGCTTTGCACTTTGCCGCCCGTAGAACCGAGAGGATTCATATAAAGATTTTCATGAAGAGCAACCCTTCCTGTAAAAAACACACGTTTTGCGATCTCTGTAAGTGAAAAATTTAAGGAGTAACAGCGATTTTAAAAAATGTAACATTCGCTGTTTTTACTGAAAACGTTTTTTATGCATGAAACAAAGTCTTCGGGAGGGTTAAGGCTGGTGAAACGATTGAAATGAACCAAAAGTAGGTCAATGCTGAGTCATTTAATACAATTGAACAAAAAACCAGACCGTTTGTAACTTCTAGAACAAAAATAAGGAACAAATTGTAAAATCAGTTAAAAAATCAACAATTCTGGCGAGACGGTTCCGATACGTATAATTTGAGTGTCAGCTATAGCCCATGGTCGGTGCGCGGGCAGTTATCGCAAGTGGATTCGAATCTCTACCATGTCCTGCCGCGCCGGCAGGGGAGAACAGTGGATTCTCACATCCCCTGTTTTTAGAAATAATATGGTTTTTAGTTCATATCTCGCCGAAAAATTGTCCTGGAAGTCTGAAACTTTGCAAAGGCGTTCTTGAGGGTTCCAGAATTCGAAAAAAGCGTTTGCCTAAAAATGGCAGATGTCAACGACCGCTGTTGTCACATATAAGTCCTCATATGTGCAATGCAATTATAAAATTGGGAAACGGAGTAACCACAAAATCACATCAGGAGTCTGCAGGGTCTTTAACTGGGTACTTTGAACTATTAGAATTTTAGGTTCTAAATACGAACTAAACACTACATAGTAGGTACGAAAAAAATACATTAAGACTTAAATAGTATCTTCTGACCTTGAAAACGTCTGAGCTTTCTAATAGACGATAATTGTACAGTTCACCTAAATATTTTATCATGGCTAATCTGCGTTGATTCAGCTTTGGTAGATTCAACTCCAAGCCTATTCTTATATCCTCTAAAACATTATCCACAACTTCAGTTCCTATGAATTCCTGAAAAAAAAAAATGATTAACTTAAATCAAAGACAGTTACAGAGGTAATATACAAAGCTGATTAGCACTCATCAGCCCACCTCCCGTTGTTGTCCCTCAAATGATTGGTCCTCATAGCTGGAACTCTCTTCTCTCTACTTAAATAAATAAATAAATAATAAATGAAATCCAATTCCTTTCTCGTGTAAGATTTCTTAGTGAATTCTAAACCTCTCTCTTCTCATTAATGGTGCAACAACCAAACCAGGGATCTCAATCACAAAGTTTGAAAATTTTTCCCTTCAATTTTATTTTTTAGAAAAATATTGCTCAGCATGTTTCTGCAAAAGAGTTAAAGAATATTCTTAAAAGAGCGAAGAGAAATCGAACAACATTTTGCACAAAAAGAAGCCTCTTTTAGCAAGTGAAATGAGACAGATGACTTGCACCATCGCAAATAGGAATTCCAGGTTTGATAGTTTCACCATTGAATTGTCCTTCCTTTTCTTTTTGTCTCCTTCCTCCTTCTCTCTTTTACTTCCCATAAGAATTCACTAATGAAAACATAGAATTTTTATTCATCCTCAGATATAACCATCCCCATCTAATTTGCTAATATCCAAAAAACAGGAAACTACAATGCTTAATTATCATAAAAAATGGCAGATAATTCTTTCTGCTACGATTTGATGAGGGAAAAATTTCTTAAATAAGTCCTTTCATGCAAGCGAACAAAAAAGGTTAATAAATAGTGAAATAAAATGAACATACCTAGAAAACTATTGAGAGACTTTGTTTAGAAAGAAATGAAGTAGAAATAATGCATCTCTTACAATGATTGACACTCAATCAGTTTTAATTATAGATTGTGAGAGAAGGCTTACTTGATAATCGACTAATCCAGCGATCAGATTTGCTAGGCAACGAATATTAAGATACTTGACTTTCCAAGCACTTGCAAGGCACAGAATAGCATATTGGGCAATTTCTCGATTATCCCAAGGTAACTTCCTCAGTTGCTCCAGGACAAACTCCTCTGTCTTAAGGCTTAAATCCTGATAAATCAACTGTTTTATGTATTCTTGCAGTGGTGGTCTCCTTTTCCTTTTAATTGGATTATCTGGCGGATTGACAAAGAAGTAGACATTTTCAACCATGTTCTTGTAACGGGCATCTAAAGACATAGCAGATTTCTTCCGCATCATTTGCTCCTGCATTAGAAAAAACATAAAAACCCCAATAGGATTATAAATTTGAAGATTTGAAGAAGAATTTCAAATTATTTTGATGAGTTTAGTGCAACAATAATGATGTTTTTCATTTGAGTCATTTGATAATCCAAATTTATTCAGTTGCTTTTCGAAAATAATTTTGTAGCTAGAGAGAAATATGTCGTGAAAATTAGATACAAATTGAAGCATGAATCATTGTAATGCTGCTAACATCTCAAAAAAACAAGAATGATCTGATGAATAGCTAAAAATATCAAACTTCTCCTCAAAATTCTAAAAGTCATTGGAGTAGGAACAGGGAGCACTAGGGTATCATTGGACAATAGGACTTTCTTTACATGGCACTTTTTGAGAAAGAGTCTACCTGTTTCAAGGGTATGTTTGACTTAAATATCGCTGTATGGAGGCTGAGAGTAAGCTAATTCTATGATAAAATCCTGCGGCAATTTAAGGAGTGAGCATTAAACAGCCTAACTGGTGGCATTTGGCAGATACAATGTTTTCCTTTTGTAATCTATGCAGATAGGTCCGCTCATTTAAATGGTGTATAAGTGAGAATTATACTTAGCAGAACAAATATATCTATAGAAGAGTGAATGACACTGAAGAGAATTTGGAGTTTAATAAAGCTTTGGGTGGTTTTTGCGAGCACACTTCGTTCCTCTTGGCAGGCTGGTGTTAGCAAACTCTTCTAATTATGTAAGAGTCCCTACATCATATCTGTAGCTACTTCTAAACTGTTGCACTCATCTCTCCTCTACGATGAAAATGGCTTATATGTTAAAAGCACCAAATAAACGTATCTACCAACCGACCAACCACTCATACACTTGACTTCCAATGTCAGTGTATTCAAACTCTTTAATGATGTCTGATGAGACAGTGTTTGCTCCATATTTTCTTTGGTACCAGGAGGTCAAGGAAGTTGTAGGATATAAATTCTACAATGTTTTTCTCATTTGAATTCAAAGAAATAGTTTGGCTTCTGAATTTGAGGACTTCCTGGAGTTCATTAGCCTCTTTTGACATTCCAAAATATTAAAACGTTAGGCGCATATGTCACCAATACGTGATACTCTACTTTTCCTTCCTTTCCGACATCGCTGTCTGTAAAACATACTCTCACGTAGTCAATGTGTTGCTGACAACTGTGCATTTTTGTCCGGCTAAACGGAAAAACTTCCAACTCAAACGAAAATGGAGATTCCAACTTATCCGAAAACTAACTAAATCACCTACAAAAAGAAATTGTTGGGATGGGAGCAAAAATTTGCTTAATCTGAATTTCTGACTTATCAAGAATTCATTACACTACGTATTCCTAAAAAAAAAAAAAGAATAAACTTTTTCGTCTCTAATTCTAGGAGCTGATTTTACTATAAGATAAACCTTTGATAGATGAACAAATTTCATTAAATATCTGATATTGCATAAATCAATTAGATTATTGAAACAAATGAACTCACCAGGTATACTTTAGTTCTTTGATGAGTTTCTGGACAACGGAAAAAGAAGCGGCCACAAGTTTCTAGGAGATTACAAGCCATCTCAATATTGTGATGAGTAAAGTCATGAACAAGAACTTTGATACAATACAATCCTTCTTCTTTCGGATAAAGTCCAAATTTTACAAGCTCTCCAATAAATCTCACTGTTTTCACTTTGGATTCTATGTTAATTTGGTCCTTCTTCCGAACATGGTACTTGAATTCTTGTTTTAGTTGATAGGTGAGGTCTGCTGTAATTTCTGGGGCTATATGATTTAAGACAGCTACAAAACGTGCATATAGGGGCAACAAGTCCAGTCGTGTCCGAGGCACCATAAATAAAGTTTTCACAATCTTGCGACGAACATGCTTGTTCGGTACACCTAACTGCAAAACAAATTCTGCAGCAATTCGATCCACCATTTCTCTGTTAACGCAAGTTGTCAGTCCAGTGATTAGACTATCAACAAGGACCTTAAAATTTGTGCTGATTGGTTCTGTGTCTTCAGAATCCTCCTCTTTCTTCTCATCTAATTTCAGATCATCACTTTCATCTTCTATTTTGATATCATCTAGTTTTGGTTCAGGGACTTCTGTTTCTGATTTTGATGACTCTCGTAGTTTTTTCTGGGAGGCAGGAACAAGCCCTGTAATGTCTGGATAATCTTCATAAAATTTCTGCGTTTCTTCATCTTCCCAAATGCTTGAGCATTTAAAAACTCCATCTGTTTTATTGACAGGGGCCACCATACAAGTGCTCTCTGTAGTTGTTTGCTCTGAAACATTTAAAACAACCTTTCTATATTAATTTGAAAAATATTTAGCTATCCATGTGCAGATATTTTCAGTAGACCCTTGGTAACAAGATTACATTTAATTCGTTCGTTTTCTAGTGCTCTATGAAGGATTTTCATGCTTTTCTTCATCATTAGAATATTTAGAATATTTAAAAATTGAAGACTGGAAAAAAAAATGCAAGTGCACCAATGGCCCTTCCCGGACATCACAAATCCTGAAGATATTGCCTTTATACTTTTTTTCCACGATACATTTTAATGCCACTATGATTTTTCATTATGATTATACTTTAAATCCAAAGGCAAAAGTATAGAAATGTATACATGCATGCTTTGTTTCCTCCTTAGAATAGTAAGGATCCAGCCATATTCTGCCATCCTATTATCCATACATCAAGGTATTGCGGATAACGTAACAAGTGCATAGAACATATAACCTGACAAGGTGGTAGAATAAGGGAGACACAAGGCTGAAAAAAATTGAACTTTTATTCTTATATATAAATGTAAATTTACCTTGCAAGCTTTCAGTCATAAATGTTTGCAATTTTTGCATACGTTTCGGCGCTAACATAGAGGCCTTCTTCAGTATATACGGTATAGTTCATATATATAAATTATAGTACTCATGAATCAGCAAAGCTAATGCCAGCAACTTACTATTTTCGGGGAGCACAACAGCTTCTTCATCCACAAGCTCTGCAAGACTTGACACAGAAACGAGAAGTTTCTGCAGATTGCTGTTCAGCATTTCACTCTTCTCCTTTTTCTCGTTGCTCAATTCCCCTTTTGTTTGAAGAATCTTTTGATTTTGGCATTCAATTCTTTGGAACTCGGAGTGCTCCTACACACAAATACATAAAGTAAGCTCCAAACAATACTGACCAGTAAAATAATAATCATCATGTGAGGAGCATGTAGCAAAAGAGAACCAAGTGACATTGACTCAGAAGGAGGAAAAAGAAACTAGAAGTCTTGTTGCTCTTTAAGGCTTAATGTCCAAACCAATATCAGATCAAATGGGAAAATAAAAACTTCCTGAGAGCTCCCAAGTTTTCACAGAAGAAAATTACTCACTTTTTTTGTAAAGTCACCGGGAACTTTTCGCTAAATATTACCTATAAGAACTTATAAACAACTGAATATTTTCCTTTACAATTGCTTAAAATCCTTGATTTTATGAATTAGATTAATGTTGGAATTGACAACAAACCAGGCATTTGAATACCTTTCATATTATTTATTTACTTTTGATTTTATTTATTTATTCATTATATTTTGTACTATTTTTTGGATTTTCTCTGTGTTCATCCACTTCCTGTCCCTGAAAAGTTAGTTGCTTTTAACCATGATATGTCAATACTGATACACATCGATTACGTAACTACCAGACAACAATTTAAAACATTAGATTTGGTCTTTAAGTATAAGTAAGGAGAAAACAAAAGATATTTTATTAGAAAAATATTGAACACACTTTTCAAAATTATTCATTTGTTTACAATTAATCTCTCAGACTAAGACTAGAGTTGTCAGCGGACCTTGGAGAGGATCTCTCCACGAACAACTTCCAACGAGTGATGACCAGAAGTTTTGGGGACTGGTGCAGAGTAAAGTCCTTCGTGAAAAGTGTGTTAGAGACCAAGAGACTAGTGTTATCAGCCCTTAACAGGGCCATAGCCGATGTTATGCCACCAGGCGCTCCCGGCTTAACGCACCCTCCATCTTGATCGAGGGGGGGTAGCGTTCCTCAGCAAATTTTGTTAAACCTAAAGTAAATTTCCTTATTTAACCTTTATATTGTCTAATTTGTAAGCCAATATGACATTTGTAATTAATCTGTTGCTGAATAAATAATAATAATAAAAAAAAAAATTAATCTCTCTTCAGTATTAACCTGTTTTTGCTGGCAACTGTGAAAAAATTGCCTATGAATGCGGAAAATCAGAACATACATACAAAGGACAGCTCAAATTTTGAATTTTAGAGTGTATTTTTGATAACATTGTTCTGTTTGGGATGATTTTTGTGAAGTCATACTCATGAAAAATTAGCTGTGCCTTTGAAGTGTTCCTGTTTATTTGTTTATTTTTTTTTTTTATAGAACAGAGAATATAGTAAAATTTGACTTACTTTTAATAAATGCTTCTGAAGATTTGCATGGTAGTCTTTTAGGAGCATACGCACTGTTTTTTGCTTTTCTGGAGGGATTAAGTCACTTTTAGGGATTTCTAAACTGTACTTTTCTGCAAGCAGGTGGACTCGACGTGGTACTAAGCCTGAAAAGAAAATATCCATACAGATGGTAAAAACAGTTACTAAAACTAATGGAACGATAAGTTCCACACACTTCAAACCTACATCGAACGAATGTAAATATAAAAATAGAATAGGATGTCCCAGCGAGTTCATTAGCCAATAACCTATCCACTCGGCAAAAGTTTTTTCATCTTCTTTCTTTGCAGCATAATACATAGTTTCACTGTTGTTTTATTATTTCAATTTCTTGCCTGCCTTTTCAGTACAACAGATATGTTTGTTTATTCAAACCTAATTCCCTGAACTACACACTGCATTACATGATACATTTCTGCCTTCTCATACTTAGATATTGCTTCCCTTTTGTATTGGTGGATGATCATTCATAAATAGACATTAAATTCTGGAGATTGGTTGTATGGTATTCATTCATATCATGCGCTTTGAAAAATTCTGATTAAAAATATTTTTCTTGACCCTTTAGTCATTCCCCCTGACATTTTGAGGTTTTACCTGAAAGTGGCAACCCCGCAGACAGTATCATGATCAGTCCCTAGAGATAGTGGCCTAGCGTTACAACCTAAGCACTTTTAAAGTAGTGAGCTAAAGAGTGCCAATGAGTCAATGCTTTCCAAAGTAAGTTAGTTTTGGTGCACTCGATTCTAAACAGTTTGGAGATTTTGCAAAAAGAAAGATAAAACCTTGATTACCTGCATAATCTTCTCCGCAGTACTTGCAAAAACTTAAGATAATACTTATGTGACTAGAATCTTCACGGCTTGATGTTGTTAGGACCGTGAGAACATTACCGAGGAGAGGCAGAGCTTCTTTGCAAGAGAATACACCAGAGGAGATTAGGTCCGCATAAAAACGAAGATCCACTCGAAATTTACTCAGATTCACTACCTAGAAATAAATAGGAACCAATGAAAAACAAGAGATTGGGAGGGAATTTGACGTAGGTTTAAGAGCTAGATTCAAAATGCCCCATTTTTTATCTTCCCTTGGATTCTCTTGAAATTGAGTTGGTAAACGGAACAAGGTTTACCAGATAGACAATTGCTCAAAAATCCTTTATTGTTTCATGTTTTTATTTCATTAGATACGTAAAATTGAGGTTGAACTTACTTTTTCGTCGCGCTTCTGAGCTAAAGTTTTCTGCCAGCACTCAAGCATACATTTCCCAAATTCAGCATACCTACAATTGATTTCTGTGCAAAGCAGAACAGCTGCTGAAATATCACTCATTTTTAATTTCGTCTCAATGAGAGCTGCTGCTATTTCACTCAAATATTTAGACAAATTGAGAGTTTGCATTTCCTTCAGCAGGCTGCCTAATTGAGCGGCTGTGAAATTTCGCTGCAGACAAAAAAAAAAAAATGCAACAAAAAATAAGGATCATTGAATAATGGTACAAAATTGCTTTGGATGAAAAAGTAATAATTTTAGCTTTAGGTTATCTTTTGCACAATAAGGGCTGGATTCAAAACAGCCCCTTAGACAGCTCCTTTTTCGGTTTGACATTGTAAATAAGGGACTTTTAAGGAGGTTTTTGACCTCTAACCAGGGGAAAAACAATTTTTGACCAAATCTGAACCTTTACAACAAATGCCACTGATAAAGGATTACCACTAGATGAATTGAAAAATACTTTCACAAACATTTTCTTATTTTGAAGAGCTTAAAATTGCTATGAAATTACCTTATATTATTTGGTAAACATTTGGTTAAATAATGAAAATCTTTACATATGATCGAAAATTCAAGACAGCTTCAATTCATCAAATTTCAAATTGAGGGAGACACAGGGTTTATCCACTTACCACTTTCTTCACAAAGGCTGTATTCTTTTTAAGGCTGGAATCCAACTTTGCCAGGGACTGCTCATCCAGCCGAATTGCATTTTTATTTCGCATTCTGATTTCTAACTTTGCCTGTATGCGTTGCTTTGTCTCTGTAATGAACGTTAAAACTTCATTCTGAAACCAAAGATTTAATACATAAATTAAGCAAAAAAATGCATATAAATCAAAGTGACAGTGAAGAATAGGTTACAATTGTCTGATTCCAAGACTTGAACTTACTTACATAATTTCTTCAATTCTGATTGTCGCCCGAATTCAACAGGAAAAGTGGATTTCACACAAGCAGCAAATATGACTTCAGATACCATGCGTTACTCCGTGTTGAGCATACTTTCAAAAATGTAGTGCAAATAAGATACTGTGAAATTTAAGACTGCACTGCTGTGTTTTCAATTTTTCTTTTCAACACTCATGAAAAATTTGTACATTGTTTACCTCTTTCATTTTGTCAAAAAATGTTGAGATAATTGCACCATCAGGAGAATCATTTGCCTGATCATCATTTACCTGCATTTTAGATGCACTTCAGTCGGAGACAATACTTTTCCTGTTAAATTATTTTCCGCTAAAAACGATTATATATCAAAGAAGACAATTGTATAAAATATTTTGATATGTTTCTGTTGTTGATCAATTTGAGGGAAGACAAAAATAAATGCAACTTTGATGACATGTCAATGAAAAATCTCCCTTTGGAGCTTGAGTCATTAAACAATCATAGGGATGCATTTAATTAAGCGACAAATCATGTTATCCTGTTCCCTTATGCAACCTTAATTTCCTTCATTGCTAGAGCCTAGTATAATGATTACAAGAAAAGAGTGAGAGATTCATAAGAATACATTGTGTCTTTCGAAACGACTGGGACAGGCAGAGACTGGTGCTGTGATTTAGAATGTAGACAAACTATCGAGCTGAACTTAGTCTCATTCAAAAGAGGACGTGAGAAGCAGTGGGTTGAGATCAAGATGAACTTATTTCAACAAGAGTTGGCCACGCTATGGTAGTTTGGACTTGACATGAAGGACAACTGCCTCCGGAAGTTTGAACAATGTACTCTCACCAAAATCTGCAGACAGAACTTTTCCGATGCCTACCACAGAAGAATACCAATTAGCAACACTGAACTAAACTCAGCAACACTGTCTGATTATCTAATGACTTAGGGTGTAACCATAGTAACAATGGAAAAATTTGTGAATTGATCGGTTACATGGGGACGATTAGTGAAATTTTTTCCAAGCGTGCTGTTCCAGGGTGCGTGTGGGTATCATACAGCTTTCCATGTTCCTCATGCCATTTTTGCAAACTTCTTTTAAAAATTGATGAAAAAAATTTATGAGAGAATAGAAAAGTTTGAAGAAATAACTGCGAAAATGACATGAGAAATATAGAAGGCTGCATGAGATGCATAGGCACAAAAAAAACCAATCTTGATAGGAACTTCGCTGATCGTTCCCATAGGGTCAATTCTTTCAAAACATATTTTCAATAGGTATTCCTACTATTATGCCTGGAGTTGTAGGACAACTAAGTAGACAATGTTGCAAAGTTGTGTTCAAGGTTCCCAAAGATACTTGTCTGAATAGGAGCATCGGAAAACTTAAAGGAGCACATTTTGATGAGTAAATTGTTTGAAAAGATCATGGACGGTTGTCATTTACGCCACCTTCAAAATTACTCTTATTTATAATAATGACTCTCTATTTTGGGACACCTTATTAGATGAATGAACCTAGAGAAATTTACCTTTTCTGCCTGTTCAACGGAGACAGCAGGGCAATCTTCACTATTTTTAAGACCTTCTGTTTGAGGTCTCTCACTTTTGCAATCTGCTTTTGACTCTTGACTTTTGATTGGATCATTGTTTAAACTTGGAAGTGTTTTAACCATGCTAGGTGATTTGGAGCATCCAGTGGATGTACTCCTTCCAGAGTCTGTTATTGTATCCTCTACTTCAGTTTTGGAAATTGACTTTTTACTGGAATTGGAAAGCTCAAAGCGTTGAATGAATTCAGCAAGGACATTGGTAGAAGATGAATCACTTGAGACACATTTGTGAGGGGTCTTTCCATTGCACTGACTCTTTACAGTTTTTTTGCTATCCTTCATTTTTCCATCTGATCCACTTTGAGGAGTTTCGTCCTTGCTGACTTTTTCGAGAGACTTATTCTTTGGAGTTTTCTGGTTTTCTATTATTTTGTCATTTAAATTTTGGTGTAGAGTTTCTTTGTTGCCTTCCAGCTTTTCACTCGACTCGTTCACAAGACTTTTATTGTTGCCCATTAACTTCACATCAATCTCGCTCTCAGGAGGATTTAGAGACTCTACAGTTGCGTCAGATGACCCATTTTTTGAAGTTTCTTCGCCGTCCGCGAGCATCTCATCACATTGGTTTTCCTGAGTTTCTTCGCCAACTTCATTCTTGTGGTCTGACGTAGCATTACTATTTATATTGTTGTCAATCTCTTTATTTTCAAGCTCATCCCTGCAGAATTCTTGAATGTTTGATGAATCCACTCTACATATTTCTGGAGGTGTTTCTTGACACTCTACTTTCTGATCATCACTTTCATTTTTAAGAGTATCTATGCAATCAACACTTGTTTTATCAGATTTAAATGTAGAGGTATCTTCAACAGTGTTTTCGCCAGATTCAATCTTCGGAGGTTCTTCTTTGACTGTCGAATCTACTTCACTCTCAGTTTTGGAACTTTCCTGGCAGATAGCACCTTCTCCAGCATCTGCAACCTGAGGACTTTCTTCGGTACCAATTGACTTTTTATCAGACTCCATTTTAACATTTACTTCAGGTTCTTTTAGTACGGGAGGGCTTTAATGGGTTTCCAGCTTCACATCTTCTTCCTCTTTTGGAAGACTACACATTTTAGAGCAGAGGTTTATATCACCATGGGGAATCCTCAGTTGTTCACTTTTGGCATTTAGAACCACTCATCCTTGACAATACCTACATATTTGAACACCTACGAAAATAGAAGAAAAAAAAATTAATGCAATATACAAACAGTTTGGATGAGCAGGTTGTCTCATGGACTGGAGTCTGATCTCAATCTCAAGTAGAGGGAGTAGTAGACCTAGAAGTGCACATGAAGACCCTCGAACTTGAGATCCCCTGCCAACTCAACTCAGAATTCCATATTCAGGATCAGTGCATGACAATTTGGGCATTATTTACTGCCTAGTTTAGTAATTACAGATCAGCAGTAAAGGTCAGAATTGATGGTTAATCATTTAAAGGATCCATGGTTAGACCCAACACTGAGTCAATTCTTTTCGGCTGATGCAGATGGAATACAATGGCAATCCTCAAGGCTGCAGAAAGTTCATAGCCTTCCCCAATTTATAAACTGCGTTCCCCAAAATTTGCCAGTTTCCTATGATAATGCCTCTACATAAAATAGGGCGCTTAAAAGTTTCCTTCCCCAAAAGCAAAACGCTTAAAGGTTTCCTTCCCTAAAATCAGCGCGCTTCAAAGTATTTTTCCCCACAAGCAGGGCGCTTGAAAGACTTCCAGCAAACCAAACAACTTGATAGATAGTTTCCTTCCCCAAAAGCAGTATGCTTGAAAGGCATCTAGCACAAATAATAATGCACTTCCCTGTTTTTTCCTAAGAAACAGAGGGGGCAAAAAAGTCTTACCCAACTTCTAAAAATTTTTACAGTCTTCCCCAATTCCCACACGAGCGGCCACGTGATCATGATCGCGTGATCCGCGACATTCTGCACCCCTGGCAGTTCTCAGCCTGAGACATGGAATCACTACCTTTCTGTACCCCATGAATTAAAATGAAAGCTTCCTTAGACCAAATTGTCTTGGCTTGCAACAGAAAAGTTCCTAAAAGATCACACACAAGCGATCATAAATATTTTCAGCCTCCAAGTGTGACGCAGTGTTACTTTTAGGGCATCATGAGAGACCCATGATTAAATTTATGACTAAAAAACTTTGATACAGCAAATGATTTTTCTGCAGCTGAATAAGGGTAATAATTTTTCATTTATAAAGGGGTGATATCAGGAGATATTCGCCTCCTGACATTTTACGCTTTCAATCTGGCAAATTTTGGTACTTCTCCTTGCATCATGAGGAAAGGAACGTAAATAAATGGTTGTAGTTATACTCCTTAAACAGTGAAGGGAACCTGAAATAAATAAGTAATAAATAAAATTGGAATTTCACTTCGAGGAACCATAGATGGAGGAAGGAAGTGAGTGTGAGTGCCCAGGAAAGATTCTGAAACAGCAACAGATCAGTCATTGTTCTTGAGGCAATCTTAATTACCTACCTGATAAAGAATAGATTTTTGGAAGAGTCCTATGATGTACACACAGTAATGAACTAATGCAAGCTACAAAATTACTGCTGAACACTTTTAAAATCCGATAAGTTGTGAATTCACCATGCGTATACTTCAGTAAAATTGAACTTCGAAATTTACTCGTTGAAATTGAAACTTGAAATGCATCTTGCATTGCATTGCATATGTAACGCAACATAACCTAATTTTTCTCCGGATGCTAGTCTCCGATTGGTCTCTGTCTCTAAACAAGAACCGTGACAAAGTTGGGTCATATGTGTTGTGGAAGTACTTGTGTCTAGGAGGTACTTTTTGGTCGCTCTGATTGGCTAATAGGAGATCACCTCAATGCTTATTGGCCCCCGTACACATTTACGTCACGACCAGATTTGGTAGTGGGCCGCCTCTGATCAAATGCTTGATGCTTCTGGCTTCATCCATTCCAGTTTCGTTTCGTATTTGTTTGGTATTTGTCTTGTGTTGTTTCAGCTATTTTTTCGTGAATTTCTTGTTTATTCCTCGTAGGACTCACCTCCGAAATTATCAGCCTCTGAAATATTTGATACACCAACTGCTTAGCCGTGCTTCTACCACATCATAGCTTGGTGGCGCGTGATAATCGAGGAACTTGCCGCCCAATTAACCTAACTCACGCCCCGAACTCAGATTTTGTTACACATCCTGACCAAACTTAAGATGCTTAGCCCTACCTCTAGCTTATTCAAGAACCAGTACCTTTCGTGGAACTTTCATTTGAGGCTCCCGGGTAAATATAAGTTTCTTTGTTTTTGCAGCTACTGTAGTACTATTACACTGAAGGTGTTTGACAAACAAGGGTAGTTTTTCAGAGCAACTCGGATATCGAGTCGAAATTTTGCCTAAAGACACCACTTATGATCTCGGGGCTCCTGCGTTTCTCTGTATTTTCGAATTGGGAAAGCAAAGCCACCTCAAATAACAAGATAGATTCTGTGTGTGATTCCAAACACAGGCCGCCGTGCAGGTGACCTCCAGCGGCGCATGTGTAGAACTAGGGAAAGATGAATGAACAAATGTCACATCAATCTGAATGCATCAATCATCTGTGTGCCCATTGGTTAACACACTAAACTATGTTGAATGGTGCCAATTTCAGACGTGACATCTGTCCTTCTTTTCTTTCCCGAGTTCTAGCATTGTCGACTAGTGCTCGGACAGATTGTTCCATTTTGAGACTCGGTCATGATGATTCAACTCACCAAAATGATCCAATTATTTTACCTCCACGGATCATTATATGGATCATCTCGTTCATTTTGCAGGCACCGCCCATTAGACGAATCAAGCTTCGATTTAAGCTGAAGGGAAAAGGAACCCCCCAGAGGCGCGAAGCGCCTCTGGGGGGTTGGACTGCGGAGCGGCCAGGGGGCTCAGCCCCCTACTTAGTAACTTTTTAAAATCGTTAATTAATATATGTATATATATAAATGTAAATAAAATAAATAAAAAACTACTGTAGTGCCTCTTATACATGTTTCAGTATTGCCAAATATAAGTATTTTTTGGGAAAACAGATCATTCGACTCATTTGAGTTGTCTAATCAGTATGAACGGTTTGACTCATTTCGGATCATTCGGTCAATGTAGCCCTCATTGGTCAAATGAACGATTTGACAACTAAACAGATCATTCATTTTTGCCAACCTTCCTCAAAAAATGTGAAAATAGATGCTCTTCATTCCAAGTCCAGTCAGTCTCTCTTTGTGCATGTAATTAATTCCAGGAGACCGCAGAAATTTCATAATAGCAAAGTAATTCAACTCTGTTCTGGAGTTTAAGGGCCAAACAACAGATCAGTTAAATCATGGGCATGAGCTATAATGAGCCGTAGAACGAGACGGACCAAAATATTCAAAATGAGCGAATTATAGTTTTTGGATCAAATGAGCCGTGAGCCGTGGAAGAAGACGGATCACAATGAAGGATCAAGGGTTTACAGATCATCTCGGTCATGTGAACGAGCTGAGTTGTTATGAGGTTATGACCGGCTGGATCGTGTCAAATCATGCGATCGTTTTCTAAAAGATCCGGTTGATTTTTGTCGTGATGACTCTCAGTGAGCATCTACTCCCATTTCTCAGCTAATTTCTGTAATATTTTGTTGTACATTTGAGAAAATAAATGTCTGCTCAGGTATTCAGACGCGACGCTAGCGCGTAACGGATCACGAAGAGTCGGATCATTTGGCGTCATCCGATTGCATGACTCGTTCACTCTCGGGATTCGTTCATATGAACGAATCAGATCGTGAACGACAGTCCTCTATTGTCGACCAGGGTGGCATGAAACGTAAGAATGAAATGAAAGATTGGAAATTTCAGTGATATATTTCATGAAATTTCAAGAGGTTGTGAAATATTTCATATTTTAAGGGGCAAGTGTATGCAACCTGAACTCAAACTCAAAACTAGAAGAAGGCACTATTTTTACATTTTGCTGGAATTATGAAGTAATCAATATTTTCTCCATTTTTTACATCCAACCCTAGAATGCCCTCCATTACGTGAAAAATATCTGAGTTTGAGTTACAACCTTTTATTACTTGTAAATCAGCCTCTGCTTGTAGTGTTTTGTGACATTCTATTTATTATTTGTAGGAGTCTAAATAGATGAGAAACCCACTTTTTTTTTAGAAAGGACCCCGCACACCTCTTATAGGAAGCTGCACCATGACTGAATGCTAATTTATTTATGTCATTCGATTCTCCTCAAGATGCTGATCAAAAGTTATAATTGCGGCAACTTTCTACGCTGTACGGTTTTCGCGAAAAAACCGCCGAGAAGATTCAATTATTTGGCGACAATGAATAGAAATGAACAAAGCTCAAGCAACAAACAGGCTTGATGTAAATAAGGAAAAAACGTAGCGTGGTCCATCTTCTTATCTTTATCTGCCGACTCTGGGGCTATCTCCCTCCCGCTCTCGTCGGATTGACGTTCTGACTTTCCTGTTCTTATGCTCTTCAAGAATCTGATTTGGATGGTCGAGCAAAACGGCGTGCGGAATCCGAGATAAGACTGCCGCTGGGTGCAGGAGCTCCCATGATTTCCTTGTTGAAACACAGCCACTTGTCAATCAAGTACTGAAATGAGGAATCTTTCTGCCTTTTTATCGCCGAATAATTGAATCTTCTCGGCGGTTTTTTTGCGAAAATGGTGCATTGTAGAAAGTTGACGCAATTATAACTTTTGATCAGCATCTTGAGGAGAATTGAATGACATACATAAATTAGCATTCGGTCAGGGTGCAGCTTCCCATGAGAGGTGTGCGGGGTCCTTTTAGGTACTTACAAATGCTTGCGCTTTTATTTATTTCGCACAAACAGGTAATAAAGCCCATACCAAAGAGAATTACATATCCAGAATCCAAAACAGTGCTAAACTGGAGTATAGAATAAAATTTGAAAATGCCCCCCCCCCAAAAAAAAAAGATTAAAACAAACAGTAACAACAACAAACCATTCTACAAAAATAAAGGAAAACAAGATACTTGAAAGGGAAATGACATCAATTAAATGCAAGGACCAGGCCTTTTCTCGTATTTTTAAAAGAGGTTACATTCTCATGATTTATTCAGCTAGACAGGATAGATTCTGGAATCTTTTACAGTGAACTAAATAAAACAGTATCAAATAGAAAGAAGATGGGAAAAATCCTGTGCAAGTGGTTTTATGGCTGAAAGAGAGTAAAGAGCAGGATAGAAACAAAACAAATCCTTTAATGCAGGAAGAGAACAGAAGAAGCTTATAATATATTTATCTTATTATATTTTTGTCAACGGGTTATTTCATTGCAGATTCGTAAAAACCAATGAATCTGACTGGCTAACCAAGTTTGATCTGTGGCTTAAAAGTGAAGTTAATCGTGCAATGGATGTGGACAGTTCGGCAGCCCACTTACCAGTCCAGACTACTCAGTATACTCTCACACCTCAGTCATCCGGTAAATTCTTTCAATATTTCGGTTTTAATCTATTTACCTAGTTATTGAAATTGGTTCTCAGAATAATTACTCGGAGGGATCAAGAACAGGTGTGTAGCACATAAGGGTATGCACAGCCAGTTTTATGGGTGTTGCTCTGATAAGATTACATTGAAATCACCTCAAGCACATCAGAAATGTCTGAAATATTCTCCAAAATGTTTAATTTTCATAGTCCATTTGACACACTTTAGAATATACCGCGTCCGAGAGCACTTTATTTCTAAGTTGGCAGCAATCAGGTTTGTCCTTCAGTAAAATGCCATGGACTCTCACTGGTATACCATTGAGTAAGTTTCTAAAGTCGGTGATAACAATTGGTGTGTTGGTCAGTTCTTTTTTAGGAGCACAAGAGGCAAAAGAAGTAATTTATTCATTGGGTTACAGCTCCTGCCCATCATCTTGAAATTATCCAATTTTGCAATCACAAATTTGTAACAGTTTCATTTTTCACTATTTCTCTAAATTTTCAATTGGAACTGTAATTCCAAACTGAAAGTGTTTTTGTGCATGATCCTCATCTCGATTCTCCACAATTTTAATCTTATTTTTTTGCTTTTATAATCAGGTGCTCCAACTTCTGCAGATGCCTGTTTAAGTATTGTTCATAGCTTAATGTGTCATCGGCAAGGCTCTGAGTCAGAGAGTTTTGCAAAAAGAGCCATCGAAAGCTTGGTGAAGAAATTAAAGGTAATATTTTAATTATTTTATTCAAGCAATTTGAAATCAATGAGCATCATTGACTACAGCCGCGGTTCAATGTTGCCTACATTTGGACCAAGTTTAATTGAAACTCATTTAGTCTCATCAATTGTGAACCAAAAGAAGGAGATCTGAGGTTCAGACATAATTTCCAGGACAACAGCTAACAACTATTTTCATGTTCATAATATTTTCTCTGAACTTTGATTCTTTTGCAGGATTAAATTTATAACTATTCAAATTCAAAACTACTCTTAAATCATTATTTTCCACTAAAAACTGGGTCAAATTGATGTGCTTAAGATGAATCGCATTAGCCTGTAGGGAACCAACCCAGGAAATCTGAGTTAATTGATCTGAATGAGCTCAGTCATTTTCTCCAATGTATCAAAAGCATTTTCTTAAAAAAAAATATTATAGTCCAACATTTTGAGTTTACATTGGGTATGTTTCGCTTTGGGATTTTGGATATCTCCGAAGGGTACCAAAGTCTCTTTGATTCCATTATATCTCTGAGGTTAGTGTGAAGCTGTGTATCTCTTAAAACAATCATATGACTGTTTGTGTTTCACCGTTTGGCATTCAACATAGCTGGGCAACTGGAAGCACTTTTTTGCCATCAGAACTGTGCCATTTCACTTGTGAATAATGCCTGTTTCTTAGGTTATGCCTCTTGTCTTGTCTCGTTTCCTCCCTTGTCCCTCCAGAAATAATTTCCTTGCTTAGTTGAGAACAAGATTCACTGAGGAGATCCTATTCAAGGTGGCTCCTTTCTGTGAATTCAGCAGTGATCTTGAAAGCAGCGTTACCTAGACAGAACCAGCTTTGAGTTGGTTCCTTTCTGTGAAATGATTCCATTTTCTTCATTAAAGCATTGTGGCAACCGAGTGTTTAGCTCAGGCAGCTTGAGTTGGAATATGAAGTTGAGGTCACGCCCAGAGATCTCCAACGTTTTCGGTTATTCTAGACCTCATCATTAGATTACAGTCGTCGGTGAACCCAACTTAGCATCCTGCAAAATCCAAGAGAGCATCAAAACGTCGTCATGAATATGACGCAAGGCATGACACAAAGGTATGATCCTCACGCTATCTACCGTCCCTCAAAACAAGGGAAACCCGAAGAAAATGATTATCAGGCAGGTTGGAGATGAAACGGAGGTACAAACGAGAAAAACCACTAAGAAATGGCCCGAACTGTATGTAACAAGGTGGTAGATTGGTGATAATCTTTTTTTTTCAGGTTTTCCTTGTTTTGTTATGGATCACACTTTTGTGTCTTGCCTCGCGTCATATTCATGACGTTGTTTCGATGCTGTCTTGGATTTTGTGGGATCACTGATGACTGTGATCTACAATGATGAGGTCTGAAAACACCCAAAACGTTACAGATCTCTGAGCATGACCTCAACTTAATATTCCAATGCAAGCTGTCTGAGCTGAACTCTCTCCCTCCTCAGTCGTATGCTGGTACTCATTAGAGCCAAAAAAAAAAAAAAAAATTGGAACTTTTTAGCTTTTTTTTCCTGTGAAATGGTGTGAACCCAGCACCTTGTTAAAAACATGTGTTGATCTACAATCGTGCAAAATTCTTGCTATATTTTAAGAAGTGAGGGAGACCAAACCAATCAATAGATACTTTGTTGTCTGATAAAAATAATTCTTATTAAATTTTGCACAAAACTTAACTGAAAAAGTTTCCTTTGAGAATGAAAGAAAAGTAAGTATCATAATCACTTTCATTTAAAAACAGGGGTTTCCGCACACTTCATGGTTATGGATCAAAATTAAATACACCAACTTCCTTAACTTTTAATTTCCAGGAAAAACGAGATGAACTTGATAGCCTCATCACAGCAATAACCACCAATGGGTCCCATCCTAGTAAATGTGTTACCATTCAAAGGACTCTCGACGGAAGGCTTCAGGTAAATTCCTCCATCACTATCTGTATCAAACTTTTTTGGAGCCAAAATAGAGGAACTTGCAGAACTAGCATTGGAACTACTTTTTAAGAGAAAGACTTTTGTGACTGTCCGCGGAAGAAGAGATCTTAGTTCATGGTGGGAAAATTTATTAGTAAAGCGAATTTAATCATGTTGAATTGAAAGATCACATTTTAAGATTTTAACCAAAAACTGACTCTCTTGGCCTATAGAAGGAGTCGCAAACTGTTTAGTTCATTTTTATGCCATCAAAATTATGAAATTGCATCACATTATAACTGGCAAGTTGAGATTTTAAGAACTTTTTCGTAGAACTACATTTTATACTGCAAGCTTCAGAAGGGTTTAACCTCTGCTTGGCTTGACATTTTGGGTTTTTTTTTGTTTCACAATCTCCGTAGACTACTCACTTTGTTCTTGTATCAATAGTTCAATGTTAAGCTAGCGGCTACCAAAGTCCTTTTCCCATGCTGGGTTACAGTTAGTGTCTCATTTTTTTTTTTTTTTTTTTTTTTTTTTTTTTTACTTTTTTTTTTACTTTTTTTAACTTATAGTATAGATTTGGCTATGAAAGAATCATGCTCTTGGTCCGTTTTTATGTTTATGTATTCAATTAAATGTATTTATGCACAGTGGACTCTTGATTATCCAACACCTCTACCAGCTGGAACGATTGTTTCACCGCTGAAACATGGCATTTCCTGACACAACCTGATGGTAACCGGTTTTTTGGTGAAAAATTGAATAAATGTGTAGTTTTTTTGTATTTTTCTCTAATTAAATAACTATTTCTTACAAAAATGATAGAAATGTGGTCAAGCTTTTGCTGTCTAGTTACAAAAACAGTCTGAGTTGACATTTTTCAGTCCTCAATCTGTGGTTTTGACTATCCGACATCCAGACCATCATATTGTGTTAGATAATCGAGATTCTACCGTATTTTACTAAGAAACCTTGCCCAAAATCTGCCATTTTATCAATTAAAATATTTCCAGCAGCCTCAGTATGAAACTGGACGTTTATCAATAGTTTATGATTCAATACGGCCTTCTAAATGTCAAACTTGTCTAAAATTTTGAGCATAATGGCACCAATGGAATTTTAGAATTCCGAAAAATCAAAAACATTATCTTTTCACGATCATCTAAATATTGATAAGTCTCTTGAATATCACCATGGATATTAAAGTTAGGTATTTTAAGACGCTCCTGAAAAAAACTGCTTATTGAATAATTGGTTTTCCAATGTCTTTGATGGCCAAACGCAAAACTCAAAAGCCAAAAATTTTACATCAGTAAAATCAGCATTAATCCCTCTGGTATAGTGAGCAATCGAATAAAAGGCTTTACATTTGCTTTGACTGAAGTAGTAAATGTAATTCTCCGAGAATTTGAGTATAACCTACAAGAACATTCAGTTATAGCCCAAGTCAACCTTTTGTGTGTGTGCAGCTCTTGACATTTTCCTCCTCTCATTTTTTTTTTTTTTTGGTGTAGGTTTTACATAGAGCGAATTTTTATCTCAAGTCTTACTTGAATCATTACAGGTTGCTGGTAGGAAAGGGTTCCCACATGTTATCTACGCTCGAATTTGGCGATGGCCAGATTTGCATAAAAATGAATTGAAACATTTGAAGTTCTGTCAATTCGCTTTTGACCTGAAATGTGATTCAGTTTGTGTGAATCCGTACCATTATGAAAGGGTTGTATCTCCAGGAATTGGTAAGTAGGTTTCACTTTGCCTGTGCATAACTGGTTTTCTCTTTAATCTGAAAGAAATAGGGCAAGGCAATTTTTTCGGGAATCTCTAACATTCAAGTTAAAATATTTTCTCTGAAACTTGACTGAAACTCAAACCTTAAAACATGTATATTTAGACTTACAAGACCAAATGGTTGTAATTTCCCATATCTTTGTGCGATACGGAACATTTTGCAAGATATTTCTTTAGTTTATGTTGCAGGCAAATAATTAAATCAGGCATTTGGTCAATGCTTAAGCAAGGGGTCGAAAATTCCGACTCAAATCAAAACTCTGACCCTTTTGTTAATTTTGGACAAAATCATCCATTACCCTCAAAGATAGGAATTGTTTTTGAAAGTGGGTCACCAAACCATGAACAAATTTTGATTTGCAAATACATTTTTCCTAAGGCAAATGACACATACAGCATTATGCACACATTAAAAACGCTAAAAAGTAATTCAGGAATTGAGAAATATGCAGTTCAAACAGCACAAATTTTTCGCAAATTTAAAACGCCCAGGTTTCGTGCCAAACTAAATGATGTCATTCAGCATCAATCTGAAGCAAGCACAGGTTTCTACCACTTCTGTCAAGTGGCTTTCTACCCCTAGTATATGAAAACAATACGAGAGTTGAAATTATATCTTCAGAATCAAAGAATTTGATCTCATTTGTGTCATCTGTAGTTCACAAGCAACAATTCCACATTAAAATTCGTTTAACTTTAACAATCATCAGTGGAAAATGAGAGGAGTCAGCGATTTGACTTCCGTAGTTCATCGCTTTCATCATTTTCTAACCATTCCGGTGCGTTTGAAATTTCTTGGAGTCTTTTGACTTTTTAAAAGCAGGCACGCCCGGGATTTTGACTCCAAAAATATGCAATAAATCACCACATAATCTACGCACCTCGTACTTTTAGAATATAAAGTAAGACACACAAGGGTTAGTGACCCATTGTCATCACTCTATGATTTTTGTAATGAGTTCCAGCCCAGAAATTAACATTCATTTCCAAAGATGCAACATCTTTTAAGTACAGAGTTTGTACGATTTTGATGGTTGAAAGTATATGAGGAACGTTTTGAAAAGGAAAATACAATGATAGTATGTTTTTTGATGAATTCCTACTTTCAAAATATTGTAAATTCGAGAGCTCTTAGTAAAAACACACGAAGCTATGTAAACTTCCTAAATTTGACTATTGCCTAGGTCTTGATGAAATGCATGATTTAATTATTTGCCTGCAACATATACATAGATGTTCAATATTGTGAGATTGCAATGTCTTTCCCGAAGTCATGAACAGTGCAATTGTCTTATTGCCAATAATTTTTGGGACAATGTATAAAAGATCTGAATCAAAGGAGATAAGCAACTTCCGTCTTCTCTCATTTCATTGATGCAGTGATGATGTTGCCACAGCACTGAGTTCTTTTTATCATCGCATTACATCATAACTTGTGTGTTTTTTTTTTTTTTTTGGATGAATTAGTTGCTTTGCTCTGATAGCTCCTTTCAAAGAGAAGAAATGAAAATAAACGTTTGCGAACAACTCGAAATAGATAGATTCAAAACCAAAGCCATCCTCAATTCTCAGACAGAAAGCATCATAACAACCATAATTACTCCTCCCACCTTGATGAACTACTACATGATAACAGGGAGTGAGGAAGGAAGACATAACAACGAAAAGCTGGGTTATCAGTCACATCACAAACGCAAGCACCGATACCGATTTACTCGTGATCGCGAAAACGCATCATAATTTTAGTTTTTATACATTTTTTAAACACCTGACTATGAGCGGTTGCTCAAAACAGCTGTAGTGTAAGAAGTATCAACAACACTTTTAGAAAAATCGGTAAGAAAAAGTTCAACGAAATTTGAGAAGAAATGTCGTTGTTTACATGTTTACAAACAGCTATGCACACTTGTGTGATGCCGCGTATCCATTTTATTTCTTAGCGTGTTTGAAAATGAATGTTAGTACACATATTTCATGTGACCCTCTTTCCAAAGATTTTGAGTAATTTCATTTGATAAGGCCAATGATTAAACAGGGGACAAATTTTTTTTATCAATCATCTCCAATTTTCTTTTAACCATGGACAGAATCTTGCAAAATTCACCATGACAATTTTGAAAAACCATCTTGTTTCAATTTTGTAGGCAATTCAAATCTTTTTTCTGTTTTTTCTTTTTTTTTTTTTTTTTTGGCTCCACCGTGTGTTTGATCTGTTATATGATATTTACTTGCTGGAATCATAATATTTCTCTCTTCATGTCTTTTTTCATAGATCTCTCTGGCCTCAGCCTTCAATGTAGCACATCTGGAAGGCTTGTTAATGATTCCTTTGGCACTGGACTATCCAGTCCTTCCCTAAGTGCAGTCTCGCCAGGGATGGATATTGACCCAGAAACAACAACAGTCAAACATCACACCCCCACTCCTGGAACCTTTGCTTTACAGCAGCCTGCTCAAACTGCTCAAGGTATAAAATAATTTTTGTAGAAATTAATCTCATTACATCCTGATAAAATGCATTTACGTAGAAGGCAACCACGGTCAGCTTTTGTGAAGTTAAAGCTGCGTAACCTACCACCAACTGGAGTTTTTACAAGGCTCTGTCTAATCCCCATAAAGCTAATGTGAATAATTTAGGCCTTACTCAAATTGCAAGCGAAATAACATCTGCTTAAGTAAAACAAATTTTTTCCTCGGGGATATTTTTCTTACTTTTTCTCAACAATTTTGATCAAATTATCAATAGCTTAGAGGAGGGTACCAATGAATATTATGTAAGTGTTTTATAATGCAGAAGGTGATGGACGAGTGTAGCATATATCTTTGAAATTGTTCTCAGAAAGATTTCTTTAGCTTATGTTCTAAATCCTCAGATGCCCAGAACTTTTTTCTTTTATTCATGTACTTTTGGCCGTTCGTTGATACTCGTGTGTATTCTGTATACAGTGTTTTATCTTTGTAAAGACACTCATTAAACTGAAAATTTCTTCACAACAATAGAATTGTCCGGCCCCTCAAACTTATTATGTTAATTATGGCCCCCCGATGTCACAAAAATATCTCTATAACGGAAAATCTTTTGGCCCATTGCCAATTAATTATTGAGAGAGAAAGAAAGAAAGAGAGAGAGTGAGTACTGTAGTAACAAATAAAAAGTACTTAAAATTCTCTTGGCTTGAACATTTGACTAAGAAACCCTTGGTAAATTTACATCAATGGATTTTACAGTAAGATCACAGCAAGTGAGCACTCCTCTCCAAACTGAAACCTCTGTTAGCAACAGTAGTACAACGCTTCCTCCTGCAACTTCTAACCATGCATCACCAACACAGTCACAGACCCAAACACAATTCACTCCTGGCCCTCAAGCAACGTGGACTGGTTCCAATACATTAACGTACACTCAGTCCATGCAACCATCGTTTTGTAAGTTTTACCCTCTCTTTTGTTCCATTCCAATGTTGACCATAAGCTAAGTAAATGTGATCGAATGAAGAATAGCTCATGTATTCTAAAGTCAATGTCTGGCACAGTTCGTCCAAACCAGAATGATTGGTCACTCTGTAAGTTAATGTTTTAATTGGTTCATTGAAAAATGACTTAAATTTGAATCGAAACTAAAAATTATATATAAGTTAAAACTGAACCTGATCAATGATTTGCGTTATTGTCACTAAAATGAGCACGCTTTAATAGAAATGATGCCAATCAGCTGTATAAACTTAAGAGTTCAAAGTTAAGTTTCGAGAAATAAATAAAAATAAGTAGTCAGGGAATGAAGCAGTATGTTACAGATTGTCTATTTAGTGGTCAGACTGTATGTAACTCTTGAATGGGGCTAGAGTCCCTTTATATCCAGAGTTAAGACAACGTGATTATCAGCTGACTGGCAGCTGGCCTTGGCTGGCCATGGAGGCACAAACGAGTGCACCCAAACGAACGATATTGAGGGATAAGGATCAGGACTCCTGCGATGTCTGTCACACAAAAACAACAGCATTTACAAATTGATCAATTAAAAAGAAAATGAGATTGGTTTGTGAATAATTTCTTAATCTATTTTCATTTTGGACCAATGGAAATAACAATTTACTCTTGATAAACCACAAGTAGGTAATATTTTCATTATTTTTGTTTATATTCGAGCCACCGCCATCTTGGTGCACTCGTTTGTGACTCCATGAGCGAGAACCAATCAGGATTGGATTTTTTTTTAGGCCAATTTCAGCCCAACCAAAAGTAAGTTGTCCTAACTCTGGGTATAAAGGGACTCTAAATGGGGCAATAGCAGGTAATTTTTGCAGGGTTGTAGTTTAGTTTCTCTAATATAAGAACATCTTATGAAAAAACCAAAAAGTTCATTAAAAAGTTTTAAAAAAAAATCATTTCCAAGGGCAGAAAAAGCTGATTAAAATCTGACCAATCAAAAAGATGGTCATCAAGTTCACATATCAGGGCGATGCCTAAAGCTGAGTGGATCGATCAGCAAATGCTGTTTCCCCCTTATGGTTACATCATCATAGCCTGCCAAAAGTATAATTTCAAACAAGTGCCATTTACTCCATACTTTCAGCAAATGAATTAAAAAGTTATATGATCATTTGAAAGTGCTATGTTCATATTTTTTTCTGCTTTATCTGTGATTGAGGGTCATTTTATTTTCTTGAGCATTTTACAGCTTTTTTACATCCTGCATCATACTTCTACTGTAACTCTTACTGCCCTGTTGTGATAGCACGTGAGATCCAAAAGTGAAGGGACAGCAATTTAAATCATTTTTTCCTCTGTCCCTGAGTAAGGGGGTAAAAATGTAAAATCTGTCAAAAATTCCCTTTTTACCCCCTCACTTTGAAAAAACTATGAAAGCCAGACATGAATAAGCGCTACCCATGAAACCACTTCACTGCAAAAAATATTGTGCTATCTTCTTAGATTGTTTGAGATTGAGAATGTAAGAGATTCAGTTTTTTAATAAGTTCACCATAATTTCAAATTATCAATCGATAATTTATAGTTGCCTGATCTTCATATCCCATGTAACTTGTATCCTTAAATTTTCAGGGGCTCAGTCTGACATTGCTCTAGCTGCAGGAGGTCTCTTATCTAGTCAACCTGCCCCTGAATATTGGTGTTCAGTGGCCTATTTCGAGTTGGATGCTCAGGTCGGTGAAACTTTTAAAGTACCTTCATCGTGTCCCAATGTCACCATTGATGGCTATGTGGATCCTTCTAGTGGAAACAGATTTTGTCTAGGTGCCCTAAGCAATGTACATCGAACTGAGCAGAGTGACAAAGCTAGGTGAGTGTGCTGAATTACTTAATCGCTTTATGCCTTAATGTGCTTTTCAATTCTACATCATTGCCTGCAACAGACTCATTTGGAACTACAATTTCTGGCTCATCTTATCATACTTATGTTCGTAGGGAAACTATTGGTACAGTGGAGCCCGTATATAATGAAGTTCACAGTTCCCAGAAAAACTTTGTTATAACCAGAACTTCGTTAAAAGCAGACTCGTAAATTGTATAAACAAAACCCTAACCTACGAAAATGGCCGACGTCAACGAGGCGCTTGGCCGCTCTTGTGCGGCATCTCTGGGAAATGCTCGACAGTAGCGCTCCTCACGGTGTAGAACCTAACTCCATGAAATAAGTGCTGTAAACCAGAGCATGCCTTCTGTAAGTTGCATTGAAAAGAAATAAATGAGAAAATTGAAAAAAAGAAACATGATTGTACTTAGTTTAATAATTTTAGCTTCCGCAATGATGAAAATACTTACATCTAAAAAAATTTCTCTCTACTTTTCATGTTGGATTATAATTCTATCACTTCCTCAAATTGAAGCAGCAAAGTAAGATCGTTTTCGATAGCCAGGACAGCTTCTTGGTTCAGCCTCTCTTCCGTTGTTGATCACCTTGAGAAATTTTCTATTCTGTTAAGATCAGAAAAGGATCTTTCGCCAGTGCAATCAGTGGCAGCGGTTGTCAGGAAAATTTTTAGGGCGATTACGACGTTGAGAAACACAGAATCGAATGACTTTTCAATCAACATAACGTAAAGACCACGCGGAGCGACCAGTTTTTTTCTTGTACTTGGATTCACTGAAGCCAAGTAACTCTTAAGATGTAGGCACTCGACTGCAAGTGCCGGTTCCAAATCAGTGCAGTAAATTTGCTGTAAATTGACAGCTGATGACAGTAAATTTGCTGTAAATTCTCTATCAGTGGCTCATCTGGCTCCGTCTATGACTCTGAGGACGAGGATTCACAGGCGTCAAAAAAAAAAAATTTTCTGATTACTCGTTTCGGTCTTGGTCGATCGGGGCTAACCACAATTTCTGGTGCTTGTGCATCTTTATTACTCATAAGTGCATTCAAGCTGGATAATTTTTCCTCAGCCAGAATTTTATAACGTTCGAATCATACCTTTCCGTTTCATCATACATAAGTTGAAAAAATCGCAAAATTTGCCGCCCCCCAAAATTTGCTGCCATGGGCTGTGGCCCTACCCTTAATCCGGCCCTGGCACCCATTGACCTTTGAATTCAAATGGGTGTAAATTTTTGAATGAATAACAGAGACACTCACAGTATTAATGATGAAATTATTCATAATTTTGCCTTTTTATAACTTGTAATTATTGTTTTTGCTCTGTAGGCTACATATAGGAAAAGGTGTAGAATTAGAGCTACGAGGAGAAGGTGACGTTTGGCTCAAGTGTCTCAGTGACCACTCTGTTTTTGTACAGTCTTACTACCTAGATCGAGAAGCAGGCAGGGCTCCAGGCGATGCAGTACACAAAATATATCCCTCAGCACACATCAAGGCAAGTATTTCATCAATGGTTAATCTATAATGCAGCATTTCTTCTGCTACCAGTGCACAGATGTTTCTTTATCTTTGCTCATATGGATCCAAGCCCCACAAAAAGTCTCTTCATATATGAAATAGTTTCAAGCTAAATTATATAAGTAAACCGTGAAGAAAGTAACTTCATGGTTGCATGTACATTGTTCCACCAGTATTTTCAACTTTTTTCAGCCATCTCAAGTTTTTTTTTTTTTTACATTTGGTAAAACGCTGCTTTACTTTCAAGAATTTCGGTTGAGGAAAGTTATTTGCCCACATCAAACTCTCCCCAAAGGAGTTTTGTAAAAAGAGAAGCACCGCTTCATCAAAAAAAAGAAAAATTTTGATGGCTGGAAAAAGTTCAAAATATTGGTCTAACCAAATCACATTTTTAAACTTGAAGACAATAAATTCTGGGGTTAAGAGGATTACGCAAGAAAAATTTAAAGAATTGTGATCATTCCTCTTATCTGTGAATGTTAAATAATTAAAGGCGATTTGATGATAATAATAATAGAAGAAAAGACCAATTTGGCAAGGTTACCTTAAAAAATGTTCACCCAAATTTTTGACCCAAAATAAGCCCTAAATTAAAAAAATTACATGGAACTCACGAAGCCTTACAATCTTTAGAAAATCAAAGACTGCAGTCATGCATTTGACTTATTTTACCTCAAAATTTCTTCTTTTTTCTTGCGTTTGTGAAGGGGGGAAGGGGGAGATATATCTACTCAAATTTAGAGGGTAGTCTCTTGAGAATTTTAAAATGAGGGGAGAAGGGTGTAAAGTTGCAGTGTGCAGTATACTGTTGAGCAAAGGAAAAACGCTGTATGAACTCTCGGGTGTTGCCAAATTTCCCTTTATTAAATACAAATTTTTAGGGGCATTGGTAAATATATTTCTGCTAATTTTTCCATGGGTCGTATTCGCAATCTAAGTTATTCAAAAATTTCATGAGAAATCATTCATAACTCTCCTTAAAATTAAAAATTTCACTGAAGAAAATTTGGCAATTATTGAATGTTCATACAGCGTTTTTCCGTAGCACAGAGGAATAGTCATAAAATGAAAAGAAGGGGCAGTCGAACAAGTTGAAAAATAGGTTCGTATAATTTACAGATAGTGCCCATGGAAAAATGAATCAAGAAATGGACAGCGGAAGTGAAGGTGCCAATTCTGCAGAGTGTTCAAAAAGTCTTCTTGCCCACTTTCCCATGAGCGAACAAACAAAGCCAGCAAAATGCCGGTGGTGTTAGCTGAAAGATAATTTTATTTTTTTCTGACATAACGGTGTCAAGCTTATTTGGTCAAAAATTTTCGGATCTACAGAAATTTGAGGCAAAATGTTTAAAGATCCTCTCTGAAAAAATTTTAGGTAGAGTTCCTCCAAACACTAAAATGTAACTTGTGAAATTGAATCTTCCAGGTGTTTGACCTTCGGCAGTGTTATAGGCAAATGCAACAACAAGCTGCAACCGCCCAGGCAGCTGCAGCAGCTCAAGCAGCAGCGGTTGCTGGCCACATTCCTGGTCCGCATAGTGTTGGCGGTATAGCTCCTGCTATCAGTGAGTGTTTGTAGTATTTTATTAGCTCTTACAGAGTTGTCGGCAGTCTGAAAAACTGGGAATATCATGGAATTTGCTGCAACTGGGAAAAGTCATGGATTTTCTGACACCTTTACTAATGACTGAAACATACCGCTGATAAAACTTTTACATTTTTTTTAAATTTTTTTTTTAAAATGTTTTTAAATATCGCTGATCTACCAACAATTTAACCTTTCCGTTCATTTTTGAGGCTTTTCATCTTTGAACTAGCCACTGAATGCCTTTTACCATAATTAAATCTATAAGCAATGAAATTTTGTCCAAAGCGTAGCAAAAGTCAGCATATTTAAAGAAAGTAAAACGGGTGGAAATTTTGCTGGAGGGTCAGGAAAAATCAGAGAATTGAATTATTTTGGAATCAAGGAAAGTCAAAAAATTTAGAGATGAAAAAACTATGGGGATCTTGCTTCTTAAATATGTTGCAGCTTATTCGTTGTGATCCAAAGTCATTTCTATAAATTTTAATTTTCTTTGATAGAAAGAGGTGGTACAAAACTTCAAAATTGATCACCTTGCTTCTTATTTTTTTGGTATGAGTCTTCTAGGTGGTAGTAATGATTCCTATATGTCTTCTGTAGTTAGAATATTACTTTAATTAGAGAGAAAAATCACCCTCTAATTCCTGTAGAATAACTCAACTGGGTTTGGATCCTCATAATTCTCATGACCGCCATCGTTGACCATCATTACGCCCCCCCCCCTCCTCTATATTTTAGCTGATACCAATTTCACACCTACGAATGCAATCATACGACCATGTCCACATGCTCAGTGCATGGACTTATTAGTTTCTTGAACTCGGGGCCTCGAGGAACCAGTTATAGCTAACTTATAATAAGCTCCTGGAACAAGTTTGCCTGAAATTCCCTGAACCATGCCCATGTGGCCAAGGCCTAATGGACATGGCTGGGGATTTTCTAACTAGAGTGATAGGTCTCTCTATTTCCGCGTTAATCCTGAGACTCATTGAAAAAGATAGCAGACAATCCAGTCCAATGAAATCAATGAAAGAGAGTAAATTAAGTTCAACTCGGTCAAAAGAGGAGTTTAGGAAGTTCATATATGTAAGTCTTTTCTCTTGAGACTATTACTGTACGAATTGTAACTCACTGTGGGACAATCGGTTAGACAAGGAATGATGCGTTTATTCTGCAGGGACCAAATAATTGCACATAACTTCTGATTCCTTCACTGTCATTGTCTCTTCCGCATTAACTGACAGTTGGGTGAACTGGCACTGCTGTGATATACAGGGTGATCCAGACCACCCGTCCACCATATTTTTCTCGAAAACGGCGGAGAATTGAGCTTCGGGACCAAAACTTTCTTAGGGTAAATCGACCCCAAAGAATCGAATGGAAATATTTTCAGCCCCCCAAAATGGTCCCTTGGGGGGGTTTTGGGGGGAAGCGCCCCCGTTTCTCGCAATTTTCAAATGGGAAGGGTATGTTTTGACTTTGGATTCGGAATCTACGGTAAAAAATAAGAACATTTTGTTCTTTGCACTTTTTCCCTAAACCCCCATTTTTTGGAGTTATGGGGCATTTTTGGGGCAATTTTCAATTCGACGCTGTAAGCGGCCAAATCATCCAAATTTCAAAATCTAAAAATCTCCTGAGAGGAGAGGTCAATACCTTTTTATTGATGTGCCACATGACCCCTGTTGCTCCAAAATTTTGGGGCTTTGGAGGGCCATGAGTCAAAAATTTCGTAAGGCAAGGGTATGTTTTGACTTCAGATTTGGATTCTACGCGAAAAGTTACGTAGAATTGATATGGCGCATGGCCTGTTTGCTCAAATTTTTTTTACCCCTTATTTTGTCCAAAAATACACGGCTTCTTATGGGGAAATGGGGTTCTTCAGTAATTTGGAGCAAACAGGCCATGCGCCATATCAATTCTACGTAACTTTTCGCGTAGAATCCAAATCTGAAGTCAAAACATACCCTTGCCTTTCGAAATTTTTGACTCATAGCCCTCCAAAGCCCCAAAATTTTTGGGGGGTCGTGGCCCCCAAAATTTTGGAGCAACAGGGGTCATGTGGCACATCAATAAAAAGGTATTGACCTCTCCTCTCAGGAGATTTTTAGATTTTGAAATTTGGATGATTTGGCCGCTTACAGCGTCGAATTGAAAATTGCCCCAAAAATGCCCCATAACTCCAAAAAATGGGGGTTTAGGGAAAAAGTGCAAAGAACAAAATGTTCTTATTTTTTACCGTAGATTCCGAATCCAAAGTCAAAACATACCCTTCCCATTTGAAAATTGCGAGAAACGGGGGGGCTCCCCCCCAAAACCCCCCCAAGGGGCCATTTTGGGGGGCTGAAAATATTTTCATTCGATTCTTTGGGGTCGATTTACCCTATGAAAGTTTTGGTCCCGAAGCTCAATTCTCCGCCGTTTTCGAGAAAAATATGGTGGACGGGTGGTCTGGATCACCCTGTATCTGATTGAAATTTTAACAGTCATTCTGTGGGCCTTTTTATTAGGAGACTTTTCCTTTTGACAAAGACAAGTTTTCTATTGTGTTCTGTGGTGACAGCAGCAATTTATATCCAAAGCTTCTAAGCAGTGAATGTGTTATAACCATCAAGTTGTTGTTAAATTGTTAGTTCTCTCATCTTTTATTAGATACTGAACAGTTCTTAAGAGAAGATTAAAAAAGTTGATGGAAATCTCTGTTCCTGTTGATATGAGGAATCTAATATGTTTCATGTTCATTCTTTGTCATTTAAATTCATTTTTGGTACACAGGTTTAAGTGCCGCAGTTGGAATAGGAGTAGATGATTTAAGACGTCTTTGCATCTTGAGGTTAAGTTTTGTGAAGGGCTGGGGTCCTGACTATCCACGCCAAAGCATCAAAGAAACGCCATGCTGGATTGAGGTAAAATCGGCCCTTACATGTGCTCTATAAAACATAAAATGTCTACATATATAATGTCAACATAACATGTCTACATAAAACATAATAGTCTTTCCTGAAATTATCAATAATTGAGTTTATACTTGTCTTGCGTTCCTTTTTCTATCTCTAACCATATACATCTTTGCCAATAGATGCTGTTGCAGCCCCTCCCTCTCCTTACATTTCAGATTTAATGAGTCCAAACGAGTAATACTGTGCTTATTTTCTCTACATCTGTGATCGAAGTATTAAGTTTAATGTGAAGAGTAGTTTTCAAGTGCATCAATTCATTGGTGCCATCCACAAACCATACCTCTGATAGATTCTTTTACATTTATATACATCTTAAAATGCAAAGGGATTGTAGCTACTTTCATTCTTCGTCACACAGTAAATGGATCTTTAATGCTGTATTGATTAGGTTGTTGAACAGTAGATTATTTATATGAGCCATCAAAAAAATCAGAACTCACGGAGTACAGTTAGCAGTCAGCTAACTGATGCTTATCTACAATTCATACCTCACTGAGCAAGAGTTTTTCTACAAGAACTCTTCCAAAGTTGTTTAAGCTACCTGATAACTCCCCCCCCCTCCCATAAAAACCTCTGGCATCATATCTCCTGGAGCCTTACAGGATATAAGAACCACACTTCCAATTGCCTTTATTTTAATAGGAGGTCTCTCTAGAAGTGCCCTTCCTTCATCTGAAAACCTAAGAGGAGGGCGATTTATCTTATGAGAATGTCAAAAATGCTATCTAGGACTTTTTTTTATTTAATTATTCCAATGAATTATCTCTTTAATTTTGCTTTTTAGGTCCATCTACACCGAGCCTTGCAACTGTTGGATGAGGTCCTTCATACCATGCCTGTTGATGGCGCACGCACTGTAGAGTGAATCTTGTGCAGCTCTAGACGAAAATCTTATTTTGACAGATGAAATCCCACCTTCCCCCAGATTGTGTCCTTTCTAAGCTTTCTCTAGAATTAAGTTATGGTAAGTTTGCAACTTAAATCCATCTCATGCTGCCATATTCATACCATCTACTTATTGTTCTGACAGTGTAAGCACACAAAAACATGAGCCTTGCTTCATGATTTTACAGCTCTGAAAATGTAGGTTGATGGAAATCTACGAAGCCTGAAAACATGAATGAGCAGTTCTAATGGACCACTAGGTAAGGTGCGAATTTTAGCATTCTGATAGGTGATCCTGCTTCAAAATTTCTCGTTGAACTTGATTCACCCCATGAAAATTACTTATATCAACTCCTAACTAAGTTATTAACATTGATGGGATGTTGAAGGTTTTTAGCCAACGTGCGTAAAAAGTTCAGCTTAAAGCTGATATCTCATGACAGAGGGAAAAATCTCACACACAAGCACAATTTGCCCTCAAAGAAATATGCTGTTTGGAGCAACACTAGTTATGTCCATTCAGGAAGGCAACATATTGTATAGCTATATGGGGGGGGGGTTTCGGTTATTAGTAGATTGTGATATTCGTGCATTGTAACAGTTCGACACTGATGAGGTCGGGGCGTTGATAGTCAGTTGGCCTATTAGTATTACAGGTGAAGATACGAATGTAAGTGCGCGATGCTGTTATTGGTGGCGGAGAAGACCCACGGGGTCTACCACAAATGATGTGTGGAAATTCTATGTAAGTATCGTGCTGAGAGGGGTGCCTCTCGTAACGTATGCCGT